TGGGTCGGTCTATCATGACGTGTTAGTAGATGATCTCCGTCTGGCTCTTCTGTCTGATCTCAAAGTGGATTGCTGGTCGTCTAAAGTGCTCATCATTTTGCGTTGGTTGGGCCATGAGTGGCCGGCGTGTGACTCCGTTTCTCAGAAGGTAGATGTATACTCGTCTCAGTTGATTCGAGTGGGTGAGGTTCTGGAGAGGTTATCTGCGTTCCTTTTAAGTGACTGGGATCAGTTCAGCCAAGGGGGTGATCCGCGTGTGTTCCAAGGTAAAGGGGTTTCGCTTTGCAGGTATCATAACTGGATGGGCTCCCCTTCACCAGCAAGAGAGGGCTCCGATCCCACAGGCTATTTGCGTGTTTATTTGCCGGTCAACCAGTTGCGTATGGTTGCCAAATTCCGTCTTTGTTGTTGGCCTTTGGAGGTCAACAAAGGACACCATAGGCCGAGAGAGTGCCGTACGTGTCAGGTCTGTACGTCGGGTAAGGTTGAGGATGAATATCATGTGCTCATGGAGTGTGAGGCGTATACTGAGTTGCGTAATAGGTTTCTGATTAACGTTGAAGATACTGATATGCGCAAGGTGTTTCTTAATACCAATCCGAGGAAAATCGCTACTTTCCTTACTGAGGTTTTTGATGAGCGTCAACAGCGTGCTCTGGAGCCTCACGGCTCGTGAGGGCACCCGCCGCGTCGGCGGCGGAAATACTGTAACCACAATACAATACAATACAATACAATTATCTCTACGTCACATACCACATCACAATTGCGTAGAGGGCGATTATTATTAAAGCTGACCTACTCCTCGCTTCGTCTTATACAACCTTTGGCTGCCCATACGGTGGCAATCTCTGTCTCCGTAGCCAGTTTTCTCTTCCCTTAGTTACTGCTTCTAGAGTTCTTTAGGGGTCAAGTCAAATGTATGGAATTTCTAATATTACTCAAATACTCTAGGCAGCTTACAAATATCCAAATGCCGTTGACTATTGGCTAGTCCACTCCATTTGCGTTACAAATTTCATTAGCACTTCCCGAAGGACTCCATTGAGTTGCCACACGAGGCAACACACCTGTGGTTTCGTACAGCGTCCAGCAATCCACCTGACCTATCCCAAAATGCTGCTTCCGGCTATTTAAGATCAAGCGAAACCACATGCATGAACCTCTCCCTCCTCATGCACACCCAACCCGAACTCATACACGCACGGCTTCAAGCAGGCGCGAAAAATAGAAGCTGGTCGCGGTCATCTCGCGTTTGGTCACTTTGAAACCAGCGCGCTGCAGCGCCGCCTCCACATCCTCCTCCCGGTGCAGGTACGCGCGTGTAGCCTGCGAAACACAAGCACAGGTCCAACGAGCGAAATATCTTTTAAATGAGCTCCAACCACCAGCCACTCGTTGCGCTCCGACGTTCCCTGGTTGGCCAGCAGGGAGATGCCCAGCAAGACAAATTATAGTAACCCCCTCCCTCCCTCCCTCCCTCGCTCAATAATCATACCTTGCTAGGCCCCGGGAACAATTCGCCAATGCGCTTAAGGATGCTGTAAGACAGAGTCTTGGGCGCAAAGGATATGATGAGGCGGGTATTTGCCAGGGACGCCAGGTGGGTGATCATGCCGTCCACCTTGTCCTGAGGGTAGTGAATCATCACATCTAGGCAGGTGACAGTATGGTAGCTGCCCTGAATGGACCTGCGGAGCAACAGCCGTCCCGTGTGACAAAAAGTGCTTAAAAGTACGGCAGGTCGGTTCAATGAAAACCGCGGGCGCCTACCGCAACGTAAGATGGATGCTGCATACAGTGTGATTTGCTGCCCCAAGCAATTGGCCACCCGACAAGGGAGAGAAGCGAAGTTGCAAGCTATCCCATAGCCTATGCGCAAGGACTATCATGCCACGCCTTGACGTGCATAAAGTCGGCGGGCCATCCACCTACACAGGAGCTAGTCATCACCCTTCCCGGTAATATTAGCATCGTTTTCATTCAACGAAATTACCCTCTTCGCACCCTACAACGAAGAAAAGGTTAATTTTCTTTCGCGCTAAGCCAATCCTATAGAACTCGAAAGCAGACTTACTCGAGATCCATCGCCTCAAACTTGGGAGCCAGCTTGGGTGCCTTGCTGCCCGACGCACTTAACGCCGTCTGATACCTCCGCTCGGCTTCGCCAGCCATAGCCGCGCTGATGTCGCTCGCGCTCACTGCCGCTCCCCGCAAGGCAAGCGGGATGGCCAGGCTGCCTGCAGGCCAGTTAACCGCCATCATGGAATATCTGACGTGTTCCAGTAGCGTCTCGGACAGTAAATCTACGCCTTGGTGGCCCATTGCACCTCATCGCTTCAGTGCTCGATACTTGGACGGATGCGAGCACGCTGGATACAATACTGACTTGAGCAGAGCTGGCTGCTGCCATCTAAATCCATCCTACCAAAACAACCGAACAAAACAAACTCCTCAATGCTTCCGCCAAACCCCAACCACACGTCGTTAGTGAACACATAGCTCTAACGCCGATTGCTGCCTCTCACTACTCACTCTCGGACCCTTAGCACACGCCTAAACCCGGCAATCCCCTGCCGGATAAGCCCATCATCCCAGATGGCTTCAACCAATCGTAAACCCCCGCAACCACACGTGGGGGACAAGAAGAGAAGACCCGAGTTCCTGCACCTCCACCGACCACCCAATCAAACCCCTCGAGAATTTAGCGGAAGGTTCATCCAGCAGGCACTACACGTCAACACGTCAATCCAATGGACACGTAAAATCCGTCATGTCAGGGACCTGTGACTTCAATCGTCCTCCTCCAAGTATCTTCCTTTAGCGCCGCTGTATGTGTCCAGACCCCTTAGCATACCTGTCCCGCAGCCAGCATCACACACAGTAAGGCCGGCAACGCTGCCCTCCTCGTCCACCCAGCGGAGCACCTTGTCCACAGTCTGAGCATGCCCTGTGCGAATATCCAGCTGTACCTTATTGACCTCGTTGGTTTCACCATAAATCTTGCGCCATCGTTCAAACCCAGCGGTGTCGAAGTAGTTCTTCACCTATGTCGCCCACAAGACAGCAAAATTAAGTAAAACCCAGATCGTGTACGCTTCGGATTATAGCCAGAGACAAGGGAGGTTAGCAGGTTTTGCAAACCTTCGTTGAGGATTGGCATACTGGTTCAAAATCCGATGTGGGAAGAGCTCATGGGGAAACAACATACAGGAGGTGTACACAACGTAAACTTGGTCACTTCAAAAACCGCACCAACACCGCTTTGCGAACGTAGTTTATGTGCGATCACGTAAATACAGGCTCTGGTGGCTGAGCATAAAGGTAAAATGTGTGGAGTAACTACTCTTTGAGCAACTACCCCTCGAGCAACTACCCGTCCATGTGTCCAACACCCTGCGTGGCAAGAAATACACAGCAACCCATGTAGCCTTCTCTTACCGCCTCCTTTTCATCTCCTCCAGTTTGCGCCATCTGCTCTGTGCGCCTGCGGACCATGACCATGTGTCATGCAAGTACCCGAACTCCGCAACTGGTGAATTCGTAGAGATCCGATCACAGATTTTCTGAAATCAGGCGACTCCCTAACATACGCACCGCTTCTGGGGATCTGTAGCGACAAGAAGCGCCCCGAGCCCAGCGATAGCCACGCCACCGCCCACAGCGAAAGTAAGCGAGCCATCAAGGCCGGTTGCAGAGCTCAAAATTTCAGCAGCATGAGCTGTGGAGGTGGAAGCGAAAGCAAGCGCTGCAGCGCCAGCTGTGGCCTTCAGGACAGCATCGGTCTGGCGCGACTGCGCATTGCAGCGAATTACGCGGCGTGCGCACTTGGCAACGGGCCGTGTGGCCGTGAAGGGCTTTTGGTTAAGGCACTGCATAGTTGCTGCTAACTTCCTCATTGTAAATGCGGTGGACTTCCATAGAAGAAGGACCGCGATTCGTCGTACGGAGGAGGTTGTCAGAGACTTCTGTGCACATCAAAGTAGCTACTTGCTATTTTATAAAAACTCAAGATGAAATCTTTATTGTTTCAGGAAATCTCCAATCACTTCAGAGTTTGTTGGTCCTTTGTTGCGTCAGCGCGTGCACACGTCACCGATGAGCTCTTAGCACCACAGCTGGCAGCGCTTACCACACGGCCATATAATCTACACAAAAGCACGACACAAGTATTTACGATCTTCCCCTTTTGGACCAAATCGGTTAGAGGCAGTTCGGCGGTTAAAGTACTAAGAAGCTCACGGGTCGGAATCACGATGCTGGAGCAGCGCGCCTGCTTGTGGTCCTCTTCGGGCCCCCTACGCAAAACCGCAACATGTATGACCAAGCCTGTCACGTCCGCCGTTTCCGGCTTTCCCACGGCGCGACCCTGGTCTTTCAAGGCCCTAACGTCCTGCGCAGCTGCATCGGATGCGACAAAGCCCCTCCGCCTCGCCATTGCACGCGCATCATGCGATCGCCAGAGCACCTATCAGGAAACCTCCACGCAGGTAACCCATAATATGAGCGCCCGGAACCAGACAATTGCTACCCTCGATACGCCCGGCCACTGCGGCTCGCTTCCCTCAGCCCTCCCGCACCCAAGATCATTCCCATCGGGGGATGAGCCCTCCGGTCCGGGTCAACCACAATGCAGCCACCTTCTGATATAACGTGCTCGCACGCGGTCATCTCCCGCCTATCTCCCTACACCCCTACAACCGTACCGTGTTACTCTTTTCCACATGACTCCCTCTCCCTGCCGCCCTCCCTTCCCGCCATTCCTCCTCCCCTTTCACACACGCCACGCAGCAGCCTCAGCGACCCCACGGTCGGGCCCTGGCTCTGGCTGCCAGCACCACCCTGAGTCTGATGCTGCTGAGCAGTGACCTGGGTTCCGGAGCCGCCGGGCTGCTGGGGCCCCCTGCGGCCCTCGCCGAGCCCGTCCCGCAGCTAAGTGAGGCTGCTGGGCGGGCTGTTACTGCCCTCCCTGCCCCTCCACGTGACGTCCCGCTACAGCGCAATGTGGACCCCATGACCATGCAGCTTCCCGAGGCACCACCCGACCTCACACCGGAGGTAGCCGTGCGGGGCCAGGGGAAGGGAGGGGGAGAAAAGGGGGCACGGTTGGGGGAAAGGGAGGTGACGCGGGAAAAGAGGGAGCGGCAGGAAAGGGGGAGAGGTCATCCGGGTGGGCGGACCCCATGGCTGGGGAGACCTTTCTACGTCCTAGGGGAGGGGGGAGGGGGGAAAGACGAACCACACACGATTGGGAGGGGGGAGGGGGGAGGTTTGGGTGCATATCCGGATGCTTCGCTCCATGGGACTCCCCGGTGAAGGGCCCGGGAGGTGGAGCTTCAGAGGGAGAGCCCCGCGTATCTCTTTCCCATTCCTGCTTCCAATGTCCACCCCGTCCCCACCCCGCCTCCTGACCGGATTGATGGCTGCTGCTGAGGGACCCACCCGGCCCTGCCCACCCTGGGGCGTTCAATACCCTTTTGGGGCCCCCTCCGGGCCCTCCTCTGCATGCTTGCTTGCTTGCCGCTTCAGGAGGTTCGCGCCATCCGCATATTCGCACGCAACACGCCCTCCGTTGTCAACATCACCAACATACAGCAGGTGGGGGCTGGCAGGCGGGCAGTGCGGCAGACGACCGGTGGAGCCGGGGGTAGGGACCGGGGGCTGGCAGGGCCTAGCAGCCGGGGTTAGGGTGGGCACCTCAGATGAAGCGGTGAGGGGGGGGAGGTGGGTCTGAGGGTGGGCACCTCAGATGAAGCGGTGAGGGGGAGGAGGTGGGTCTGAGGGCTTCACAACTGACCGGGGCCCTCAATCCCTCACCCCGGACTCCCCTTTCTGGTGGCAGGTACCCGTGCAGAACGGCTACTGGTCCATGGACGTGCAACGGATACCCGCGGGCTTCGGAAGCGGTTTCGTGTGGGACGACAAGTGAGAGAGCCGCAAGCAGTGTACCTGTACTAGCCACAGACAGACAGACATGCATACATACATACACATTAGGCACTACTGGTAACGCGCGACCATTGCCCCCGGGAGATCCCGGGATCGAGACCTGTCAGGGTCGAAAATCCTTCCGATGGTGGAAGGTATTGCGCCCCTAGTTGGTGGACGGTGGTGGCCTGGGATACAGTTAACCTGCGAGCCGACCAGGAATGGAGTTGGGCCGCTGTCGACCCGGCAGATTCTGTTGGATGCTGGTGGTGGGTGCGGAACCTGAGCGATCCACTGAGAAGTTGACTAGGGTGACTGGATGAGGGTGTCCCGAAATACCGGGAAAGGCAGGGTAGCTGCCACGGGTGAAGGTATACCCCCCTGTTTCACACATCATACACAGCCTCACCCTACCCCTCTATCCTGGGGCTGCTACCCCCTACCCGGGGGCCGCTAGTTCCCCGGTGCTACAACAGTGAGGGATCTGCTGGCTACCTGGTCTGCTGCGGGCTCTCTCTCCGCGCTGTTGCTGCATATGTCACATACACACCTCTTTCCCCGCCCTCCCCCCTCCTGCAGGGGCCACGTTGTGACCAACTACCACGTCATTCGGGTGAGGGGGGCTGAGGGAGGTCGGGGAGGCGGGACGGCGAGGGCAGGGCGGGGAGGGACAGGTAATGGGGAGAGGTGTGCGGGGAAAGAGGAGGGGTGGAAGTGGGGGGGAGGAGGCTGCTGCGTGCCGGGCAGCAGTCAGACCCAGGACAGGGTGCCATGGTATGTACCTATCTGTCTGTCTGTCCGTCTGTCCGTCGGTCCGGTTGCGGGGTGATGCCTGTGAATGAATGGTTTCCTTTGCTCGCGGGTAGAGGGGTTTGCTGGACACCGCAACAGCGCTCCACTTAACTGTATTGTGCTGTACTGCCGGTGCCGTACTTTTCCTTGAGGTAATGGAGCGCTGCGGTCTCCTGCTGCTGCTGCTGCGATTTTCCCCAGCTCCCCCTGATCTGATCTGTACCGCCATGGGTACCAGCTGCTACCGAACATGCTCCCCACTGACCCACTTCATGCTGACGCCTCCTTAAGACACACGCGCACACACTCTATCTCCCGCGCGCTCTCTCCCCGCCTTCTGCATTCATCACGTCCCGCCCTCCTCGCCCCCTACTCCCTTTCCAGGGTGCCGACGAGGTGAAAGTGACGCTGCTGGATCAGTCCACGTACAGCGCCCGAGTGGTGTGTGGCTGGCTGGCTGGCTGGCTGGCTGGGGTGGGATGGGGTTAGGCGGGGGAAGTGGGTCGAGTGCAGGGGAAGGTCGCCCTTCGTAAAGGGGGCGGCCTTTCACTTGGGCCAGGTCCAGATGCTCTTGATCAGTGTCCGGCCGCATGCATGTGGCACGCATGCGTACGGGTGTATTTCCATACTCCTCACACCTTCCCCCAACACACATACACACACATACACACATTCACATGACGTGCCGTCTTACAGTGGTCCATTATTATAGTCCATAAACACACAAACACAAACACACGCACACGCACGCACGTGCATACAATGACCGCGCTTCGCGCCGTCATTCCCCCAACCCCTTACCCGTCTGGCAAGCCGGTCGGCAGGTGGGCGGCGACGCGGACAAGGACGTGGCTGTGCTGCAGCTGCAGGGGCTCCCCTCGGAGAAGCTGCGGCACCTGCAGCCCGTGACCCTGGGCAGCTCCGCCGGGCTGCTGGTGGGGCAGAGGGTGTTCGCCATCGGCAACCCGCTGGGGCTGGAACACGTGAGTAGTGAGACACACCAAGTAGAACCGGCATACCCAGCTAGCAGCCATCCGGCCCATGCGCCCAGCCGCCGATATCCGTTAGTCTTGGATCTCTTATGTGGCATGCGAGAGGGGATCCGGGTGCCAAGTCCCTACTGGACCCACTGCTTTTCATTCAGTGAAGAGGCCGAAGAATTGCCCTAGGGCTCTTTAGCCTCCTGGTTGTTAGTCCACGCCACGACCTCCATCTTCCTAACCTGGGCCAACCCAACCCTTTAACCCCTTTCCTTGCATGTGATCCTTTGAATGGAAGGTGAGGGGGGGGTGCGGGTTAAGGGATCACACCTCCCATTCATCCCCCCTCGTTCCTTTTCTTCCGCTCTTACTTTAGTCTGGGCGGCTAGGTAGGTAGGTTTCCGCGGTCATCTTCATTACACCACCCCGAGGTTGCCGCCTTCAAGAACGCCTACTGGTCAGTTCTGCTCCTTGGCAGCAGCTTCACTCGTTCGTGGTTCGTCTTTCCCCCTCGTTCCTGGTTTGTCGCATATGCCCCCCCCCACACACCCTACCCCAGACGTTAACCTCCGGTATCGTGAGTGGCCTTAATCGGGAGCTGAGCACCGGTACGGTCACTATCAAGGGGCTGGTGCAGACGGACGCGGCGATCAACCCGGGGAACAGCGGTACGTGTTGGGGGGACGGGGGAGTAGAGGGGCTCAGGAGGGCCGGGTGTGTGGGCTGGAGGGGCGGGCACCGTCAGCCGTCGCAGGCTGGAGTGCCGGCCCCACTACGGCCCAAACCCACCCCACTCCGAATATAGCCGCGGTCCCTGACACCTAAGCATCGCCACCTTCACCGAAGTATGCCCTGTGTTGGTCACTCCCCGGATCCTGCCCCGACTCCGCACCCCACCCCGCCTCGCACTCCTTGCCTCCCCCACCCCAGGTGGTGTGCTGCTGGACAGCGCGGGCCGGGTGATTGGCATCAACACCGCCATCGCCGACCCCAGTGGCAAGGGCGCCTCCTCAGGTGTGGGCTTCGCGCTGCCCATAGACAGCGTGAAGGGGCTGGTGGACCAGATCCTGACGTACGGCAGGGTGCTGAGGCCCGTGCTGGGGATCACCCTGGCGCCCCCGCAGGTGCTCAAGCAGCTAGGCCAGCCGGGGGTGCTGGTGCTGGAGGTGAGGGAGGCTGAACGTGGGTTAGGGCCGGAGCTACGTGCTCGGGGTTAGGGACGCGACATGGCCCCTTAGTGGCCCTCTCGGCACAACAATTCGGCCTAGAACATAATTGAAAGTCCTTTGGACAAGGCGTGTGTGAAGCGCATTTTAACATAGCTGCGCTTTCCCCCTCCGCTCTTTATGCCTAGTGACTAAGCACAAAGATGGGGGCTGCGGCACCTCGAGACAAAGATGGGGGAGGAGGCCTGGCGGGGGTCGGGGAATTGGTCCATGCCATGTGGCGGAAAAGGGGCATCACTGACCCAACTCGACGCAGGGCTCGGCCAGGGGCCATGAGGCCCATTCTGCCTTCTTCTTCTCCTTGTCCCCCTTATTTTACTTTCCTTCGCCACTGCCGCCGCCTCCCTCGTCCTCTTCTGTGGCATTCATGAGCCGTCAGGGTGGGAGCGCCGGAGCAATAGTGCCCTCTCCCCCAGGCCGCATATGCATGTCAGCCATGCCGCGCCTTTCCCCCCCGCACGTGAATCTCTATTTTCCTCAGGGCCCCGTCGTGCCCCTTCCCTCCTGCCCTCGCTCTTCTTCTCCCCAGGTACCCCGGGGCTCCCCCGCTGAGCAGGCGGGCCTGAAGGCCACCACTCGGGACCGCTTCAGTGGCTCCCTGGTGCTGGGGGACATTATCACCGGGATAGACGGCCGACCTGTCAGGAACTACTCCGACCTGGTAAGGGGGAGGGTGGGGGAACAGGCGAGGGACAAGACTAGGATAGGGAAGGGAGGGACGGGCGGAAAGCTGGCAGCAGCTTGCGAGCTGTGCCAGGCCTGCGTGGGTGGGTGGGTAAAGTGCGTAGCCAAGGAGGAGGGAGCCGGAACCTGCTCCGGGCGGCAAGGCTCGGAGCCCAAGACAGTCAAGAGACCCCTGTCGCACTGCGGAGCATAAATTCATATTCCCTATCCGTTTCCGCCTTTGAAGAAGCCCAGCCGCTCCTTTTCCCCTTCCCGCCATTTCAGGTGGATATCTTGGATGACAAGCGAGTGGGGGACACGGTCAAGGTGAGCAGCAGGGGGGAGCGGAGGAAAGCTGCGACCATGTCGCATGCAAGGGCATACCTAACGGCTGTCCTGTGCTCGCTCGAATTTGGCTGCTTAAGAGATGACGTTGCACCAGCATCAGCTGCCAAAAAGTCAGCTGCGTGCCAGTCCTTCAGGATACGCTTCCTGTTTATCCAGTGATTGGAAGGTGGGTCCGCTCCTGTTTCACACATGCACATGCAACACATCGCGGCCCCTTCCCCGCGCTGCCGCAGGTGGACATTTTACGAAGCCAAACGGACAACCTGTTCGCCAGCGGGGCTGCGCGGAGGCTGACCGTAACAGTGACACTGGGCGAGAGGGGCCACTTCAATGTAACCGAGTGAATACAGTTGATTGTTAATGCATGCGGAGGAGCGACGATGCAGTCACCGCAGTGCCGCAAGGGGCGTTCAAACGACAATGAAAACCGGTGGCGCATGGTAGCGGGTTATGCGGCCGCTGGTTGCTGTGAGATCCACGACACATCTTTGTGATTTCCGGCTGCTGCATCTAGGCATATTGGTATGGGCTCCAGTTTTGTGTTGCTGCATGTGCAGATACAGCACGCTGCTTTGGTATCTCCCCGCTTCGGTTCGCATCTTCCCCCGTCGCTGCAAGGTTGTGGCTGTCATGCACCAGACCAATGTAGGAGGTTGGCCCTCGTCGCAGGATGTAACATGTTAGCTTAAGGTTACCAAATCATCGTGCTATTCATGCGTCCAACACACCGCGAGGCCGTAAACGAGCCCCCGCCAGCCCTAACCACACAGGCACCGCGCTGCTGAAAACGTTAAGGTTATGATGGACAAGTTAACGCTAGCGTCTCTGGTCAACACGGAAACCCGAGACCGACTCTCCACCAAGTCCAGGGTCTTCGCTTATCACACCAAAATGAGTGCGCGAAGTGCAAGCAGCCACATCGTGACACACCATGACAGCATTCGTAAGAGGTTCTGTCCAAACAACCATCCATACTCTCCTGTGTATATGCCCGACTGAATCGCCGTAAGCGTCCGCACTGCGGAAAAGCTCGTAACACTTGCGTCGCAGGCCCCAGGCCGCCCGACGCATAGCAAGTTCATGATCCGATAAGGAAATGTGTCAACAGTACCGCCGTACGTGCTTGTTTAACCGGCAGCTTGACCGGCAACAAGAAGCCACCTGCTAGGAAGCATGCGACGGCAGGTGCGCAGATGCGCGTGGCTCGTCGTCACAATCTATCATTTAATAAATGTCCGTCTGCAATTCACTTCAGCTGCGTCAAAGGTTTGTGAGCGTCACCGTCTTAACCTCTCCTTTGCAGATGGCTGCGCTACTTGTTCTCCGCTACGCAACCTCGACAGCATGTACCAGCAGTCCGACACTCCCGTCTAACAAGTGAATCAGCGCCGTCTCGAATCCATATCCCGTTAGCAAATGTTCGCGTCATTTCAATGGCATGCACGCAAAAATGCAGAATCCATGCATACAGAGGAACGTCTATCCGCATTCTAGTCCTAAGGCTTGGCAATCGATCAACGCACAATGAAACCTGGTCCGCCTGTCCTCGTCACTCACTCCAACCCATACTAGATTACGCAGAGTCGCCCTCCTCATCATCTTCCCCGTTCTCCTCCCCCTCCTCTCCCTCCCCATGCGCTTTTGCATCCTCCTCGGCCTTTTCATCTACGTCCATACCGTCCTCCTCCGCTTTCGCGGAGGCGCTGTTCCTCTCCCCCCCCTCCGACTCCTGCGAGCCCTCCTCATCCTCTTCTTTTGCCTCAACTTCCTCCTTGGCACCCTTCTTCGCGTTAGCCTTCCTCTTTGTACCTGCCTTCTTCTTTGCGTCGGCGGACTTGGCATTCTTCGCCTTGGCTTTCGCTGGCGCTACCGCGGCCGCCTTTGCCGCTGCTGCGGGCGCGGCCTTTGCCGCCTTTGCCACCGCTGCGGGCGCCGCCTTTGCCGGCTTTGCCGCCGCTGCGGGCGCCGCCTTTGCCGGTTTTGCCGCCGCTGCGGGCGCCGCCGCCACCGGTGCCAGTGCTGTGGAAGGCCCGGCACCGGCGCTGCCTCCCGCCCCTCCTGCAGCTGGCTGAGCCGCCGGCGCCGCCACGGGGGCTGTCACCCCGCCACCGGGCGCCACCTCACCCTGCGGCCCCGCAAGCAACGCTCCATGCTGCCCACCAAAGCATAAAGTGTGAATTCGGCGGTAGCCAAACGCCTTGACGCGGCCCATCTTCTTTGGCACCGGCTCGTCGTCATCGTCCGTGCCCTTGGCAAGCTGCAGGTTGGTGTTGCTGCCCCAGAACCACGCGTCGCCATCGGTGGTGGTACACGCCGAAACGTTGGTGCCGGCGGCTATGGCCTCCACCTTGATGCCGTCCAGTCCGTCCACCTGCTTGGGTTCAGGATGGATGTCGTTCGCGGTGGTAGTGTCCACGTCACGGCGGCCGAGCATGCCATACGTAGCGGCACCGAAGGACAATAGCGCGCCTTTCTTGGTAAGTGCCAGCGAGTGCTGCTCGCCGCCAGCAATGTGCACCACACCAGACAGCGAGTCGACCGACTCGGGCTCCCATTTGATGTTGTCATCGTCGCTCTGCTTGGCGATGCCCAGCTGCCCGCTGTTGTTGAGGCCCCACGCTGCGACGTCACCATTCTTGCCAATAACGAATGTGCTGTAAGCGCCGCAGGCAACGTCCACAGCGGTGGTGTTGCCCAGGGCGTATGGCAGGTGCGCAACGAGGGTAGGCTGGAACAGCTCTGCTGCGGTAGGCTGATATTCTGAGTCCTGGTGGTACGGCTTGACGCGGCCGAGCTGGCCCTGGCTGCCAGAGCCCCATGTCAGCACGTCGCCTCTGTTGGTGAGTAACACGGCGTGGCGCGCGCCACATTCCAACTTTTTGATGCGATCACGCAAGGATTCCGGCTTCCAGATCAGCGCAAACAGGCCCTGCATCTTCACCTTTGGGGTGAAGCCTGACAGCGCCCCGACCTCGTCCTTGAAGAACCCGCAGCCGTAGAGACAGCCGTCCGCGCCAACGGCAAACGTGAACCCGTCACCAGCAGCGACCTGCACGGCCTGCATGCCATTGGGCAGCTGCGCCTGGCCGGGGACGAAGCTGTCGCCCTTAACATCGTCGGATTCCTTTTCCCAGCAGGTGCCGGACGTCTTGCGGCCTAGCGCCCCCTCGTCGTTGACGCCCCAGGTGTACACGTCACCGTCCACCGTGAGCCCAACGGTATGCATGCCACCGCATGCCACCTGGACAAATTTCAGCTCCTCTGAAACTGGCAGCTTCGGCCGTGGAATCTGAGAGCGCGTGTCGGGGTCGTCGGCATCCTCCGGATCCCCCAGCCCCAGTGCTCCGAATGAGTTGGTCCCAAACATGAAAAGCTCTAGCGCTGGCTGTCCAGGAAAGAGGCTGGGAGGTTTGGCAACTTTTGTCACCTTGGGCTCAACGCGACGCCGCTTTGCTGCGGGCTTCTCCGGGGGGGTTGGCGAATCCTCCTTAGCCGGTACAGGTTCGGGCTTGGATGGCGGTGCTGCCTTCTCAGCTGGCTCTTCCCTGTCACGGCGCTTTGAGCCACTCTTGGCAGCGGCTGTCTTCTTCTTCACTACCTCCTCCTCGGCAGGCTTAGCAGCCGCCTTGGACTTTTTCGTTGTCCCTCGAGCCATTTAAATAGGACCAACAATGAAGGAAGTACTATAAATCAAAAATACTAGAAAATAAGCATGTGCAATTTGACTTTTACAAGCGTAAACGCAAATCGTACTGCCTTTACAAGTTGCTACATGCTACACTCCGCTTTTCCACTGTATCAACATATGGGCGTTATCTGCCGTGGTTTCTGCTTTGGGCAATTGGGGTACGAAGAAGCGTTCCATCTACTTTGTGGGCTAGCTTGGATGTTGGAAATGCACATGCAAGGCTTGCAAAGCTTTTGAGCATAATATGCTAAGGCATATAATATTGCACTTGATATGTGTATGATAACAAAAAAATACCTTCGTCGGAAGCGTTCAACAGCGGCATGTGCAGGTCACCCTCAGCCTCCTGAATCTTGGGCACACTGCTGCGGTCACCATGGTAAGAAGAATAGACAATGCATTCCATTAGTCCATGACGGTACACCTCACTCGTGCGCTGGCGTAACTGCATTAGGAGGACGACGCCATGGCGGATCACTTGGAGCCTAATGACGACTCCGACTCCGAAACGCATTTAGAACGTGTCGTGTCAGGGCAGCTGCATGGCGAGGCGGGCAAACGGCGTGGCGACATCACCCTCGCAGAGCTGCAGGAGCAGTTCGCCCGCCTCCAGCACGAGTTCGAAATCTTCCAGGAGGGCAGGACACGCCCGCCAACCCGTTCACGCGAGCATGTGTCAGCAGCGCCCGTCCCGCCGCCCCGGCAACGTTCCCCTAGAGCCGTCGGCAGAGCGGATGGCGAGGCTGGGCGCGTACCCGCAGCCGACGGGCCGCGATCCCAATCGGTGCCGCCTGGCGGCCGGATGCTGCGGAACCCCTCTCCCGCAGACGGCCGCCTGGACCAGATGCGGGTACGTCAACCTTCGGCACAACCTCCGCCACGGGCATCCCGACCGCCGCCAGGCATAGCTGCGAACCCTGCAGCCGGGGCAGCTGCAAGTGCCCCGTCACGGCCACGACCGGTTTCGGAGCGTAGGCTTCCTTCGCCCCCGCCGCCGCATCATCCCCGCAGCGCCAGCAAGGCACCATTTGACGGCCCCGGTGCCAGTCCTGCTGCGGGCCATGGCAAGCCGCCGGCGGGCCGAGCGGAAAAGAAGCTCGTTAAGAAGAAGGTGGAGCGGCCGCCTTGGCGAGACGACTTTGCAGCGGACTCCTCACCGTGGTCCCGAGAGCTGGCGCAGGAGGAAGCGGCTGCAGCGGAAGCAGCCGCGACGGCGGCGGCAGACTCAGGAGCCGCGGTTGGCTGCAACGCCGGCGGCGGCAGTGGCATGGCCATCCCTCGGGCTCCGGACTCCGGACGAGGCCGCGGTGACAAGGAACGCGCGCAAAGGTGGCGAACCGGAGGCAGCAGCGACGGCGGTGGCCGTGACCGGTCGTCCTCTCCAGTACCCGCAGTAACACGAGCAGAGTCACCGGGGGCCCCGGACAAGGGCGTCCCGGCACAGGCGCGGCGGCGGCCACAGCCAGCTGCAGCCGCAAATGCGCGCGCTGCAGCGGTTGCGGCCGCCATGGAGGCGGGTCGTCAGCAGCAGATGTTAGAGCAACACCAGCAGGGCACACGGCAGCAGCAGTCCAAGGGCGGCATGCTGCTAGTCATCCCCTCGGGGCCGGGCGCGGTCGCTGCTCAGCAGGGGAGCCCGCAGCCCGGGTCCGAGGTGCGGCGTATCAGCCCCTGCCGAGCCAGCCAGATCCCCACCTCCCCGTCACCGGGTTTGGACGTACGGCCACGCACACAGCAGAGCCGCATCCCCACATTCCCAAGTCCCCAGCGGCAACAGCAACAGCAACATCAGCAGCTGGACGCGCAAGGTGACGGCGGACGGTGGCAGTCGGGCCCAGGCACCTCAGCTGCGCTCAACGGCATCGCCGTAGCCGCCATCGTCGACCGACTTGTAGTTGACAGCAGCGTGTCGTCCTCGTTCTCGTACGATGACCCGCTGAGCACTTCGGCAGAGAGCAGCGCGCAAACGCCGCCCTCCAATGCATGCGGCAATCCGCACCAGCAACGACGGCGACGGCAATGGGAAGTCCCTGGCGGGGCCGCTGCGGGCAGCAGAGGGACAGCTGCCGCCGCCGTCGCTGGGGGCGACGCGAACCGGCGGGTGTCCTCTCCGGAAGCGGTGGCCGATGCGGTCACTGCGCAGGCTGCTGCACGGCCGCCTCCCGCCGGCGCTGTATCTCCGGCAGCAGTAGGCCGCGTATACAACCCCACGCCGCCCTCCAGCCGGCCGCCCAGCCGCCCCGGCAGCCGCCCCGGCAGCCGGCCCACCAGCAGCACCGGCGAGGCGACCGCCGCCGGCGCCATCCCCCCTTCAATCGGCCACCATCCTCCCCTCACGCCCATGGCCTACACAGAGCAGGACGCCAGGCAACACTCCTCACCTGAGCGACCCACGGGTCATCGTGTTTCCAGTGCAGGTGCCCGGCATCCTCTCCATGCGCGAGGCGGGGGGGAGTCTATTAGTGAGGTCACAATGCCGGACGTCACCTTCGCTGCTGGATTTTCTGGAGGGGGCTGCACCGAGGACCAGACCTCGGTACGCCAGGCACCGCCACTGCAGGCTGCTGCTGCTGCTGCAGTGGATGCAGCTCCTGGCGCCGCTGCTGGACTCACGCACGCTCCGGCCGCCATCGCCCTAGTGGCGCCGGGGATGCGGGCTGATCTGAATCTGCCGGAAGTTGTGCATGGCGGCGGGGCCCCCGGGGTGAGCAAAACAGGCACGGCACGGGGCCCAGGTCCTGGCGGGCCTCGTGACAAGGAGGACTACTTTCGGAAGCTGTCGGCGCTAAAGCGATCGGTGCCCAATGACCCGCTGCGGCGAGTGACGGAGGATGGTGGGAACCAAGCCGCGGCAGGGGCAGCAGCAGCCGGCAGTGGCGGTGGGGCTGGCTGTGGCAGCGCTGCGCAGTCACGGAAATGGATGGACCCGGGCACTGGGGACGCGTCTCTTTCTGCAGCCCCAATGGACGCGGTGGGATCTGCGCCGGCGGCAGTGCGTGCGGCGAGGAGCCGAAACCTTGCGGCCGATGTGCTGGGTGGCATCGCCAGGAGTAGCGGCGGCTGCGGTGACGCGGCGGATGGCGGTGAAGACGTCTCCGGGGATGCAGCGGCAGGGTGGAAGCCCCGGCCAGGCAAGGGCCGCAGTCAGCTGCAGCTGCAGCGCCTCGGCAGCGGTAGCATGGGGGATGTGACAGCGCCAGCGTCAGCGGGTCCCGCACTGGGCGGCGCTGCAGCCGCCGGGGGCCGCACCTCCGAGAGCGGTTACAGCGCCAGGGCTGCATCCCAGGCGCCAGTGCAGCTGCCCATGCTTGGGACTTCGCCACCGCACAGCCCAGCCCGGCTCTCCCCGGGCCGCATGGCACGAGGGCCTCAGCCGGGCCTTGGACCGCGTCCGCAGCAGCAGCAGCCGCAGCAGCAGCAGCAGCAGGTGGGGAGTGGCGCAGGGGAACCGCCTGGAGGTACTGCAGCTGCCAACACCGCGGCCGGCGCCATTAGTGCGGAGCAGTACATGGCCTTTGCGGTACAGAACCCCGAGGTGGCCATGGCGGCGGCGCAGGCCGCGATAAACGCCAATGGCAGCAGGGCGCGAGCCCGCTGGAACGTGCCGCCGCCGCTGCCGGAGGCGGTGGTGGCAACGGCGGTACATCCTCCTGCCCCGCCGGGCTTTGTAGCAGCCGCCGCTGCCGCTGTTTCAAGCGCCTCCCCGCCACCGTGGGTGCATTCGCACCAGCCGCCGGCGCCGCCACCACCGCCACCGCAGCAGCACCACCAGCTGGCGGCGGCCATGGTATCCTCCACCAGCACGGGTAGTACGGCAGTGCCGCTGGTGTGCTCACCAGGCCAGGCGCCGCAGCCCAACCTGGGGGCCATGCACAGCTTGGGGGACAACCATCACGACCTGCGCCGCGCCAACTCAGAAGGGCCGCGCCTGTCCCACGGCAGGGACGCAGGGTCGGGGATGCTGGAAATGGCGCCACCGTCGGGCGCCCTACCCACCAGTGCGCCCTCTGGACCTGGACCTGGGGGCCTCGGGGGCCTGCCCCCACCGCCGGGCGGCCCGTATTACGTAGGAGCGGGTCACCTGCCGCCACCTCAGGGGCCCATAATGCAGGGGCTGTTTCCTGTTGGCAGCAATGTCGGTGGGCCCGCAGGTTGGGCCGGAGCACCTGGGCCAGGGGCGATGAACGAGGGAGCGCTGGACGGCAGCGGCCGGCTGCCAGGGTTCGGCCCAGCTGGCGGCCCCTATACCTCACCGCTGCAGGTGCGTCCTGGAGGGTGACGATGTCCGTGGTTGTGTGTGTACGGATGGGGCCACAGAGCGTTGCAGCCGTACGCTAGAGTGGCCAGAGGACCAGTGGGGAATGGGTATCCGGTGGGATGCTTGGGAAGGGAGTCCGGGGACCCACACGAGGATGGGAATGGCTGCCGTCGATCGGACAGGTTCCCGGGATGCAGCGCCCTAAGGACAGGTGGTTGGGATCGGGTCCACGTCCGTCTTCCATTCTTGCCAAGAAGGGGCTCCCGCACGCCAATAACATGGAGTCCCTGGCCCCGTCTTTGGTCCTGCGTGCGCAGCATATCCGACCCGCCATGGTCCCGCCAGGCGAGATGTGGGCGGGTGGGCCCGGAGCGGGCCCAGGCCCTCCTCCCCACATGCACATGGCCGGCTTCCCGCCACCACCACATCCACCGCCCCACTGGAATGGCTACGGCTACGGACAGGGCGGTGGCAGGCCTCCTGGGTACCTGGGACCCGGGGCCGCATTGCCCGGAACGCTGGAGGGGCACGGACCCCTGGCTCACACCGGGCCCATTGCCGACCCATACAAGCCGCAGCTCTTCAAGCGCAACTCGAATGGCCACTACGTGAGCTGGGCTTGAAGTTGATATCGAGGCGTGTGGGAGGGGTCCAAGCTAAGCAGCATTGTTTTGACGATGTTTTCAGAAGCCGCACATTTCACCCCTAGTAAAACGTCCCATGCCCTTGTGCATTCTTGACCATCGCCATTTCAAGGCAGCGGTTGCCATACCGCCTCGCCCAACGTCTCGCTGTCTCGCCCGACGTGGCCATGCGCCCACGTTCTCTTTGCAGGATGGCTTTGGCGGTGCCGGCTTGGGTTACGCTTCCGCACCGCCCGGCGCTTCAGGCGCTGGACCCAGCTACAGCTCTGGTGGCGGCGCCGCGGCCAGTCCCGACCTGCCCGACTACTTGCGTGTTTCCATGTCCCGTATGGTGGCTGGTTGGTCAGCGCCCAACGCTAAGCATGGTGCGCTGTCCGGCTTCAATGACGTGTGGCAGCACCGAAACAACAGCCGGCCGCCAGCGGGACCAGGCATGGCGGTGCACGGCAGCGGTGGGGTTCCCGGTCCGGGGCCCTCCGGGGTGCCTGATGGCGGGGCGCCGGTTAGAGGCCCGAGCAGCGGCGGTGGAGGTGGGGGCGGAGGCCGTGAGACCGGATTTGAGGGGCTGTCCCTCGAGGCGGTGCTGGCGAGCAAGCCCAAGAAGGAGATGCCTAATTTCACTAAGAAGACCTAGCCCGGCTGTGCAGCCCTGTTGAAACACACAGCTTGACTAGTCAGGGCAACTCATTCACTTGTGGACGCAGCAGTGGCCTTGTGGTGAAAGGCAACCGCAGCTGGGGCATTTGGGCCTGGTTGCTACTTGGTGCGGAGCGGGATGTGTGGCTAGACGCTGGCAATGTGCAGGGCGCACTATGACCGTATTTATGCTTGTATGTATGTAAGTTTGTACAATGTGTGGGTTGCAGGGTATTGACTGCGTAACGCGACAAGTTGTTTACATGGCTGATGCAACCGGCCATGGGGATGATGAGTTGTTTTGGCAGGGAAAGGTTTTATGCGAAAAAAGGGGGCTACGGAGGGGAATGAGTTTCTTTATGCCACGCTGCAGCAGCAGCCGACGCGGTTTGAAGTTTGAAGTGATGTCGCATTTTCGACCATTAGGACGCCGCGGCAACGCTCAAGAGGAGCCACATTAGCAACAGCAGGATGGAGATGCTCGCCCCGACCCAGGCGACTGTTCGTTCGTGATAGGTTTTAAGGAACGATTCCGACTGGGACGGCGTATTGCTTTTACCCAACTCGCTTAGATTCATGCGACCTGTCTAGGGTAACTATATTTTTTATGTTGTGGCCCCTCGCTGCAGTGCACCTAGCCATACACAGCCCGGCGTTTCCGGTCAATGAACGATCGGCCGGCAGCCAGCATCATCTACCGGCGGCAAACTGCGTAGGCAGCACCGCCTTCACGGAATTTCATCTTAACGGCATCATGGCGCATCGCGCCAAGCCGCACCGCATTCGCATGCGGGCAGCTCAGAGGGCACAACTTTTTGTTGTTGTTGTTGGCGGTGGTGGTGGTGATGGATGATCGGTCCGTGGGTCCAGCCACGATAGCCGCTGTCGCATGACCCTACCTGTTCCTTACATTCCAGGCCCAACCGGTATGCTGGCCGGTTGGTTGCTGCTTGTACATATACACCATGACCTTGACATGTACGACACGGTAGCCATGTATGGCGACACCCAACCTCTGTGTACAACGCCTAGCAATTCATTATCTTAAACAACAGATGCCGCTGTGCCGCTCGAGTGCCATCTGCAGCGAACACTCCTTCACAGTTCAATGCTGGACCGTCGGCCTCGCATAAAGATAGAAGTATCACTTTCATACTCGGGCAGATACGGGGAAGGGGTATGCTTTCCTGTATGGGCCGACGTGACCAGGCGTGGGATGGAGCTTTTAAAAAAAGTGTGTCATCACCTATACCAAGCACTTGCACCGAACAATTGAAAGGTCCCATACGTGCGCACATTGCACATCCCCTCCACGCATACGCCACTCTCCGTGCCAAGCCTCACAGCCCGGATCACCACAACCGCTCCAAACCATACCCGATATGCAATCCCACAAATACACTCTGAAACCTAAACGGCTCTGAACAACTCTCTCTCACCAGTACGCGTAACACAGCCAGCCGGAACCCAGCTAATCAAGCAAACGCTCCGGAAGCCCCCTTCCATGGGGCCGAACATCCGTATAAAACCTTAATAGCTGGACGGGGTTAACGGCGTCAGGTGTTGGCCGTCATCAGTGCCCGTGCACATCACGCCAGCTGCTCTTTTTCAGTCGGCGACTTTTACCTGCTGCGGCTACGCCGTCGGGACCCGGCTCCACCTCCCCTCGGTGACTGAGATCGAGATCGAGACCTCGATCGACCCCTGCACAGGAGGAGCCGTGGAGTCGGGTGGTGACATACATGGGGGGCCCGCTTTGGATCGGGGGGCCCGCTTTGGGGCTTTCGGGGTGGACAGGATTTGCTTCCTTATGCAGTGAACATGCCGTTCTATGTCAAACCTCCGGGTTAGCAGACTGAACATTCCTTCACACTCCAACACCAGACAGCGCAGAGGGCATAGCAGCACCACCGACATAATTCTTATTATAATATTCTCAGCGGGCTGACAGTTCACCGGAGCCGCGCAAGGCCGCCCTCTCGAAGGGCTTGCACGGGCTCGCACGCCGCCCACTTACCTCGCAGTCCTCCTTAACGGGGATTGGGGGATACCTGTTCCCAATCCAACACTACCTGGCATTGCTGGAATTCAGCCGTGCTGCGCTGCTGCTTCCTGGCAGCAGTGCGCATCGGTGATGGGCTGGTGGCTCTAACCCTCCCCAACTGCGGCGCTCGGCTCAGGCGTCCCTCCCAGCCTCCCAGTTACCTGCGGTACGAGTCGTAATCGGACCTGTCCCTGTCCCGCTCCCTGTCTCTCGCAGGCGGCGAGGGCGAGCGGCGCATGACCACCCTCTCCAGAGCCTGACGAGCCTCCTTCTCCTTCTCCACCTGCGATTTAGGTAGGTGGCCCCAACAGCCGAACGCCAAGCAAGGAAGGGTTAAGAAGTCTGCCATGTACTTAGCGTACCATGATTGCGATAAGGCCTTATTGACACCTTGCGTTCATCTTTGGCTTTTGGGGATCCGCCCTTTTCCAGACCCGCTGGGGGGACATACGTCGCCGAGATGCTGGACAAGTGCCACAGAGGAGCGCTACACAAGGTAACCTGCTGCCCAGGTTGTACCACCGTGTGCAGGTTGTGGTTGACCCAAAATAAGGGTGAGCGGTTTCGCCTACAGCTGCACTGCTGCCGCAGACACGGCAACGTCGTTTGTGTTCTTGCTTCCTCAACACCGGCCGCTGCCACTGGGTGGATCAACGAAGCGACATCAAACCCCTGGCCAATCCCCGTACACCGGCACGCCAAACCCTTCTCTCTGTCCCAAATCTCGCATCCACGGGCCCTTGCCAAGGGAGGCACTCATTAAATCTCCCCCTCTTGCGGACACAGAACCGCCTGCCAACTGCCGAATGTTATACTGGGGAAATGCCCATAACGTCGGTTTTGCAAATGTACGCAAGTTCTTCCAGCTGCCTCAGCAAGACGTGTCCGTGAGAGCCGACGTCGGCCCTTCGTCCCCTTTATCCTCCTCGGGGGGTGCGCGGAACACCCGGGGCCCTGCCTGCCCTCCCGAACGGCGTCAGCAGGCAGCGAGCTTGAGGGAAAGGACGAGGGGAGGGGTAAAGAGGCACTGCCTGATAGCAGCAGCAGACACGCAGCAGCCCGGCGGCTGCTCTGTGCTCTGCGCAAGCACTGGCCGTTCCTGTCAGGAACCACGGCCGCTGCCGCCATCGCCGCAGAGCCCGCCATGCCTCTCGCCTCCCCTCATGACACCGACCTGCAGCTTCCTCTGTGCTGCCACCAAGTGGTCCTTCTGCGCCTGCTTGTTCAGCTGGGCGGCCATGATGCGCTTCAACCGCTCCTGGGGAGTTTCCTTGACGGCCGCGGCGCCCGCGGGGCCGCTCCCGCCAGCTGCCGTAACTCGACCTCCCGCAGTCGCACCGCCGCCAGGCATCGTTCCCTGGGAAGGCAACACGGGTGGGTCAGGGCCGGGCGGGCGGAGCCCCGCGGAGTGGTGCAGAGCTAGGACAACGGTGGTCCCCCCCAAGCTTAAAGTTGCAGCGCGGTAACGGTGTGTCAATCCGTTATAGGCAAGCAGAAGAAAGCAAAGGAGCGCGAACACGAGAGGTGGGAGAGAAGGCCTGTACACAGGGGCTTGGGGCCTTGTGTCGCCGACCGCAAGCAACATCGCCAGTCCGCCGGTCGTGAAGGCTAGAACAAGCACCATCCCTCATGAGCCGCTGCGGCCGGCAAGGCACGATGCGATACGGGATGCAGTTGCAGCGGCCCGGGCAGCGTGTTAAATCGGTCTCACCTTGGGCGCCCCGTAACCCGAGGTGCTCGTGCCGGAGCCCGATCGCTGCCGGTCACGGAGCCGGTCGGCCTCGCTACTGCCGCTGGGTCGCTCGTGGTCCCGGCTATCGCGGTCCTGGTCACGATCCCGTTCCCGCTCCCGGCTCCTGCTTCGGCTTCTACTCCGGCTTTGGCTTCGGCTACTCCTCCGGGAGTGCTCGTAGCGACGGCGGTAGCTGTAGCCATGGTAGTTGCGCTCCCGCTCCCGTTCCCGTTCCCGTTCGTCACGTTCGCGCTCCCGGCGGCTTCCGCCTCCTCCGCCGCCCCCGGTTCGGCCATCCCGGCGGCCTCCCTCCGCAGCGGCCGCTCTGTGCGTGTCAAGGCACCCCGTGCGTGCACGCCCAGTTCGTCCAGACGTCCGTCCGCCCGCAGCACCGGACGAGGGCAGCCGTCCAAGAGGGAGGGATCAGTACTTCCCGCACAACGTGTACAACGTACAAGTTCCGCACACACGTGCGGGGCTGTTCGTAAAAGCCGGTGGACCCACGGACGGCAGATTGGTTTTTGATGCGGGTATGTGGGGGGCATCATCATCATCCCGCGTCCGCTTCAGCGCGAAGTATATATACGTACTCCACATTTGCGCAACCGCAGAAGCGGGCCAGCTCGCCCAAAGGCGTGGGTGACCGCAAACACCACACTACGCCTTGCAACGCGAGGCTACGGCGAAAGGAGAGATGACGGACTTCGTGTCATATGTTTGGGGTTTCAGGAATTGCTCCACGCAACGCTGGAACGGGTTCCAGCCCTGCACGGGGTCCTAGGGTACCTTCATCATTAACGCAACGCCGTGCCATCACCTCGCACAGCCGTCATACGCTAATAACGCCGACGCGCACTCACACGGCACAGGAGGAAGCGTCTGCAAGTCATAGCAACCCATAACACAAAGCACGGCTTTACACGGCCTTGCGCTCCTTCACCAAAAGTGACCGACGGGCTGGACCGCAACCCTCCACCCACAGCCTTTCCTGCCCATCCCCTTCCCCGACCCAGTGCTCCAGCCTTGAGCCACCAGCAGTAGCCGCAACAGAGCACTGGGCGGCAGCGGCGGCTGCCGCCCACACCGGGGCACTTGCTGCCCCGCACCACCGTAATCTGCCCAGCCCCTCCCCTCATCCACACCGTATCGCTTGGACGCTAGTGGGCGGCAGAGGGATGGGTTGCGCGCCCAAGGCCGCGGGGTCGGGCATGTCGGGCAACGCATCCAGAATGGCCTCCTCGCGCTCAAACATAGACCTGGCGGTGGCCGCGGGACGGGCGGGGCCGGGGCGAAGACGATCACGTTATCATGGGGGGCCCCACAACTATAGGCGATGTGGACGTGAGAACTAAAGCGAGAACGGCGTATTACAACAAAAAGGCAATCGTTGCAATCAAACGTTGCTTTAATTGGGTATGCAGAGCACAACCGGGCCACATCGGCTGAGGGGCTTACTGGCAACAGTTTTGAGAACGGCTACATGTGGACCCCTCGACCTGCAGGCTGTCTGCAAGGACTGTTTTGAGGTTATCGTAGGGACTGCCCGCATGCTGAGGGTGCTGACCGCAGCAACGGTGCTCACAGAACCATCCTCCATAGCTCTTAAAGGAGTCCAAAGTTGGCAGCTTTTGCCGCTCCTCATAAGGCGCAGCAAGCCAACCCAAACCATCTGTCACCTGTCGATGGAGGGCCGGTTTGCCGCCAGCTGCTGCTGCACCAGCGCGGCAGCCACACCGCCGGACCCGCCGCTGGGCCCCGCCCGGCCGCTGGTAACCCCGCGAGATCCGGGAGCCAAGGCGGACGAGAACTCCGTAATGTATTGTGTACGACCGCTTTCCGTGTAGCGGTGCCTGCATGCAGGCAGTTTATAGGTAATCGGGGGAAGGCGAGCAAGATGGCCGCTTCGATACCCAGGACGAAACTTCTCCCATAAAGCCCTCCGCATGTTCCAGTGTAGATTCCCGCCTCGCAACCCCACTGGGGGCTGCAGCTTCCGAGTCACATCCTCCCGTTTTATCCTCCCCTCAATACTTCCCTCCTAACAATGATACACGAGGTCTGTAGTTTAGTTTTCTACGATGTGCGATATATTCACATCCGCGTCTGTGCGACATGCAAGTATGCAAAACCTGAACAGATGTACACACTCTCCCGCATCTTCCCCGGGAAAGTAACCCCCGGGCCGCACCTCCCCGGCGACCTCGACCGCGAACGAGTACGTGAGCGCGATCTGGATCTGGATCTGGAGCGCCTGCCAAGACGTTATGGGATTCCAAATAACCACATGGACGAGCCCGGAGCCCAGCAGGTGCGTGACATGTCCACATACGCAGAGGAATAACCATTTGCAAGAAGCAAACAACATCACCCCATCAACTAGCGCATTAGCAGCAGCAACTAGCCAGAGGGGGCGGGGTGCCTGTGGGAGGAGCGATGGTCCGCCTCCAGAGGGGGAGCAGCTGAGCTACAGGGCTGGGGGTTTGCACGTGCTTGTTCCTAATAGCGCCAGGCACAACCCTCCATCAAGACCGGTCTTGGACCTAAGCCCCTGTGAGTTTCCTGCACCCTCCTGCCGACCCAGTCACCATTCGCACCTGCGCCGGTGGCCGCCGTCATCTGCAGCGTCGCGGGCAGGCCTGCAGTGCCGGGAAGTGGGCTACTAGGTTGAGGGTTGCCGGCACGGGCGCCGAAGGCACAATACCAAGGCCTAGGTGAAAAATCCCATATGGGAGATCAGCGAAATTGAATTGAAGCTGCCATACCGCGTAGGGGCGGAAAAAACCATGTTCAGCCCTTACCACTGGGTGCGGTCAGTGTTTCGTGACGGCACGCTGATGAGAGCTGCTCCCTAACTCCGGCCCCTCTACCTACCTGGGCGGCAGGATACGGATGTTGTCCTGAGCGGCCGACCTGGGGGGCGGCTGTGTCCAGTCCCTGGCGGGGCCGATGGGCGCGCCGGTGGGGTCCAGACCCATACCCGCCATCCGCCGGGCCCGCTCTCGGGCGTTCTTGCGGCTCACACGGCGCCTGCGAGCGGTGCGGCGACGGCGACGGAAAGGGCGGCAGTGTAGGTGAAGGCACACGCAACACCGGGTATGGGTGCCAGGGAGATCCCAGGAAGGGGCAGACTGAGGGACCGGTCCTTTCTGACAGAGGGTGCTCCTTCCCCCACCGGCTACCATGGAGGCACACGGGGGCGCTTAGAGTGTAGTGGGAAGCGGCGAGGCACATGATGGCTCCTGCAACGCTGCCTTGCCCCATCTGGATCGCCCTCCCTGCCCTTGCCTCAGAGCAGGAATCAGCTGGAACTACGGGCAGTCGCTCAGGTTGTTGTAAACCTCGACAGAATTCATTATCCCGGACCTCAACACCTGATATTTTGTGCATTTGCATCACGGCGCTCTCCCCCCCCCCCGCTGACCTGGGTGGCTTCCGCATCCGCGCCTCGTCCTCGCCCTCCTGCTGCAGCGTCCGGTGGAGGCGGTAGGAAAAATCGGTGAGGCCGTACTGTTCTGCGAGTTCGCAAGTGTGTGGACGCGGGAAAGGGTGGGGTAACTTATAAGTGGGAAAGGGCCCGGGACCCATAAGATGTGCGTGTGTGTATTTAAGTATGGGGCGGCGATGGAACGTGCGTGAACCAGGCCCCAGGATGCATGTGCAGCGGCCATGCCCCCCCTCTCTTTTGCCCTCACTCCTCACCCGCGATATCATCAATGCGGTCGTCCTCCGCCTCCTGCCCCGCATCGGCGTCTTCACTGGCCCCTTCCACATCCTCATCATCGCTATCGTCGTCATCATCGCTGTCTGAGGAGCAGCTGCTGCTATCACCGGCCCCCGCGGCGGAGCCGCTACCACCAGCGTTGCCGCCGTAGTTGAAGCCGACGGCGGCAAACACGCCCGTGCCTGCGGGGCAGCCCCCGCCCAGTTTTTGTCGCGACTCACGGGTCGGGTTGAGTAGCGGCGACGCGGTGAGTTCTACAGTCCAGGACTGGATCCAAAGCCTTGATTTGGGTGCTGTCCGCTTTTGGAAAGCACTTTCGGTAATGTCCAACCATAGCGCCGCGACCTGATCCAGGGACTAGCCCGCACCCAACGTGTCATGCATGTTTCGTCTGCCTGTGCTTTTCACTTGCTGTCGCCAGCATCTGCCTGGGTGTATGTGGTAAGACACCTTCGCAGTTCCTCTGCGCGCCAACTCTACCCCACCCCACAGGTTCCCATCCGCACCCTCCCCCCAGCGCGCTCCTCCCATCAGCTGCCTTCTTGGCCCCAGCGAACAGCCGCGAACATATGCAATACGAATACGCACACGCACCCACCCGTCGCCGGCATAGCAATGCCCAGGGGTGGCGGGTGGCGCTGCCCAGCTGCGGCCGCCGCTGCCGCCGTGGCCGCCGCCCTCATGGCGGCCCGTATCTCAATATTCTCCTGTCGGGCGAATGCCAGACCCTCCGGCTCAGTCAGCCCCTTGCCCACCAGCCGAACCGCATCCCGAAAGCTCTCAAAGCGCAGCGACTGGAAGGAGAGGGGAAGCCACGGGGGTTGGGGGGTAATGGATGAAGATGTACAACCAATGGTCAGGTGCATGTAGTTTTCTATGACATGGATGCTGCAGGTGGATGGGAGAGGAGAGGACGTGGGACGGGACTGGCAGTGGCGGGCGCGGCGCGTGAAGCACGCTCCAGTTGACACAAAGAACGATGAAGTGCCGATGTTGCGGCACAGTGGCCGGGGCGGAGTATGTAACGGAATGCGTTGCGAATCCAACAGCCGGTGGCATTACGAGGGGTGGCCGCGTGCGGCGCATGCTCTCATCCGGACCTGCGTCTGGACGTTTTGCACATCTGGCGGTGCATAGCATGATGGCGGCACGTACAGGAGAGGGAGGGGAAAATGAGCCGGAGTTCCGACGCGGACTATTCTTGCCCTGCTTAACAACCGGCACCCTAATCGTACTGCGTAAGGAACTCTTCCGGTAAAGCATGTAACGTTTCGGAAGACATTTGGAAAAACCACAGCGCAGCAGACACGGAAATTGTGCTGGGTGTCCTGTACTTGAGAGCGGTCTCCACGGCCTACACCTTGACGGCTTCTGCCAAAGTCCCCTTGCCCAGCCAAGCGACCTCCGAGCGGGGAACACGCCGGAAATGCACGTTCACAGGCATTGCGGCCAGAGCGCTGCCAACCCAGCTTGTCCCGCAACAACACCTGCTCTAGCTTTTCCTCCTGCGGGTTCTTGGGCCGCGTCCAAGCTGAAGCATCGGGTTCCTTGTAGAAGTCCAGAAGTGCACGCCCGTCAAATCGGTCGATGAGAGTGCCACCATTTCCCCACGGAATCAAGCCAATCCCGTTTTCAAGGTTTTGATGTTGCTCTGAGTTCCTGAAAATCTTACAGGAACGGCCTTCAACAAACAAGTGGTTCAGTGGATGCTCGACCTACAAGAGGAGAGGTCAGCAGAAAAGTTTGGGTGAACTTCGTGTGCTTTCCTTGACGGCGAGGTACCCGATGCTAGCTGCTGGCACCTGTGTCTCCGCTATTTCAGCTTTTCGTTCCGCGCGCCGCTTATTGTCCTCGGAAATCTCCTTGAGTTTACGCGCATGAGCTCGGGCGTCATGATAATAGCTTGCCATCCTTACAATGCATGTGAACGATAATAGCAAACCAAATTCAATTTCCCAGTTTTCAATTTTTGGGCAACCTAAGCATGCAAATTAACCACCCGACCGTGACGAAGCGTCGTACAGTACAGCAACGAACACTGCATCGGCACCAGCATTGCACATCCGCACAGATGACCTCTTCAATCATCCTAGATGAACCCGCGACTATGCAGCACGGGCGGCTTTTTGTGCTTACTTCCGACAAGTAAGCACTCGCCGTACACAATGAGCCGCTGTAGTATATATGTACATTGGCCACATGGTAGCAGCCCACGCTGGGTTGGCAATGGCAGCTGTCACCATGTAACTGTCATCGACTACCTCAACGACATTGAAACCCCGAAAAACTCCTCCAGAGAATCCAACCAACCTTCCCATCCAAATCTACAGCAAAACAAAGCCAACCCCCTTCCCAACCACGTAATGCAAATGGAAATCCATGCGCGGTGGAGAGGCCGAAGCGTTTGCCCTGGATTGCATATGCTCCTTTCCATGATGAAAACTACGGACTGAAAAATGCTGCGTACCCTGACGGTCTTGGATGGCTGCGAACCGCCCTGCCCAACCACAACACTTTACAGCCCTGCCACTGCCACCGCCCTTCCAGTTTACACTTTTGAACCCCGCCAAGTCATGATTCCTCGTTCAAGCCGCTGCCTTATCAAGGCCCGCTCACGCCACCTTATGGGCTCTCATAGTACACGTCAATCACTGGGCCCTGTGCGGCCGCCCGCGGACCCTGAGTCCATTTGCTGTCGGCAGCTCTGGGCCGCGAAGGGTAGGGTTGGCCTTGACCGCCGTATCCAGAGTATCTATCGTAACCCTGTTGGTACGGGCCGTACCCCGGATATGGCGGCACAGCATTGCCGTACAGCCGTGGATCCACCCCAGGGCCTGCACCACTACCGGGCTGTGCGGGGCCTGTTGGGGTGGCAGCGGAAAGCGGGGTGACGGGTTAGCCACCGAGGCCAGGGAGCTCGGCACCGCACTCCACTCAGGCATGCCTCTGTCAATACGACGCCTTGGAAAGAGGCCGCACCGCAAAGCCAGCACACAATGCCCCGGGGCTAGGGGACGTGTCGTGGTTTGCGGCAATCCGCATCGCGCCTGCTGCAACGAGGCAATGCGTTATGACACAATACGCCACCACACCACAGGAGAGTTGTACCACCCAATTCCCATCCCACGGGCGTTCCGCCTTCACGTACCCTGACCTCCGCTCCACCGCCACCTCACCTTCCGGGCCGATGCCGCCTCTGTCCGGGCGCCCGCCTCCCGACAGGAACGGCACCTGCAGCCCGAACACCTGGTGTGCTGTGTACACCGCCAGCACGACTGTTCCCACAGTCAGGATGAACTGCAGCAGGAGGGAGGCGCGTTGCATGGGGGATGACAACATGACAGTAGGAGCGAGAAGCGTATCAAAAAGGAGGGGTGCGCAAGCCGGGAGCTTCGCGACGACACTTCACGGCGGCAACACAAAAGGCACGCACGGAAAATCTAGCGAGACTGACCTTCAAGGTTATCAAAAGATGCAGGGCGGTGCAAGGCAAAGGCGTGCCATAAAGGCATTGGCGAGGACGGAAGCCTCGCCAGGCCAACCTTTCAGGCTGTGGTAGTATTCATCGTGATGCGACAACTGATGTGAGCTGCCACCCTCCCCATCCCTGTGGGGCCCATCCCAGTCCTCTTACCGATAAGACACTTTGCAGCAGTGCCATACCCAGCAGCGCCATAGCACCCTTCACGCTGTTCTCTACCTGCATAGCATAGGATTGGCAGCAACCCATGCCCTAGACAGGTTACATACGTGTGCGATTGGTACATACATAGTATCACGACCTAACCCCTTCTGCCACCAACTCCAACCGCCACGACAGGTTGCAGCCAATTAAAATTACAGTTTCATCCGGCCTTGATACCCTCTACCCTGGCTCCTCTGATGCAGTGTACCCGGCATGTACAGCGTGGCAGTGGACGGTGCCTTCCCCCGCCAAACCTGAGCGCACCCTACCCAGCAGCCTCCCCAGACACCCACCGCGCGGCGTTTGACGTGTGAGGGCAGCAGCGACAATACCCAATTGGAAAGGGTGCCAACCACGGCGGAAAGAAAGCCAGCGACTGCGTCCACCACCACTCGGGCAATTTCTGACAGCGGGTCGGAGTCCTGCGGGCGCGAGGGAGAGGCGTGTGGACGCGTCGGTGCCTACGGGGCGGCGCTTGGGCGGGCGTCGCCAGGGTGCAGCTGAGCGAATCATATTTTGAAGCGGAGGACTGAGCCTCCGCCCCACCCTACCAGGAAACCTTGCTCCGGGGCGCTGCATGGCCCACATTGTGGAGCCCAGCATGGGGCGGATTGCAATCGCGACGAGGCCGGTGGCCACGTGTATCGGTGAATGAGGTTGTCGCGCGCGTATGGCGTGGGAAGATGAACTTGATTGGCCCTGACTCAAGCCCCACCCCGTCCTCGCATTGGGTCATTCTCAGCAAAAGGACAAAACTGCCACAAGCCCACAGAGCGTCTGGTAGCGCGTCTGGTAAGATCACGCGCAGTGATCCCCATCTCTCATGTTGGTAGCAGGCCTACATAAGTCCGCCACTGGGGACTCGCTCACTTGCACACCCTGGCCCCCGTCGTAGCTTGTGCAGGGGCCGTCCGGGGGCCTCTCAGGCGCAGGTGAAGGGCGCGGCCGTGCGCCGGGGGGAGCTGCCCGTGGGTCTGAGTATGCTCCCTGCGCCACAGGCCAGTCGGTCCCTGCCGGGTAGGGACCATAGCTCCAATCTGCTGCCGCAGCTATGTGGTGGCTGAGTCGCGGCCGTTGACCTGACCGCGTGCGTGTGGGTACAAGAAGGGCCCGAGCGCCCCGGCACGGCCAACCAATGACTGAGCTCATGCTAGAAACCTTCAAGCAGTAGGACCTATATCCATTTTGGGGTTGCAAAACGGTTGTTGAGACAGGCTAATGACACTAAAGTTTTAAGAGACCCTGGAAACAACTGTACTTCACCCCATGGTGTGCATGTATGACACTTAGGTAATTGGTTATTGTTACCGCCTTCGGCAGTAAGGGATTTTTTGCAGTGGCTCCGGAGCGAGCTCCAGGAGGTACGGCCGCCGACGAGTGCTGGCACAAAGACCTCAGGGCATGCACCATGACCTCCTCTTCCTCTGCCCCGTGACCGTGAGGTTAGCGACACTCGCCAAAAATGGTGAGCCTTCAAAGGGGCTGGGTGCGCAGTCGGCGGCGCAATGCTTTTCGCGCGTCTGGGAGGAACTTGCAGAAACGTATCAATACTTTAGCCAGTACCTGTAAAAACTTAGAATTCATACTGAAACAGCAAGAAACGAATATTGTTTGCTTGACAGGGTCGCGTGCGCACCAAGACCGTCAAGAAGGCCTCTCGTGTCATTATCGAGAAGTACTATGGCCGCCTCACAATGGATTTCGACACGAACAAGCGTGTCGTTGAGGAGGTGGCGCTGATTGCCACCAAGCGGCTTCGCAACAAGATTGCCGGCTTCACCACGGTGCGATGTGCAACACACGTTGGCCAGCACCTGCAGCAGTTGAGCTGATCAAAGTTTTATACACATGCAGCATCTGATGAAGCGCATTCAGCGGGGCCCTGTCCGGGGTATCTCCCTGAAGCTCCAGGTGAGCAGAACTGTGCTTCTTGAGGGCGTCTGGGCAACACATCAGAGCCTCTGTCAGCGGGAAGTATGGGGGAGAACAAATGTTCAAGGGAATTCCAGGGTCTGCAGCGGCACGGCTCGGCCCAGGGGCCCGACAACCAGCTTACATACGGCAGCGGGGATAGCAGGCGCGACGTCTGCCGCAGGAGCTGGCACAGGCGCAGGCGCCATCGCTGCATGAGGATGGCCCTGCTGACACGGAGCTGCCCTGGGACTAGGAATGCAGCAGCAAATACCGTTGATGCCAGTCACACAGCGACGCACAGCAAACAGCGCACTCAATGGCGAACGGATGGGAAGGCAGATACCGGCAGCTACAGTTGCCGCTAAAGTAGCAGCTACAGTGCCCGCTTCATCAGTCGTTGGCAAGCGCGGGAGTTCTGTAGGCAGGTTTTTCCTGTAGGGCTTAGGATACTGACGGGACCATACAATAAATGCGGCTTTCAGGAGGAGGAGCGCGAGCGCCGCATGGACTTCGTGCCCGAGGAGTCTGCCATCAACACCCTGGCGATTGAGGTGGGTTTGCTGTTGCGCGGCAGGGTAACATTTTGTTAAGAGGGACAGGTCGCTCGAGATTCCACTCCCCACGACTAGGCACACATTTCTTAGGACAGATATTACGGTAGAGGGGGGCTGACGCAACTTAACCGTGAAGCTAAATGACATGCAGACCTATTACTTAGGTAGGAGTCAGGCCACAACCTGCTCCTGGGCCGACTGCCTTTCCAAGCTTTTGGAACCGTCTCGTGAAAGGGAAGGCGGGCCTAGATGATATGGATCCGTTACGTCGGGTGACGCCGAGCAAGAGCTAATTTGTCGCAGTTTCGTGGGGGACTTGGCATCGAAGGTCTTTGCTAACCTGAGAATTGCTTCCACCATTAGGCGCGCTGCCTGATGTTCTTTTCATGGATTTGGCGTGGCCGACGACAATGTCGAGCTCTATTTTGTGCGAATGCGCTTTCGGCTGGGTTGCTAGCCGTATCGTCGTTAAAGGCCCCGGATGTGGCGACAGCCGTAACCCGCAAATCATTAGGGTCCTCACAAGTGTGATTTGGAGACGTCTAACGACGAGCTGCACCTGTTTGTCGAGTGCACTGCGTACCCAAATCCGCGCGCAGCGTTGTTTCTCCTCCCAGGCGGGTAGCGATATGCTGCTGGCGATGGGTTAGGCAAACCTCTAGGAACTTAGCTTCCATGCCCGCTAATATGTGGCCCGAGCGCACTGAATTGGGTCAAGCGTAGACCTCGCATGGCCTGGTTTATGCGCCTTGGGGTACTCGCAGCGCGCTACAAGTATGAAAACCTGTAGATGAGTGGAACGGGTTCAGAACCGGGGGTCCCATCGAGGGGGGTAACTAGGAGCCTTAGGAAGGATTGTCGTATGTAATACAGTTATCGAAAGTGCGCGAGTACATGCTGCGGCTTTGCTGCGTCGTGGGAATCTGTAAAACTTGGAAGGAGCTGGATATATTGCGTGTACTGCTTTGGGGAGGGGATTGGCATACGAGCAGGCCTTATGTGCGGCATAATTCCGGCACAATATCACGTTTCTCAGTGTACTCCTACTTAGAGCGCTGTAAAAAAGGATGGCGTTGTCTCGTGGTTGGAGTTTTTGATTGGCAATGGATATTGCAGCAAGTTGTGCACGTCTTGGTTGTGAGGCCACTGGGGACGGTTACTGGAGTTCTGTATTGTTTTACCTCTGGGGTTTCTGTTTTAGCGTTTGGACAACGTATTATGTACATACTCGAATGCGCTGAGGAGCTGTCGCACACGGAGCGACCTGGAGTGTGTGATCAGTTTACGAGTTGGCCATGCTCCTGCCTCCAGGTCGACAAGGACACCATGGACATGCTCAAGTCCATTAACATGGGCACGCTGTCGGGCGTGCAGCTGGCGCAGGTGCGTTAATTTGGGTTCCGGCTTCATTGGTTGCAGTGCACATACTTGATGCCGTCCAATATCGGTTGTTGCCAAGCGCTGAAAACGATCGGTCCAGTTTTCGGCTAGCGTGCACGCATAACCGTTATTAAGTTGCCGTCGCATCGTACCTCTACTGCGATTCCTTTTTAACGGAGCCGTGTTTTTTTGACAAGTTACGTTCCTTCCGCTTCATGCGTTCTTCCCCTTCCTGTGCTCTCCAGCCCCAGACTGGGTTCAAGCCCTATGGCGGCGGCAACCGTGGCAAGCAGTAAGGGGTTCTCAGGGTGGCTGTAACTCTGCGCGTGTGTCTCAACTTCTCTTCTTCCTGAAAGACCCAACCACGGCAACACCACAGCTTAAGGCTCGCAGCCGTATATGAAAGCTGAATGACTTTTGCACGCGACAAGAAAAAATTTGGATTGGGAGTATATGAACAAATTAATTGCTAGCATGGGTGCTCATTCTTCATCATACAAAGAGCTTGTCACTGGCCAGGGCATGAAGTGCCTCGAAATTACAGTACACAGCTACCGCTAGCCAGTTGGGATATGCGCAAATGGTAAGACCCCCCTTTAAACTACAGTTGCCCAGCAATACTTGTGTCGGTACAACCGGTTATGGCATCAACAGCAGTAGCAGTGCCCTTCAGAGGGAGGGCTCGTTGGCCACCAGGCGGCTGCGAATCCCCAAATAGACTGCGGCTTAAATGCGTGTATGTTGCAACGACGAACACAGGATTGAGGGAAAACGTAGAAGGACAAACGTACAACGCAAGTACATGACCTGACGCGGCTGGAAAGAAAGTTTAGTCCCTACACCCGGAGGCACCTGGAAGGTTGCGAATAACAGACAAACCAGCGCAAGAGATATGAATACTCACAGCTTGCGACCATTTTCAGGTGGACTTGTCGCAAGTAGCATTTCCGTATCCAAGGTCCATCGGGATCTCTGACGTTCAGGCTTTTCCAAGTAACAAATTTATATTTGCATTAAATTCCTGCTGCTGGTTGAACCGCTAAAACGTAGAATTCAATCTGCAACTGCTACGTTTCAACACATTAGGTCTACTGCACTCCAAGTAACGGGCATCCGAACGGTTTCTGGGTCATAACAATTCTTCCAGAGCTATATAAGAGACAGATCTAAAGCCGTGTCCCATAGTCATCGACCTGCAACTAGGGCAAAATGTCGTCCGTCGACCGTGTAGCTTACATGGACAACATTAGAAGTAGTCAGATAGCTGAGCAGATCAATCGTGAAAAGGACATCCAGCGAAAATACTTCCAAGAGCAGGAAGCAGCAGGGCGCATAGTTCCAAAGCCGCCCTCTCCAGCCCCAGAAAGGAAGTCTATCCTGGAGACAGTTGGTGTTCCCGAACATGTCAAGACAATAAAGCAAGACCCTGAGCAGGTGAGGTCATAAGGTGGAACCGTGAAGCAATACTAGCTAGCGGTCGGCTTGTATGCCTTGCATAACCGCGGGACCCTTGCAGGCGTTGAGCTTGAGTATCAGTAAACATACTTGGAAGGCGAATCCAGGATACCTCGTGCGCGATGGACCCTCGATGGCATCCGTCATGAAGAAGGACTACGTGTGGGACGAGGAGGAGGTGAGTAGGTGGTAGAACCGCTCGGAGCCCTGCCTGTACGCGAGGTCCCTTCAACAAACAAATGAATTCACGCCGTTTGGGTTGTATGTTTGGTTGTATGACACGGATTAAGCTTGAGCATACACACCAGATATAACACGGCGCCGCCCCCTGTGTCATGCCCACAGATCCAGCTGATGAAGGAGCAGGGCCTTCTTGACAAGAAGTACAACCGTCGGCGTGATGAGTTTGTGGACTACAGTGAGGCCTCGGCGCGGATGATCCACTTAAAAAAGGGTGCAGCCCCAGCAAAATGAACGCCTGGATGTGATGGCACCTGTTCTCCAGTACCATATGCTAATGTGTGTGCGCCTAACCAGATACTGTACATAATATCGAGGAATGTATGGTGACATGACGCGTGCAGGTGTAGGTGCTCTACGGTTCTGTGGTTAGGTCAAGGTTTAGGCAAACGTAGGGATGTGCACACCGTCATGCCAAAGCAGGGAATAGGCATGTGAAAACGGGCAGTTGCTCACTAGAAAGCAATGACTGCTGCCATAGAAATAGATTCATTATTAGAACAGCAGCTGTAGTTTGCAGATAGGGGTTGCGCCCGGAGCCCTGTAAGCGGCGGGCGCAGGGCAGCCTAAAGCCCCTGAAGACGGTACTTGAATGGCAGCGTGGGGCGGATAATTGTACTTACGGAACTTTTTCGGCATTGCTCCATGCCATAAATTGTGTGGATTCTGGACTTCTGGATGTGGGGACACGGACAGACACAAATGCTTTTCGCTTACATTTTTGGTGCAGTGCGGATACGACATGGCGTACAAGCAATCGGGCACTATGTTGTTAGGGATCTAACTTGCTTCTTGTTCACTTATTTTAAGTGTAACGCGTTACTTGACACTAGGCCGTCAAGCAGGCGAACACTATCACGTGCAATCTCGGAAACAGAGGTTTTGTTGTTTGTAAAATTCTTGCAGTTGCGCACATTATCGCAGCAGTGATGTAGGAAATCTTCTTTTACTGTCCGGCGACCATAAGGCGCCGCGCCAGCACAGCGACCAGATGGCCGCCAAGCGGAAGTTGGCTGAGGAGGTTGTTGTGGAAGGAGGCGAGCTTGACACCTCTAATCATGCGCACATTATTCCCCTGGGAGCTGGATCGGAAGTGGGCCGATCGTGCATTATCCTCAAGTACCAGTAAGCGCGTCAACGAACTTGGCTTTTTAGGGCGAATGGCGTCAATGCAATTCATAAAAACACATGCAGGGATAAAACTGTCATGTTTGACTGTGGCATCCATCCCGCCTTTAAGGGTATGGACAGCCTACCCTTGCTAGATGACATCGACATCGCCACGGTGGACGTGGCCCTGATAACCCATTTCCATTTGGACCACTGTGCGGCAGTGCCTTACCTGCTACGTAAGACTCGTTTTAAGGTACGTGATTTCATGCAATTGAAATGCCGTTACCCGATGTCTTCGCGTGTGCGAGGGAGTTGGTATTTCCCAAAGTGACGTGCCAATAGCAGCAGCTCATCGGCATGCCGCTGCTTTTATGCGCAGCCCGCACGACACAATGCTCCCTCTGCCAAATGGTTACCTATCACTGTACCGCGCTCCGTGCTTTGGCTGCCAACCGCTAGGGCCGTATCTTCATGACCCACCCGACCAAGGCGATTTATTACTCGCTCCTGCGCGACCTGGCGAAAGGTGCTAAGCACAGCAGCGAGGAGGCACTGTTTAACGAGGAGGACTTGGATGCGTCCATGGAACAAATTGAGGTGGTGGACTTCTACCAAACGATAGAGGTTTCCGGAATGCAGGTGGGCTGCCGGGCTCTATGGCTTCACCTATTCCCAGGACCCCGTGGCCTTGCTGGTTGTGTGATGAACGTATATGCCTCGCCAGCTTCGCTAGTCAGCCGGCTGCGCTGTTCGTTATCCGTATATTGGGAGCCGTGTCATGAGGTCCGGCGCTTGTGGAGGGCATTAACCATACCGACTTGTTGTCACAGGGTGACAAGCACTCCCCAACCGAAGTTAACTGCCTTACGAACCTATCCTAACAGCGTCGGCATCAGCTGCACCAAATCCACGCTTACCCTCTGTCGCAATCACCAGATCACGCCGTACCGTGCTGGACACGTCCTTGGCGCGGCGATGTTCATGGTTGAGGTTGCGGGTCTGCGCTGCCTGTACACGGGGGACTACTCGCGGCTGCCCGACCGCCACCTGCCGGGAGCGGACACGCCGCCTGTGACCCCGCATATAGGTGAGGCAATAACACGCCAAGACGGCAAGAGGACTTGCACACAATAGTAGTGCGGTTGCTGCATTTTGCCGTGAAGCTAACTTTCTTGGAGGCACCGTATAACTAAGGAGCCACACCCGTGTCTGTGACCTGAAGCTCTGGCGTGTGACCTTAGCCAATGCCTTCATTTGATAGTCGAATGCTAAGCGGCCACTGCTGTAGCTGAGGTGGCTGTTTCCAGTCTTATTGTATCCTATTCATGCTTGTTTGCGGTAAGGGGAGTTGGTAAAGCCTCTAGTAGGGGGGAGACATGTGGCGGACCTACCTTGGCCACTCGTCCCAGCCTGTCTCAGGTCTCACCGCACTCAGCGAAGCTCGTGTCAAAGCTCGATATTCTGACTAGCCGGCGCACCGCGGGTCTTGCCAGTCACGCATGGCCACCTTGACGGCAGTAAGCCAGATTGGACACCTCGTCCCTCTCCGTATCTGCCTGCCTGCTTTACTGTTGTTGCAGTCATCGTGGAGAGCACGTATGGGACCAGTCGCCACTTGCCCCGGCAGCAGCGTGAGCAGTTGCTGATAGACAACATTCGGACAACCCTTAATCGAGGCGGTCGCGTGCTGATGCCCATTGTGGCGCTAGGCAGGGCACAGGTGGGTGGTGGATATGTGGCTTTCGAAACTCAGGGCATAGCCGGGAGAGGTCCTGTACGCAACTGACTTGACGCTGCATGGCTCCGCGATGGCATCGTGCCCACTGGGAAGAATCCCTTGTGTGTGTGGTGTCACTGAGGGGAATGCTCCTGACGGGCGCTTTTACTTCCAAGGATGACCTTGAGAACCGAATTATTGTCCAATTGCTGTCAGACACAGCCTTGGTGACAGCTACCGGGTCTGAGGAAGCACACTGGGTTGAAAGGCGGAACGCATAAGCAAGCTTGCGACGTTAATTGACGGCCAGTGCACATCTGCCTGAATGGCGGAATGACGGTGTGAGAGGGAGTTGTATTGCTTAAGTTGGTTGGTGGCATCTGCTTTTTTCGCACGCGGTCCGCAACACGGACGAGACTTTTATAGAAGCTTGGAAGTGTGCGCTATGTAGTCTGGCCTGTGGGCATCGTATACAGCAGTTTGGAGGACCTGGATGGCTCCCACTGGTGTAGGTCGCTTGTATGTCCCCAGAGGCCCACACGGCAACAGGAAGGCTTCCTCTTGCGATGGCTTTAGGTGCATTTCGTTCTCAGGACTGCGACGCCTTCCTCAAGTGCCACCTCAAGTGCATACAGACGAAAGGCCCCGAAGATGACCCGAACGGGTTCTTTGTCCAATTGCTGTCTGACACCACCATGGTGACACCACACAATTCCGGTCTGAGGGATGCCCAGCTTGCATGCAGACCAGCAAACCCCCCACCCGCCATGACACCGGCGGTTGGTGCTTTGCCTTTTGCACCATCATCATCGTCACCATCATTAAATATTCCGCAACCCCGTTCTGAGACTCGGGGGGCCGCTGTGTCGTGTGTCAGCAAGGGATTTGCCCCGACCCTTTTGGCCTTTACCGTAATCCGCTGACTTGATACCGGGTTCCTGGCACGGCTATCGCGACGGTTTCGGGTTGCGGTTGACTGTTCGTGCCCGCACATGCGGTCCAGGAGCTGCTGTTGTTGCTGGATGAGTACTGGGAGGCGCACAAGTCGGAGCTGGGCGGCATTCCCATCTACCAGGCCAGCTCCATGATGAGCAAGGCTCTGGGAGTGTACCAGACGTACGTTGAATCGCTCAACGAGGACATCAAGAAAGTCTTCCATGTGGGTGCGGCTGCGGACGAAATACCCCAGCACGGGCTTGCGCGGGGCGGACCCTGCTTCGCGGGAAAATCGGGTTGCAGAACCTGTTATCGACGCACCCTATTTGTCGTGATTTGATAGGAATGATGGGGCTATGGGATGATGGGACGATGTTACTATCTGTATTCCCGGGGCCCTTTGCTTCGGTCTGCACGGACCGCTCGAGTGCTCTACAACGCGGCGGCCGCTCGCGCCGCTCCAGTGACACACCAGTGGCTCGCTGCTTCCTGCCGCAGGACCGCAACCCCTTCAAGTTCCGTCATGTGCAGACTCTCAAGAACCCTGCGCACTTCATCGCCGACTACTCGGGTCCCTGTGTCATCATGGCCACGCCCTCAGGGCTGCAGTCCGGGGCATCCAGGGACTTTTTCGAGGCCTGGTGCGAGGACGCGCGCAATACCTGCATCATCTGCGACTTTGCAGTGCAGGTGAAGCGATGCCATCAAGGCATCGTAGGGATTGTAGGGGCGAGGAAACTAAACGCAACCTATGATTTCGACTTTCGCGGTGAAGGGAAGGCGCTGTCGGTCGAGTACGCCCGTCGCTGAGGGAAATCGAGCCCAATCAGCGTGCAGCGTGCGCAGTCCTTTATTCCCAGGAGGCCAAGCATGTTCTGTTATGCTTCATGTGCGTACTGCAGGGCCACCCGGACGTTGTTAAGGTTGCCTGTCTGGCACGTAGTTCTCTTAGCGGCCTGCACTAGGTAGTGACGTAGACTTCGGAGTGGGACGATACTGCTTCACAAGGACGCCGCCCGCAGTCGAGCTCCTCCCGAGTCCCTCCTCATGATTGTTAGCTCCATTTCCTGCAGAGGGATACTGACGACGACTGGCCAAATGCGCGTTTCTCCTCTGTGGCCCTGTTGCGTCCAGGGCACACTGGCCAAAGAAATCCTGGGCGGCCCGAGCTCCATCACCACCCGCGAGGGTCGCAGGGTGCGTTGTTGTGGACGCCTTCCTCCGCTCTCCCATGGCGCTGTCGAGGGGTTCTCCCCGGGCTTGCCCGGTTTGCCCGGCCGAGGCTGGCGGGCAGGCGAGGGCCTCGTAGGCCAACAGCGGATTCGGTTCCTGCCGCAAATGGACGTTATTGTTGCTTGCGCCATTTCGAGTTAGCTCCGGGGACGTTTTCTCCTGTTTGCGCCGCTCCTCCTGTAACACGACTAAAGTTTCCGTGTCTTTTTTTATCGCGTAATACTTACGGCACCTCCCCTTGCGGCACATCCACATTTGCTCCTTGATTTCTTGCGTGTTTGCGACAGGTTCCTCTCCGCATCGCAGTGCACAACATCTCTTTTTCGGCGCACGCCGACTTCGACCAGACCTCGGGCTTTCTGGACACTGTCAAGCCGCCGCACGTGGTGCTCGTTCATGGCGAGTACGGCGAGATGCGTAAGCTTGCTAAGGCGCTTAAGGACGGCGCCAAGGCCGCTGGGCTGGCACGGGAGGTGTACACACCCGTGCTTCAGCAGACCGTGGCGGTGAGCAGGGTATGCGGCACCCGCATTGGGTGCGGCGGCTTGCTGGGCTGTTCAGGGTTTAGGCCGACCCCCAGGCTGGTCAAATTAGATGTTCCAGTTGCTGCTCCCTTAGGCCAGCCAACAAAAACCGGCCTAGGTAACGTTCCTAATGGTGGTGACAACTGCGTTGCAGATTGAGCACCAGCCCGACCGCAGCGTACGGCTCCAGGGCCGCCTTGGTGAGAAGACGCTGCAGCCCGGAGGCGTTGTACGCGGCGTTCTTGTCCGTCAGGCGGGCGGCTTCGGGCAGCAGCTTCTGCACCCTGACGACCTGCCGCGGTACACCAAACTGCTCAAGGGGCGGGTCACGCAGCGCCAGGCCATCAGCGTGGACGTACCGTTCTCCGTCATACGGCTGGCCCTGGAGGTCATGTTCGAGGGCGTGGAAGGCGCTGGCACTGTGTCAGTGACCTCAGTTCCTGGCGCGGCCGGCAAGGTGAGCAGTTGCCGGAAAGGTGTACGGACCGACCATTCAGCCAAAGGGCCTTCCGCTCTGTACCTTGAGGTGCCATGTGTAGACGTCATGCGGTTGAAGAGATGAGCGTGTTTATTTCCAAGGGGTCGCAGCGCCGACACGAAAGCTTTTACCCCGTGGGGAAATTACAGGATTCGCAACGAGTACTGTGATTTGTCTGCCTGCCTTGCCGTTCTGTTTGGATTTCGTCGATACTTGCAACGGCACCGCCCTCTTGAGCTACGTCAACTTCTCAGGGCTATAAGTTTTTGGGTGTGATGGTAGCGGACGACCAGCTGGACTGGCAGCCTAATCCACAGTACCTGGCTAAGGAGGGTCTCTATCAGGCACACTGCTATAGCATATAGTACAGTTTTCCTGTGTGATGAGGTAATAGATTCACCTTGTGCGTTTTATGATAGCTACCTTATTTGGATAGGTTTCGCCTGGCCCTTGGGCCCCCGGCTTGTATGGACCCATTACACCAACTCAAAGTGTAACACAGATACACACACACATATCTTGACACTGCTGCAGGGCAAGGAGGTCCTAGCAGTAATGGTTGGTGATACGGTGGAGGTGCGTTACATTCCAGCGGACGACACTACCGGCATGGTCGCACATGTCGTGCTAGAGTGGGAGGGCGGCCGGCATGGGGACATGGTGGCGGATGCCGTAATTGCCGTTGTCTTACAGGTAAGCAGGGTGGGGAAGTATGACTTGAGCTGCTCAGGCGTGCGGCTCAGGCTTTTGAAGCTTCGATCTTGGAGGACGGTGCTTCAGCAGCAATGTATGCTATGACGCCACTGCCCTGTCCTCCACTACCCTGAACGTAGGCGGTGGGGGAGCCAGTGGGGGCCTCAAACGCGGAGTCGGCCATGAACCGGGCGCGAGCCGCGGGCGATGAGACGGCTGCGGCCGCTGCAGAGCTGCAACTGATTGCGGCGCTTCTCCGAAGCCAATACGGTCCAGCAGTGGTTGACGAGGCGGGCGGCAGCATCAGCTTGTCAGTGGACGGCGTGTCTGTATTGGTTGACTATAGGGCGGGAAAGGTTATATGCGGGGAGGTGGGGTTGCGGGCACGAATAGAGAAGAGCTTGGACCGGTTAGCGACTGCAATAAGGCCGGTGGCGATAGACCGACCGCAAGGGTAAGGATTTCGACTGGCCTGCTTTTGAGGGCCGGTGGCGAAGTTATATGTCTTTCGCCTATTATACGAGGTAGCTACAGTTCTGGAAGTCCATGGGCTGGTTGCAGGGTCTGCCAAAGGAAAGAATAAGGCAATATTTTGTCGTTGTGGTTGTAAAATGGGTATAGTTACCACGTAGCGGCAGTATATTATACGGTGGGCAGGATTTGTGATGTTGCACCGGGACAGGACGCAAGCTGCAAGAATTATGGACCGCTCACACTATCATCGCCCATGCAATGCTATTGCGGTTGATCCGTCATATACAATGTGCTCGCCCTGAGTACTATGAAGCCATGCATATGAATGGACGATATAGATAATGAACGTGTTTCGTATTGGTTGGGAGAATTCAGCATGTGAACAATTGGATTCAAAGGGAAGCCTGTCGAAAGCCCAGAACGAGGACATTTCGTGCCTGGATTTGCAAGCATGGGTCAGCCGTGGTCGGTATGGCACGGCTAATCTCCAACACACACCGTGTGGTAAACAACAATGCCCCCGGGAACTTGCCATAGGGTCAGACAGAGCGTAATTGACGTCTTAGATGCCAGCAAGCCCAGCCATATATCCTAACTCAGGAAGGCCTACCGACGTCTATCCTATTTTTGCCCTAGCGGCGCCGCTTGTTAAAGATCTGTATGCTGGACCGTAAATACGTCCAAATCTCTAGCTTCAACCTGACGATAAAGTCACACGCAGTCCTACCCCTTAACCCAGAGCAACTAGCACATTCATGCGGCCAACGATCGCAGATGAACTTGGCGCCAAGTCCCCCACCCATGCGTCTTCTGAGCGTCCTAATATGTTCGGTCAGCGCACGACTCCTGCCAAAAGGCCTGCATTGACCACTGCCGCAGCACCAGCAACGGAAGTGGTAACCGTCATGTTTGAACATGTACTCAATTGCATTTTGCATACGCGCTCGTTTGCCCGCAATTGTGTCTTCTCTTCCAGCACGAGCATACCGTCTTCTCTGGGTTAGGGGGCTGGATAAGACCCAAAATCCCATCCAGCGGCCCCAGAAACCTACATAGGCCGCCACAATGCCGAAGTCTACCCTATACCCTAGGCGCACGGGCCCCTGCGCCCTCCGGCTGCCTGTTCCGGCTTCCCTGCAAGCTCCACAGCTACCCCCGGAACTTTCTCCACCCGCCATGCAACGAGGAAAACACACTCGTTCCCAGCACACCCCCATATGTGTGCTATCGCCTTACGTGGTCGTTCAAGGCTTAGCGCCACCCACGACTGTGTTGGCAAGCACATATGTGCGTACGGACAGCATCTTTGCCTTCTCAATCAGCTGCTCGTGCACTGATTGCGACTGCGTGCCCATAACCACCGTCCCCGTTTTTGAGTCAATCTTAGCGTTCAGCTTCGCGTTCAGGATGAGGTTGGCAATCCATTTCTCCGCTGCCTCCTGGTCCATCCCGAGCCGCTCTGCCAGCAACGCAATCGAAATGGACTGATGTATCCGGCAGTACGTCTCGAAGATGAAGAGGCGCGCGTTCTCAATGAACTCCTCCTTGTATGCGGCGAGGAAAAAGTCGTTCTCAAGCACTGCCTCGCACTCCTTAAGCTTCTGCTGTGCACCGTCGAAGTCATAATGAACGAAGACACACTCCAGGAACTGCGTCACGGGGTCGCTGTACTCGTAAGACTCCTGCTGAATCGCCCGGATTAGGTCCTTCAGCACGCTGCGCTGCTTCTTTTTATTAATCACAACCGCCACCGCAACGTAACGCAGCAGGTGGGGGGCGTTGATCTGGATGGCCGAGAGGTAGGGGGGGGCCATGAACAACTCGATGATGTCATTGCGCCCGTTTTCATGGTTCCAGAAGACGTACAGGGACCAGTGCAGCAGCCATGTGCGCTGCTGGAGCTGGACTAGCGGCGGGGCGAAGGTCTGGTTATCGATCGCCTCCCTCAGCTTGAAGACGTCCTCACGTGCCTCCTGAATGTTTACGGCTTCGTGCATAAGGATTTCGGCTGCGAGCTTGCCCCAGAGTGCGCTCATGTTGCGCTCGCTGTTGGTACACAACGTGCGGTAACTCTGCAAAAGCTCCGCTGCGAGGGAATAGTTTCCACAGTTGAACTGGAACCGTGCATACTGATAGAGCGCCTCAACGTGTTCAGCGCCAATTTGAAACTCTTCCTGCAAGAATTGCAGGTTGAAACTTTTATCCTGCCGAAATTTCTCCACGACGTGCCTGTTCTGCAAGCACTTGATAATCGGGTCCACGTCCGCTTGCAGCTGCCGCAGGCGCGCCACAACCTGCGTGCGGCGCTCCTTCATTTCCTGAGGTACATCGTCCACGCCGTTCAGGCCCTTATAGATATCCATGGCAAAGTCCACCTGCGCGCGAAAAAGACAGAGTGTCAGATGTCGACGCGACCAGAGCTCCTTTTCGAGTGTCAAAACAATGAAGTGCAAAGATCTACGCATATTGCGAACTGACGGTAACGCATGGCCCCACCATGTTCGTTTTGTCCAACAGCGCGAGCTTTGCCCGCAAAATGTCATCCTCGTTGTACAAGCCGCGCTCCTGAAGGTACTCCATAATCGGCAAGGTAAGGTGCAGATCCAGGTACTGCACTAGCTTTGAGGACAACTCATAGTTCTGTGCCGCCGCCATCTTTGCGGTCTGCGCACTAGCGCACAGGCTAGTAACGTCAATCGAGCCTAAACCAGTAAACACAGCAGAACGGTGAAGCTGTGCAAGCACAGTGCGGATAGGGACGCTCGAGTCTATTCGGAGGGGCAAACCTTCCCGACGGTTGTACGACACCACTTGCGGAGTGTCAACTGAAGCTTTAGAGGTGCCAAGCCAGTGGTTCCTTTGTCTCGCTTTTAAGAATCAAAATTGGACTGCACATTTTTCTATCATTCCGGCATGGTGATGACTCAGTGTCGTCCAAGCAATCTGATGCCGACGCTCCTACCTTTCAAACGCGCTAAGTATACTAATTAACCCTAAACACACATACGGGAGCAATTCCTTATTATGAGCTCCTCCGTCGTGGTACTGCCGCCGTCTCCCAACTGGTGCGTGTCACGAAACAAACAACCGTGCCGCACCGACTTCCTCACACCCATCCCTACGCTCCAGTTTCTTTTGTATCCTGTTGCTATAAACCTCACTATCCATATGTGGGTTACACCTTTAGCATGCCTACGTTGTATCCCTACCCAGGTTTTGCGGTCAGGTGGTCTCGGTACTACCCAGCCGGCAGCTGGTGGCGTATGGCGGCCACAACTGCGTGGTACTGTGCAATGCCGCCACACGTACTGTGCAGCGACTGCTGTCCTGCGGTCTGTGCAGGTAGGTGCGCCACGAGCTAAGTGCTGGATTAATGAGACAAATCAGTCCCAATCCCACGCCACGTGCTACGGTTTTCACGGGAACCCATTCGGCTCAGCTCTGATCCTGCTCATTCCGGCTACCGCTCCATTAATTTCCCTTATAACCCCAATCCCGACAGTTGGTGCTTCTGCTGTCGGCAGTTGTCTATCTTAGACTTTCGCATCATATGATTTCCCTATCCCCGGCACACACACACACACACATGCACACATTACGCACAGGGTCACGAGTGTATCCCTGGTTCCGGAGCTCGCGGGCCGACCGCTGGTGGCTGCCGGCTGCGAGGACGGCTCCCTTCGCTGCTGGAACTGGCAATCCGGGGAGCCAGTCCGCAGCCACCGCAAGACGTCTCCCGAGGTGACCGCCCTGGTGGCCCTCGTGAGGTGGGTAGCTGCGTGGGTGCGGGAGAGGGGGGAGGGAGAGGGGAGGGAGAGGGGAGGGAGAGGGGGGAGGGAGAGGGGGGAGGGAGAGGGGGGAGGGAGAGGGGGGAGGGAGAGGGGAGGGAGAGGGGGGAGGGAGAGGGGGGAGGGAGAGGGGGAGGGAGAGGGGAGGGAGAGGGGAGGGAGAGGGGCTCCTCGGGGGCCTGGGTAGCTGTGTGACGAATTAAGGGACACGGATACCTCCTCCCCGTAGAGCGATCAACCCTTGGGCTTGGGAACCCGGCAGACCGCTCGGCGCGGATGTGTGTGCAACCCGCCTAGTGTTGCACCCCAGTGTTCACCCCTCCATTCCCCGCCCCCACTGCCTGTGTGCGCGTGTGCATACGTTGGTGTGCTTTGGTGAGCCGCAGCTCTCCCGTGGAGTTCATTGCGGGGGATGCGAAGGGCGGGCTGACGTTGTGGGTGCCGGAGACTGGCACCCGGCGACCGGTGGGTCCCTCACCCCAGGCCGGGGCAGGGGCCGGGACTGGGGGGCTGCTGCCCGGCCGTGTCACCTGCCTCGCCGCCTGCAGCACACCCGCATCCGCATCCGTCGCGAAATCCTTGGTGGTGGCTGGCGTGGCGGATGGCAGCATCCGCCTGGTTGACGTGGCAGCGGGGCAGGTGCTACTGGCCGTACAGCAAGCTCACAGGTGTGCCGTACGATCGCTACAGCTGGCAGCGCTGCCGTATCTATCGGGGCTGCCCGCTGCGGCTGCGGCAGGCGCAAGTGGAGCCGGGTCTCCGTCCCTGGAGGCGAGTGCGGGGCGGGTTAGTCCGCCGGGTCAGCAGCGCGACGGTCCTGGCACGGGGTCGCCGCCACCCGGCAACGCCAACGTCACGGCGACTGCCCCTGCTGACGCAGCCGCCAACTCTGCGACTGCCGCCGCTGCTGCTGCTGGTGATGCAGTCCTTTCTAACGTTGAAGACGACGGGAGCTTGGTACAAACCAACGGCACAGACGGAGCGTCGCCGTCGCCAGCGGGCAAGGACCCCCCGAAAGCCAGGGCCGCGGCGTCGGATGCGTGTACAGCAGCAGACGCGCACGGCGGTGGCGGCGATAATGCCGCGGACCCCGTCAGGTGGCCAGAGCACTCCTGGGGCCCGGGGCAGGAGCAGGCGGAACCCTCAGCAGCAGCAGCAGCATCGCCGTCGGCAGCGGTGGCGGCGGCGGCGGCGGCGGCAGCTCCCACTGACCTTTGGCTGCTCAGCAGCGGTGAGGACGGCCTTGCCAAGGTGGGTACCCCGATACCGCAGCCCGAGTCGGGCCGTCGGGAACGCCGGGGCGGGAGCTGGGGGAGCAGCGACGAACGGACACGATTTATGGCTCTGGTCTGATGGGTGTCGCTGAACTGGCCTTTCCAGGAAGAGAGGGGCTGCACCGCACAGGCGCTATTGCCACCGTCGCTCCTGTAGTTGAGGTGGTGACAGTGGTGACCTTCCCTTCCCTTGCTTGCCTCCTGCGTGCAGGTTTGGAGCTTCCCCGCCATGAAGGCGGCGGCGGCGTTGATGGCGGCGGCGGCGGCACTTCCTGCAATGGTGCCGCCGCCGCCACCTCAGCCGCTTGCTGTCGTACGGCTTCCGCCGCCGCCGCCGGGGGTCTCACAGCAGTCTGGCCCCGGCGGTGGCGGCGCTGCCTCCCGGCATCCCTGGGTGCCCGCTGCGCTGCTTCCCGGATGCGACGTGGGCGGTGGCGGCAGTGAGCTGGTGGTGGCGCTAGCGGCCCCCTGGGGGCATGTGCTCATGTACCATGTGTCGCTGGGTGAGTGCTGCTGCTGCTGCTGCACGTGTGTGTGTGTGTTTGTGTCACGTTGGAGCTATGTGAGATAGGTAGGAAATGTTTTAGGTACTGTTATGGCCGCTGGGCGGCAAGTTCCCTCCCGTTTTCCGTTTGGGGCGGCTGAAGCCCCTCCGTGTGCGTGATCTTTGTCGTTGTTGGGCGCTATCATCTCACCACCACCATCACCATTACCACCAGAACTACCGCAACCATCACCATTTCCTTCACCACCATCACGACCGCCATCACCATGATCACCACCATCACCATCATCACTATCCACCATCACCATCGTGATCGCCATGATACCACGTCCACCCCAACGTCATCACCGCTGACTCCCCCCCTTCCCTTCCCCTCCTCTCCTTTCCGTCCCCCCCCCCCCGACACCCCCCCGACACCCCTCCTCGACCCAGCCACCGGTAAGGTGACCCTCACTGCGCGGCTCAAGCACCACAACCGACCCGTCTTCACGCTGCACGCCATGAGGCTGCCGTACGACGACGCCAGTAGCCGTACAGCAGCCCTCGCCGCACCGTCTTCGCCGCAGGCCGAACCCGAACATGACTCCCGCGCCACCGACCTGGCATCCGTGCTCTTACCACCCGCACCACCCGAGGCATTTGACCTCGCGGACGGCAGGGCCCCTCCCGCGGGGGCTTGTGTCGCCCCGGGGGGCACCTCGGCGGCTGTTGCGGGTGGACGTAGGACGACAGCCCCGGGGACTGCAGGGGAACTCGCGTGCTCAGCCTCAGCAGCCCCGTCCCCCGCAGGGCCCCCTCCGCGGCCCTGCCTACACATCCGCCTGGTGAGCAGCTCTCAGGACCGCAGCCTGGTGGTGACGGACCTCACCATGCAGAGGGGGGACACACCTGGACACGCCACAGCCGTAGCCGCTGGATCTGGATCTGGATCTGGTCGGGAAGGGCCGCCGTCCGAAGCGACTGGGGCGACTGAGGGGGGCCTCCGCCAGGCCGGCTCCGCGCGACTGCCGGGCTGCCGTACAGCGGCGGGACAAGGGGCCACGGAGGGGGCGGGGAAGTGGCGGCAGGGGCAGGGGCAGGGGCAGCAGGAGGAGGGGGCCGGTGGGGGAGTGGATCACCCGGCATCATCATCATCAGCAGCAGCAGCAGCAGCAGGTGGTGGTGGTGGTGGTGGTAGTGGCGGCTCCCTGGCAGTGTCCGCAAGTCCGTGTGTTGTTCCCCGAGGTGGCTGTGTGTGGTGGCGGCTGGTGGGGCTGGGCGGCTACCCGCATGCGCTGCAGGTGGCAGGTAGGGGCCGCGGTGGGGTGGGGGTGGGGGTGGGGCAGGAGAGAGAGAGGAGCTCTCGACATAACCCAGGTCTCCTGTATCGGTAGCGGAATACACATTTCGGGTGGTGGTGCGGTAATGTTCGGACGGTTATCCGTTCTGTTGGCCTTCCAGCGTCTTCCTTCCGAGCCTCCATCGCGCCCCACCCACCCGGTGTATGGACTACTGCTACTGCTACTGCTACCGCATGATATTACGCATTTCCTCGACTCCCCCTCTCTTCGCCGCTGCCCCGGTGCGGCCCCACCATTGCCCGCCACCTCCATGGCTCCCCAAACCGGTAGATATGTCCTCACGCCTCGTGTCTCCGCATGATTTCCGCGGCCGTCCCCCGTCTCTCCCCCCCACCCCACCCCGCGGACAGACCGCTCCCCCAGCGCCCTCCTGGCTGTGGGCTGCGGAGACCGCACCTTGCGTACCGTGGGGCTGCAGCTGGGAGCGGGGGAGGGGGAGAGGGAGGGGGAGGGGGAGGGGAAGGGCGGCGACACAGGGACTATCGCCGTAAAGCATCAACCGCAACCGCCCAACCAACAATCGCAACCTACGTCCCCCGGTGAGGGCGTCCGTACAGTCTCCACCCTGGGAACCCCTGATGCCTCCACCTCCACCTCCACCTCAACAACAACAACAACAACAACAACATTAGCAGCAGCTGCAGCAGCTGCACCGGTATCGGTATCGGTATCGGCAGCACCACCAGAGCCAGGACCGCAGCCACCAGGAGTAGCAGCAGTAGCAGTGGCAGCGACATCGGGACTGACACATGGGCTAAAAGAGCAGCAGCAGCAGCAGCAGGAGGAGGTGGAGGAGGAGGGACAGCAAGAGCAAGAGCAGGGTGATAGGTTGGACATTGCCACACCATCATCATCACCGCCACCAACGGCATTCCGTCAGGTTCCGGAGCTAGGTGTCAGGGGGGAAGACACTACCGGTGTGGGCGGCAGCGAGGGTGAGGGTGAGGGTGAGGTGCGTGGGCGGCTGCGACGAGGAGATGGAGGTGGCGGAGGGTCGGGGTCCTCTGCTGGAGCCCCCGGGGGTCCCTGGCCGAGTTCGCTTCTGTGGAGGGACATCCGAGATCAGGTGGGTCTGTGGGTCGGCTTGCTGCGGGAGAGGGCAGCCCGATCACGTGCTAGCGTGCCGAGGGTATGTGCGTATGTACGTATGCGCGGATGTGCATGAAGGACACGTGCAAAGATACCCAGGAGGCTGGCTGGGCGAGAGGGGGAGGTTGGCTTCCTGTCCAGAACTTGCTCCCGTTATGTACACCAGCGCCCGTCCCCCTCCCTGCCCTCTTTTACCCCCCCTCCCGTCCCCCCCCCGGTATGGTTGACATGCCCCGTCAAGTCAGGTTGTTCGAGTTGCCTGGCACCCCGCGGACCCCCGTGAGTGACCGCACCCGCACCCGCACCCGCACCGCCACCTGAGTGCACCAGTAGGGAGGGGGGCACGCAGAAGGAGGGGCGTTGAAACCCCCGCCCGCTCCGCGAGGGGGTGGGCGGGTATGTGCACACGTCCAGGAAACTACCGCTGCCGGGGTGGGGGAGGGAGGAGGGTGGCTAGGTGGACGGGGCTGTGTGCCGCCCTAGCTGCTTCCTCTGGACTTGTACCCGTCATTCCCCCTCTTCCCCCCTCGCGTACTCAGCGGCCCTCGATGTCCATCTCTCTGTATGTGTGTCGAGGACTGGATGTGTGTGGAGCTGCTAGCTGGGGGGAGCAAGGGGGGAAGGGAGGGGATGTGGCGGCCGAAACCCCAATCCCCTCCACCCCGCCCCTTTTTCACAAGAGCCCCACCTCCGCTCCTCTCCCCGCCACCTCCCTGCACGAGGTCATCTCCCCTCCCAGCCGCCCCCTCCGCGGGGCCAGTCCGCGCAGACCCTTCCGGCCTCACCTTGCCTCGTCTAAGGGTTCCGTTGCACACGTAGACGTTCGCCCTCCCGCCTCACCCCCCCGACCGCAGGCTACCTGGCATTCGGCTGCGCGGACGGCAGTGTGGGGGTGATGGATGTCCGCAAGCAGAACTCCAGGGTATTTGCCGTACGACACTCAGGGCCCGTGACGCACCTGGCGTGGATGGCGTCGCCGGCTGCTCCACCTCCGCAACCACCCCTACAGCAACAACACGCCGCCACGGTCACATCATCGTCGCGGCTTAGCCCCGCTGCTCCTGCTCCTGCTGCTGCTCCTGCTCCTGCTGCTGCTGCTGCTCCTGCTGCTGCTGCTGCTGCTCCTGCTGCTGCTGCTGCTGCTGCCAGATCTGGCGGTGGTGGTGGCAGTGAAGGCGGCAGTGTTAGCGGCGGCATTGGTGGGGGCCGGCGCCAACAGCCACGTCCGCAATCTCGCCACTCTCCTCACGCACAAGGCCAGGCCCAGGCCGAGGACCGACCCGCGGGTCACAAGGAGCACCGGGAGCACCAAAGGCTAGGGCAAGATCCGCAGCAGTCCCAGGTGGCTCCTGGTCCTGGAAAAGGGTCCCGTGTGGTCGGGGATGGGGGGGAGGAACCAGCGGGTGTAACCGCACCCTCGCCTCCGGCCCCGCCCCCGGCCCCGGCCCCGCCGCCTCCCCATGAGCCCCCGGATGAGGGCCACTCAGTCGCCCAACGCCTGACTGCGGCACCCACTGACCCACTGTCACCACCGCCGCCAACTTCGCCAATTCTGCCTCCGCAGCAAACTCCTCCACCGCCACCGCCGCCACCGCCGTCACCGCCGCCGCCACCTCCACCGCCGCCGCCGCCACCGCCACCGCCGTCAGCCTCAGATAATCCCGAGGCTGATGTACGGCACGGTGAAGAGCAGATCCTACAGCTACCACCGCAGCAATCACCCCCCCCTGAAGCAGCCATGCAACCCCGCGCGCCTGAGCTATGCCCGTCGGCATCCGAGGTGGTTTCGGAGCCGGGCCCACTTGCACATCATCCGCCCTCCCAGAGTCCCTGGAGCCAGACACGGGGTGCCGTACAGCGCCCCAGCCAAGGGGGTCACATCTCCGCGCGGGGCAGGGCCCGAGGGGGGATGAGCGCCAACGCGGTGTGTGGAGGTGGTGCAGGTGGAGGTAACGGTGCAAGCCGGGAGGGTGGCATTGGCGGCAATAGCGGCACGAGCACTTGGCACCAGCCGTCCTTCTCCGTGAGCCGGGGTCCCGGTGGTGGCAGTGCGGGCTTCCGGGGTAGGGGGCGGAGCGGAGCTCCCTCAGCCGCACCCGGCTGGGGGCTGATGGGGCCGCGGGGAGGGGGCGGGGGAGGTGTTGGGGAGGAGGACCCTCCCGCCAGGGTCAGCGAGAGGCCGGAGCTGCTTGTGCGGAGTTGCGTGGGTGACCTGGGAATTGAACCTGGGTGTCCCGAAGGAGGAGATGGAGGAGATGCGGAGGCGGCTCTGGGAGCACGGCCGGCCGCGGGGCCGGAGGAGGGAAAGGAGGATGTTGAGGACCTCGGACCCCGGGGCGGTGGCGGTGGCGGTGACGGTGCTGTCAGGCGGGTGGAGTGCGGGGAGGCAGTGGCAGCGGAGCGACGCCGTACAAGGGGACGCCCACACGAGCCCGGCACCGGTCACCGCGGCGAGGCCGATGCGGAGGGAAGGTGTGTGTCGGGTTCTGAAGCCGCACGGGCTGCAGAGGGGCCGCCGCAGCCGCCACGACAGCTGCCGCGCGGCGGCGGCGGCGGCGGCGGTGATGGCGGTGGACGTGACGGTGTACGGGGCGGCGGGAGAGGCCACCGAGCCAAGGAAGCGGGAACCTCGGCGGCTGCATCATCATGCCTTCGAGCTGCTACTACTGCTGCTGCTGCTGCTGCTGCTGCTGCTGCTATAGCTTCCACGGCCCCTGCTGCTGCTGCTGCTGCTGGCTGTCCTCCCACTTACTTTTTGATCAGCTGTGGTGGTGAGGGGCGGCTTCTGCGATGGCCAGGTCCCTCCCTGGACGAGCACTCCGCGGAGCCGGGTCTGGGTCCAACGATGGCGGCCGCTAAGCCTGTGGATGTGAGTGAGGGCCGCCGTACCCCGACTACGTTTACTGTGTGTTTTGTGACGTGTTCATGGCCCGAGTGGTTGGGTTTAGGGTCGGTGGTGATGCTGATGATAGTGATCCCGTTCTGCACCTGTCTGAGACTCTCTCTATCTACCCCCCACCCCCCGCCTCCGACCCGCAGGTCGGGGCCCAGCTGGAGGCCCTCCTGGCTGCGGAGCGGGCGCTGGGGCCGCCAGCCGCCACTGCTACTGCTGCTACTGCTGCTGCTACTACTATTGCTGAAGCCATGGAGCCGTCCATAGGGCCCGCTGCTGCTACTACTGCTGCTACGCCCCACCCCAACCCTCACACTCACTTGCACGCCCAGAGCAGCACACACCGCCGACACAACCCCCCCTCACACCAGCAGCCGCAGCAGCAACAACACAGCGGCTCCCGGGCCGCCGCCGCCAGCGGTGGGGGCTTTGGGTTGCCGGTATGGGCGATGGCGGTCCACCCGCGGCGGGGATGGCTGGCAGTGGCTTTGAAGGCAGGCGAGGCAGCGGCAGCGGGGGGTGGACACGGCGGTGGCGGTGGCGGTGGCGGCCTTGTGGTAGTGGTGGAGCAACAGCCGCAGCTTGGCGCCGGGCGAGGTGGAGGGTCCCGGGGCCCGGCGGCTGCCTGGCGCCTGCTGGCGATGACGAGTAACGCGGGCAGTCAGGAGGCGAGGCTCCTGCTGTGGGGCGACGACTGCGAATACGTCAACGGAGGCGACAGAGACGGGTTCTACAGTGACGCAGCTGCCGCAGAAGGCAATTGCGGCGACGGTAATAGTGACAACTACGGAGCCGGCTCGGCTTTCCTTGCCGCTTTGTATGGCAAAAACTCCGTCTCGGTGTACGGCATGGTGGCGCAGCCGTACGGCAGGTTGTCACCATGCCGCCAGCTGCGCCATGTGTCGTGCTTCTCCACTGAGCCGCGGCAGCAGCAGCTGGTGGCGGCCTGCTGGCTGGGCCGACACTGCTTGGCGCTGGGAGCCGATGACGGCAACGTGCAGCTATGGACGGTACGGCAACCAGCCGACGGCAAGGCTGCCGTACATGGGTCGCCCAGGCCCATGAGCGCCACGGACGGTGCAGGTGGTGGCGATCATGAGGTGGCACAGCCGGGCACTGCTAGTGCCGCTAGTGCCGCTAGTGGGGGGGGAGCGGGACCCGCTGGGCCGGCGGGCATGACAGCGGTGCAGGTGGAGACGGAGGTGAAGGCGGCCGGGGTCCAGGCGCTGCGCGTACGGACCCTTGCGGCGGGCGGCCACCACGGCCACCATGACTCCATCACCTCGCTCACAGCCGTGCGTTGGTGGGCGGAGGGCGGCCCGTTGCCGCCGCAAGCACCAGCAGCAGCAGCAGGGGAGCAGGTAGGCGGTCAGCACCGTGGCAGATCTGCAGGGCCAGTGCGGCGGGGCCCGGGTGGACCGGGGTGGCTGTTGTTCAGCGGCGGGCGCGACCAGAGCGTTCGCTGCTGGCGGCTGGAAGCGGGCCAGCTGCGGACCTGGGAGCTGGAGGCGGCACGGCGAAGAGCGGGGGGCCGTGCGGCTGACGCTGATGAGGAGAGCGACGTCGGCGGGACCGCCAACAAGGCCGCCGTCAAGACATTGCCGGTGACATCGGCGCTGTCGTCGCAGCCGCAACAGCAACAGCAACAGCAGCAACGGCAACAGGACGCGATAGCAGCGGCAGGGCCTTACGCTGTCCCTGTTTCTGGTCCATTCGGCGATGATGCCATCGGCAACGGAACGGCAGCTGGCGGTGGTTGTGGTGCTGGTGGCGCTGGTGATGTGGACGAGGCTGCGGCGGCCCCGCTGGCTGAAGTCACGTCATCGGGGACATGTGCCGGGAGGAGGTCACGTCTGCCGCTGTCGGAGGGAAATCCAGCAGAGGCACCGCCAGCGGCAGACGTTGCCGCGCTGGCAGGAGCAGCTGCAGCAGGAGCAGCAGCAGCAGCAGCGCCGGGCCCCTTGCCGGACACACACCCCTCCCCACCGATTTCCCCCTCCTCCGCAACTGCCGCTCCTCTCCCGCCGCGGCTGATAGAGCCCACTGCCGCCAGTCGGGGCCGCCGGGGCCGCCGACCTCCGGCAGCGGCCTCCCGACCACTACTGCCGGACCTGCCCGACCTGCAGCAAGCAAACACGGCGGCCGCCGCACACTCCCTCCTACTGAAACTGGCGACAGTGATGTACCCCGCACCCACTCCCACTCCCGCGGCCACTCACACTCCCGCACGCGCGGCTCTTTTCCCCGACGCCGCGCGCATGCATGAGGGCGCAGGGCTACCCGCCGGCAGCGGGGATGTCGGCCCCAGCCCAGTCGCGGTGACCGGAGTCCGGCAGCAGGGGACCGCAGCTAACCCGCGTCCAGACGGCGAGACGGGGACTAAGGGCGCGGGTACGGGTGGTGAGGCCAGGGCGGGGGATGAGGCCGCGGGTCTTCTCGGCTTGAGCGAGGCTGAGACGCAGCTGGCGGGGCACCTGCTGCATGATCTAGGGGAGGTGTGGCAGATGGAGCGACCCATGGGGCAGGAGGGGCGGCAGCAGAGTGGGGAGGAGGCGACCGTACCGGAGCTGCGGCCGCTGCCCGCAGAGCTGCGCTTCGTGGCGGCAATGTGGGAAGGCGACGTTGGGGGTGCGCTGGCGTTGGCGGCGGTGACGGAGGGCATGATGAGTGCGGATGTGGTGGCGATGGCGGCGGCGGGGGGAAGGGCGGCGTGGGAAGCGGCTGCGCGGCTGTATGCTAGTAGGATGGAGGCGATGGGGTGCGCCACGGAGGCGGCGCTGGCGCTGGCAGCGATAGGCGACAAGGCCGCGGCGGTGGGGGTGTACCAACGGGCGGGAATGGTGTGGGAGGCGCAGAAGATGCTGGAGGGGACGGTCGAATCCGGAGCCGGGGAAGGCGATTTGGGTTGACGGTTTTGGATTCATGGTCCTTCTTTGGTGGCGCTAGCGGCGAGTTTCGGATGGTGGTATGGTTTCGCCTTACATGGAGTGTTTTTAGGTAACCGCGTGCGGGTGGCTTTTTAATTCGTCGGAGCTTCTTTCGGGTCTTTAGGCCATTTCCGTTGATGCAAAGCGAAATCGAACGTTTGTGGGTTTGGATTTTCTTTTTTCTTTTTGCCTTTCTTAATAGCCTAACCGCCGCCACTGTAAGAGCCCCAGGTCAGCAAGAGTTTGCCCAGAAACAAATGGGCCGTCTCCTGGCCATCCATATAGGAATAAATATCACACTCTGCAGTGTCATGCTGAGAGTCTGAGACGTGTCCCGGCGCGTCCCCAATAGGGCGACGGTGGATTAGGGTTTGCCGTGGACCCCGGCATAGACCTTACCGTAATAATGTATGCATCTCCGCATGCCTGCCGGTGCTGCACTTCAACGGCCTTAACGCCTGTGCTCACAGTTTAAGAGGCCACACCTAAGAGGCCACAATCAGCAGCTGACACGCAGCTGAGCTGGAGCTCAATAAACCGATCAACTGTAAGGTTTTGCAGTTCGTTAGCGCGCGCTTCTGAGACCATGTCGTAACTTCGGAGCTAGTGGAGCTTGATCGTGTGGTTCTCCGTGTGAGGTTATGGCGCGCTAATATGACTATTTAAGCGGACCATTTTATGAACATTGTAAGTCTAAGTTGAGATTGAAACTCCGATCCTCTGTGCCTACGCAAGTATATCGGACAGTAAAGTCAGCTTACGCTTCCCAGTTGTTAGGAGCGGCCTGGTTCCCTTTCATCAACAGCTTAGACGTATATGCGAAAACTCTTCTAAGCATGATCCCCTTGTTGGGTTGGACGTGGTCGTCGCTGCTGAGAATGGCATGCCAAATGGCAGTCGAGGAGTCAAAGGAAAGGCTGACGGATGCCTTATTAACATGATGTTTCCTGCAAATGGGAGCTTTGCTTTCCCTGGCGGCACATAGCGGCCATTCAGGATTTGATCAGCGGCAGCGTTTGATCAAGATTTTATCAACCATGTACCTGACTCTTGGCCACGTTCGGGCACCGTGTCCCGATGTGACACGGTGGCAGTACGTTTCGAAAATAGCCGTTAACCTGTTGCGCTCCTACGAAAATTTCAGTTGGCAGAGGCTTTCGGTTGACGGTTAGGTAGCTACCTTGAAATCGTACGACCTTGTAGGTTTATTCATGTGAAGGTGGAGAAGTTGGACACGCTATTGCGCAGCGCATTGACGCCATACTTTCGACGTTGCGAAGTGCTTTGTTTTATGAAGGGCAGGGAACCTTATCAGCCATGTCCTTAGCCCTCGTGCAGGAGCATGTTGATCGTGCTGTTAGGAATGCCAGCGACTATATGTTTGGCCTTGCTGAAAAGATAAAGTTGAGTACTTATCCAAATCCTCTTCCAGAAGCCAACCCAACATGTTACGCCATTCGTGAAGAGGGTTGGGTTCCCCCAGCCGAACTGCTGCAGAAAGTGTTCGGCTTTCTAGACGTTACAACCTTAGTAAACACTGTCCAGCTCGTGTGCAAGGCGTGGCGGGCGGAAGTGGAGCGCTATGCACTTGAAAATCGGGCTTCGCGAAAGCTTTTGGTAAGAACCCAATTACGTTGCTCCAGCTTAGTAGCATAAAATGGTATTTGGGTTGCTGGTTGTTGCCCGATCCCCAATGGCCATGCTTCACGCCCCACGTCCCGGACAACGAACCCCAGGACCAGCGAGTCGCACTTGCATCCCTGGGACCGCCCGTGAGCGCCAGTCACCTCTACCTGGCAATGTGTGGCCGCAACCTCCTCCGAAACCCGGTACGTCTGCTTTCCCTTGAATGAACTGTTTGGATTCTGAAGGTTCGCGGTGCATCCACACCTCACTGTATGGGCCGAAGCCGGCCCACGCATGCTGACCAACCGACCAGCGTATAGACCAACTTGCGCCTCCTTCGCGGCACAGGGCTTCCGCCGCGATTGTAACACTCAGCTGCTGGAGCTGGGGCGACAGACTTGGAACAAGTGGAAACGCGATGCCTGGGTGAGTGCGTGCTGTCGACTCGTCTTTGTGCTACTTACCTGGGCGGTAAGGTGCGAGGTATCCCCCTTCGTTGTACTGTCGGACTGTTTTGGGGGCTAGGACTTGGAAATCCTGGGAGTCTTTCAGCGTAAGGGTCAAAGGGCCCCGTCAACGGCGTGTGAGTCTGATTCACCTGTAAAACAACACGTCAGGATTTCAGCTTTCACGCCACTTCCAGTTTTGCACGTGCAGCGTCCTCCTTCCAGGCCTTCCTTTCCAGGCAGTCCCCTGGAGTTGTGTCTCCGAGTGAACCGGGTGCGGTGGGTTTCGTTGTGGTTACGCCGTGCAGGTGGTCAGCCACACTTCGCAGGACGGTCTGAGCTGGGAACAACGCCCTGTAGGCTTCATCAGTGAAGGAGGCTGCGGGACCGACGCGCCGGCACCGCCGGTGCCGTACGGGGGCGGTGGCGTACGGCTGGGCGAGCGGGTGCAGCAGCAGCTCAAGGGCCTGCTGAACGGGTGGACTATGAGAGATTCCGGCGAGCAGCGACAGCAGCAGCTTGGGGTGGAAGGGCCCGAGCTGCCCACTTGCATTGCAACTTCCGCGGACTGGTGCGAAGTGGTGCAGGTGCGTCTGTCCGAATTGGCGCTGGTGGAAACGGAGACAAATTTTCCAGGGTATGGCGGATAGGCGCCGGTGCGTTTAAGCGATGGTGCTATCTAGGGGCAGCGCTCTGCTGCCTGCCTGGCAGCAGCTGCCGGCTGCGTGTTCGCACCAGCTAAAACATTTCTGAGTTGGTCCCATCAGCAAGTTATAAGTTCCGCACACACGTGCGGGGTGGTCGTAAAAGCCGGGGGCCCCATGGCTATCAGCATTCGCAAAAACGCCTTTGGTTGTTTTGTTACCCGCAATACACTGTTGGGTACAATCGACGGACGCTGCACGAGGATGCCTTCAAGAGGTCCTCTTGGCGTCCAGGGTGGGCAGCAGCAGCAGCCATACCTGCTCCTTACTTCCTTCCGCCTGGCCCATCCCCGTTCCCCAACCCAGGTCGTCGACCTGGAGTGGGAGCTCCGGCGGCGGGGTCTGACCGCGGCCCAGGCGGCCCACCTTCTGGATGCAGAACTCAGCTTAAGACTCACAGTGCACGTGGGGAGCAGGTGAGCTGGAGGAAAGGAGCGGACCAGGACTAGCCAGCATGGCATACGGCAGGGCGGGTGGGGGTTGCTATTTCGGGGTTTGTCAGTTTCTCACATCCTTGGCTCTCGCCAAGGTCAGCCCTTACCCGTCCGCAGGTTCGCTGAACAGCGTTTTGCCTGAATCGTCAGGTACATAGATATTAAGTTTACCAATGAGCAATGTGATGGGCAAATCAGTGCCTGGGGTTGGGCAAAGCACATGCCATTGAGGGTGCTCAACAGTGACCGCCAGTTGCCCTTCCCGCTGTGCTGCTTTCTTAACTGCCTATCAGCTTACCGCCTCATTCCGCAACCGCCCATCGCCCCAGGTCGGACTGCCTGGGCCAATTCTGTGTGGGGCTGGTCCTGGACGAGGGCAACCCCGGCGACGCGTTGCCCCAGATTCAGTCCTTCGTGATGCGCCCCAGCCGCTACAGATACTTCTCCGGCAAGGTGCGCTGCGCCGCCACGGACGGCTGGCAGCGCTTCGAGCACCACGTGGCGGCCTGCCCGCGGGGCTTTCGACGTGCACTGGTGCTGCTGCGCGGCCGGCGGGCGCCGGCGAGCATGGTAGAGCCAAGCAACGGCGGCGAGCCACTGCCTGCATTTTGCGGCGCGAAGTTCGCATCCGCCGAGCTGGTATTCGAGTGACCCTCTAGGTGGTGCGTTGACTTGGATGAGAATGAGAACGTCATGTTTATGCGCCGAGCTGCTTGGCAAAGCTATAATCAGGCAAAGCAGGACAAGGCAGAACGTAGCAGGGGGAAAGGCGTGTGGAGAGCAAGAAAAGGGTGCTGTAGGTGGGTCGAGGGCCGGGCCGTGTATCAAGGACGGCTTCAGAAGAGGCGTCATTGTGTTTGGCTGGTGTGGCAGGTATATAGCTTGTCTTAGGGTTATGTGGCGCTGTTCCCCCGTCAAGAGGCAAATTGTTATGTACAACGGGACAATAATGAGGTCAATTCAGATAAAAGGCCTGAGGTGCACATGATAACTAGATTAATGACCCCCGGCGCGTGGGGCGAAGTTGAGCCTTGCGGCTAGTCGTGACGAACGTTTGGACATGCCAGGCTGGATGACTCCGCCAGTGCAAGCCACGTAATATTAAGGCCTCGAAAAATCACACAAGTTCTTCAATAAGCTACCATTTGTGGTTTGATTTTTGTCCGCCAGGGGATACCTGACGCGATTAGCAACAATGTTCGGGTAATGCAGGTAATGAATTTTTATTGTTGTGGCACTGTAGAACAAGTAATTATGACACACTGGTTCTCTTGCCATACGCCTGCAGACCTTTCTCGTGTAAGGCGACCGTACCATTTGTGATAAATTAAGACAGCACGACAATGCATGATCCATCCGTTCTTGGGCACACGCATCAAGACGTGTCCGTTTTATGGTAGTACAACTCCAACATCCGCGCACACGTGCTCTGTGTCGCACTGTTCAACTGGCGTAGTGATGCCACCAGTGCTGACGATGCTTGCCGCTGCGCCGGTGGCTGCTGCTGCTGCTGTGCTTGCAAGGGGCCAGCGGCAGGGTGGGTCAGCGCCGCCATGGGTACTCCTTCCAGTGCTTGCGTCACCCCAGCCCGTGCTGCTGCCCCCACTGCCGCAGCTGGCAGCCCCGTCGCAACAAACACCCCGTGGACACCGCCCCCAGCCGACCGCCCCGCCACATCCCCCGCCACGCGCTGCATTTCGACAAATTCACGCTCAAGCAACCCTTTGCCGCCGTGCCATACGTCCTCTTTACCCATCCTAGCCGTCGACCCCCGGCCGCTACGGGACACCCCCCGGTGACGAAGATCCGGTGACAGGACACAGCTTCGGTGCATAAGGCCTGGCCAAGGCTCCTGCGCTTGCTCCTGCGCCGGTGGGTGCTGTAGCCCCGAACCCTGACCCTGGCCCCCCGTCCCCGCAAACACGTGCCTCTCCTCATGGATATGCGGCCTCGCATCGGTTTGATGCGCCCATCCCTTGTAATCAGCACCACCGGACACTTCGTAACTACTTGCGTCCATCGACTCCAAAGGACCTATGAGTGTAGATGATAGCCGCGGCGGACAGATAATGGCTGTGAGCTGGGAGGCTGCGTTGGCCATTGCGGCGCGGCGCTCCGGCAGGACGCCACCCCCCTCCACATGTGGTGAAGGCAGGACCGTTCTTGGTGCAACGCCTAAAGATGGCGGTGCTGCTGGGCGGGCAAGTGAACTGCTGCTGCGGCCAGGGCCCGGGTCCACCGCCACAAAGCCTTGTGCCGGCTGCTCCTCGGTTTCCGTCCACGTGCCTTGCTGTAACCACTGCTCCTGATGCCGCTGCGGCAAGCGCTGCTTCTGCTTCTGCATTGCTGTTTGTATTTGCTGCTTCTGCGGCGGCGGCGGCGGAGGGGCCAGTTGCACGTGATGCTGTTGTTGCTGCTGCGGGGCTATGCCATGCTGCTGTTGGGGCCGCGGTGGCCAGGCCAGTGGTACGTACTGCTGCTGATGATGATCTTGATGAGGGGCGATTTGTAAATGCCGATGCAGCTGCTGCTGCGACGGAAACTCCTGCAGTTGCTGTTGACATTGCCGCTTCCGCAATGGTTGCTGGTATTGCGCCTGCAGTTGCTGCTTTTGTTGGGTGTTGGGAGCCATCTTGGAGGAGAGCAAGGTTTGCTGGTGCTGGTGGTGCTTCTGCGGCGAGAACGCCACTGGCGCGTGGGGTGGCCTGTTGATCTGCATCGCGCCCTGGGCAGCTGCGGCCAGTTGCGGGACCCTTACGGCCGGGGACTGCTGATCCGCTCCATCGTCTGTTGTTCTGGCAGGTCGCGGTACCAAAGACCCGTTTAACAAAGGGGTATGCGCACGTGTGTCGTTGTCCTGATGTTGCCTCATGTGCAGCAGCCCTGGTTGGCGATGCAGCTCGCGTGGGTAGCTGTTTTGCGGCAGTTGTCCAACGGGATGCCGATGGCCGTGATGCCCTGGTCGCTGCTGATTCGAGCCAAGGAGTGGAGGCGTCGCTGCTAAAGGAGCTGGTGCCGCTGCTACCACCGCTAGCGGTGCATCCGGAACTCGGTTCACTAGGTTCGGGGGACATGTGGCAGGTGCATGGCGCAGGTCAGTCGGGTCGGGAACCTGAAAGCCAGGGATCCTGGGCCCGATAACAAGGCTGCCACACTCTTCGGCTGTGGACGCTTCAGCCGTTGCGGTTGCAGCCATGGTTCCTGCTCCCATGGACTCGTTGGCAGCTGCATTTGCCGCTGTTGCGACTGCCGCGTCGACTGCTGTGCCGGCATTCGCGACTGCTACATGCTCACATTCCGTCGTTGCAGCGCACACGCTGCATCCGGACTGCACGGGCGACCCATCCTGTTCCAGCGACCTGTTGCTCAACGCCGCAGAGCTCTCGTCTCCACCGCCGCCCTCAGACTGACTGGATGGTGATGACGATGCGGGTGACAGTTGCACGCCAGACCCTAGACAGGAGCTGGCAGCTCCACTGCCTCCCGTCATCTTTCCGGGGCCGACTGAACCATGCCTTCGCCGGCGGGGGGGTGACTCGGAGCTTTCCCGCAAGGCCGCGTACCGAGGTGGCGCCCCGTTCACGGTCCTTGGGCGAGTGCCGGACATGGCGCCGAGGCCGTCTGGGTGCAGCCCGAAGGGTGTAGCCAGCTGCGCATTGGAAGCTGGTACTGGTGTGGCATGGACAACGACGTCAATGCTGCGGCAGCCGCCCGGCTGCGGCAAGCGTCGCTGCAGAGGTGTGATCCAGCCGGGATTCCATCCTGCTGCAGCAACAGCTGCTGTAGGTTGCGCAGGAGCGGATGGCGGGTGCTGTACTTGCTCTTCCTCCAGGGATAGACGGACACCGGCTTGCAGGCGGTCATCAATTATTCCGGGTGTGGCATCAGCGGTATCATTGCCGCCATCCATCTCCGGAGCTCCGAATTCCGGTGGTCTGTGCGGCGGCCCTGCAGGTTCGAGCAGTGTGATCTGACGGCTGTTGCCCCGCAGGCTGGCTGCTCCTTTGTTGCACACTGTCAGTGGCGACGCCGACACTGCTGTTGCCGTTGCCGGTTTTGCCTGCTTCGGCACCGCGTCTTGGGGTTGCTGGGCTATTTGGTTGGAAACCACGGCGTAGCCCGTGAGGTCTGTGCAAACGGGGAAGACGACGTCTGCTGCGATGAGATCTACCCGCCGGTACATGCTGGCCTCCCTGGACAGCCTACATTTGGCCAGGTCGGGACTGAAATCAGGTTCAGGCTCCGGTTCTCGCTTCGCGTCCTCAGCTGCATCCTGTCCCCCAGCTGCATGTTCCTCACCACAACAGCCACAGTGCCGAGCTGTCGTTGCTGGTGAGGCGCTGCTCGAAAGGCTCACCACCGTTTCCTCAGAGCGGTACTGTGCAACGGCCACGAACGGCAATGGCCCCGGAGTTGGAGCGGACGCAGATGATGGACTGTCGGCCGCGCGGGCAGGTACTGGGCTGCTGTCACTCCCGGCAGCAGCCTCGTCGGCGTCGCATGTGTCCTGCCGATGCGGCTCCGAGAGCCCGAGACTTGATAATGGCAGTTCCGGTTCCGCCACATCACCATCCGACGACCCTTCCCCCCCGAAGCCCGGGCTTGCTTGCATGCCGTGTTCTATGTCGACTCCCTTCACTCGCGGCTGTGCACACGCCTTCACCGCGCCTGAGCAACTGCTGATATGGCCCTTGTGATCGCCGCCCTGCACTCTGTCATCACAGCCGCTCGTGTCTTTTGCGCCCATGCTGAAGCTTCCTGGACCTTCCATGTGCACATCAGCCAATTCGTGTCCTTCGGCCCCGTGACGAGCACCATGGCAGTTGCTATCGCTGTCTCCTCCTGTGCCATCAGCAACCTCAATGCGGCCGCTCCTTTCACCGCTGCCCATGCTGCCGTTGGCCTCGGCATTATCGCCATTATCGTCATCATGACCGCTTCCTCCCGCCTTTCTGGTATTGCTGAAACGTTGAGCAACGTCTGCAGCTTCTGGCTCGGTAACCGCGAAGTAGCCGAAACCCAATTGCGCTTTCAACCCGGCCTGTGTGCACGCAGCACGGAAGCTGCAGGAACCGCTGGATGGGAAAGAGTTGTCGCTGGGCAGCTTATCGGTTCTCGGTTGCCATGGCTGCAGCAGCGGCTGCTGTTGGAGCTGCTCCTGAACGAGGTTCTGGAGTTGCCAGCTGCGGGGAGGTGCAGCGGCGGAGTGTGGAGTGCGCATCCACCGCTGAAGATGCTCTTGTGAGGAATCGCTATTCATCGATGCCGATACGAGGATAGCCACAGCACCAGCATTAGACACCGTGCACCTGCCTGACGGCTCTTGCGCGTTACTGCAGACCGCCAGACTGGCTGTAGCAGAAGCAGCTTCATGCTCAGTCCTGTTTCCGGCGGCTGCTACCTCATCCCTGTGAGTCAGACGGCCAGTGTCCATGTCCTCGGATGAAGGGCGGCAGGCAGAAGCGCAACCCATCAGCATCTCTGGGCGCATTCCCGTTGTGATTGACTTCGGCCAAGGAAGCGCTGCCGCAGGACTGTCAGCACCGGGAATCGGCGTGCTGGACCCGTGTGCTGCAGCCTCGATGTCGGCCTTTCTTGGACCTTTGCTGCTGCTGCTGTTATTGGAGCTGCCGGGACTCGTTCTCCCGCTTCCCTTGACAGAGTACTCGCCGTCATCCGCAACTAGAACCTGGTCGGCATCCATTTCAAGCCACGCCGTTGGAGCCACCAGCGCCCTCGGCGGTTGTGCAAGAGCGGCAGACTCTGTGAGGACATCTATGGCCGTTGGCGGGTTGCATGGACTCTCATCAGTCTTGCATCTGGGCGCAGTGGAGGGAACGCCTGGCAGCCCCCGCCTTGGCGATGCTGCGCGGTCCCCATTACCGGACAGGCCGCCATCAATGGCTAGAGCCGGCCCCACCTGCTCGGCCACCACGCTTGCCGGCAATATCGCTTTAATTGACGGGTCCTGCAGCACGTCGAGCAGCAGCGGCAGCCGCAGCCCCACCTCAACGCCTGGATCGCCGACCACCGCGCCGCGAGCGGGAATCCCCAGCACCCCCACAGCCTCTTCCACTTCGCAGCCCTCCGGTTTTGCAGGTGCAGCAGCTGCGGCATCCATTTGGTCGGGCTGCACCTCCCTATCAGCATCGCGCGCACTCAACACCTCACGAGGCGTCTTAATGCTGCCCACACCGCTGGAGCCAGGACTGAGGATGGTAACATCGCATGAGAAAAGCTCCATCTCCATACCGATAGATCCATGGCCCGCCATTGTCACGCCCATAGCTGAGCCCGCCACCATCAGAGGCATCAAGGGAACCACTGTCTGCAACCCTAACTCCACGGGCTCCGCCACAAGCGGAGCCAATCCCTTTGCATCGACCAGCGCTTCAGAATCGGCGCCGCCTGGAGACTCCGCAAACTGAGTTCGGCCCCACGGAAGCACGAGGCCAAAGCCCCCGATCCGCGACCCAGGAAGATCGGGGACACCAATTCCCCCCATGCTGTCTGCAGTAGGATTCGGGCTGGCGCCATCAGAGAGTCTGATGCCAGATGTCACCCAACCCTGCGGCCCCAGGCGGCCTTCCAAGGACGGATCACCCTTTCTGCCGTAATCACTCGCGGCCGCGTTTGCGCTTAGCGCACGTCCCGTGCATAGTTCGGCTGATGGCGAAGGTGCAGGAGGCGCCGGTTTCGTTGCCGGCGACGTCGGGGTTGGCTGCATGTGACCCCAAAACGAAGACACTGCACTAATGCCTTGCGTCCGTGCCTGTCCCCCGTCCTGGTCTTCACCAACACAAATGCAGCTTGCAACTGGGGCTGCATCTCTTGCCGTCCGGTCAGAGAGAGTGGCTTGCAGCTCATGTTCTACGGTCGGTTGCCGTTCGCCCGCTGCACCTGATGAGCCACCGCCCTTGCCGTCCTTACTGCTGCCGCTGCAGTATTCATTGCCACCGCCATAGGCTCCAGGTGCAACTGGACTCGCATCCATACCGTCATTCTCCGCTTTGCAGGCGAAGGCAGCGTTCACCTCACCTCGTAGGTTCCTGCATAAACCAACTTGACTGTGCACGTCATCTGAGTCGGACCCTGTGGCCTCAGGGCCGCTCCCGGCGGTTGGCCTTGCAGCTGGGCCCAACATACTGGAGCTGCTTTCGAGCCCCGGTGCGAAGCTATACTCTGACAACCGGGCAATACTGTCCTCGGACTCTTCATGCAAGGACTGGAAAGCAGAAGGCACATCATGCCAGTCGCCCGCCGATGTAAGGGCAGAGGCGGGCTGGCCGCATTGCAGTCCCACGTCAACGAGCCGCGGTCGGTGTCGCCCCTGCGGCTGCCGTGCAGGGTCTGGCCGCGTTAGGACAGCTGCATTGAACGAGCCGGATGACCGAGGGGCATCGACTACCTTTCCATTTGCCATATCGGCGTCGCATCTTTCACCACAGCTGCCATATCGGTGCCCGCTCTGTGCCTTGCCACGGTTGCGAAGTGCCGGACCACCAATTGCATTGGTGATACTGATGGCGCTTCCGCCGTCGCTGCTCCCGCAGTCAACCAGGTGGCTGCTGCTGCCACCGTTGCTTCCATTGCCGCAGGCTGCGCTGCCGCCGCCGCTAAGCTTACTGCTCCGCAGCTGCTGCAGTACGCGGAGGAGGCTCGGGTCAGGTTCATGTACACGGTTGCGCGCGGCTTCGCAGCCAGTGCCCACGACAGCACCTGCGGTTGCTCCATCCACAGCGCCTACCATGGCAGCCGGTGGGGGTAGCTTCCAGTGGCCTGCCTGCGTTGTAGGCATGCCAACAGTCAGACTGGTTGAAGGCTTTGCGCAGTTATCTCAACAGCTGCCACCGCAGGGAAGCTCTACAGATGACATCACAGGACAGGCCACAGTTTGGATGTAAGGCTATGAGGTAATAAGTGTCAGTGGTAAGGCATGGCGGCCTGCAATGCCGCTGTCGGGCATCCTGCATGTGCACAGGCTTAGAGCCTCCAATACCCCTCACGTGCCTGAGTGCTCGGAGTTGCAGACACAGTTGCAGGGCGAGTCATTGCGTCTGAAACGTCTGTAGAACTGAGCCTGCGTTGACAGATGGGAAGCAGTGCAGAGGACAAACGGATGACACTCTCAATGTTGCACGGCTTTATGGCTTCCGTATCGACTTTTATCCATCACATTATCAGCCTATTATTCTCCTGCTTTCAACCTCACCACCTTACTCTTTTGTGCCTTGTTTGTTGCTGTATGGCAGTACCTCCGCCGCTGTCAGCAGCGTTAACGTACGCCGGCCTGCACCCGGCGCACCAGCAGCTGTTGCGCTCGAGCCAGTGGCCAGGAGCCCAGCAGCTACTGGAGCCAGGCATGGTGATGGAGGCATGGTAGCGGACAATCCTAACGATGACGATGCCGCGGATGTTGCCGGGGCAGTCGCAGTTCCATGCGAAAGCAAGCTTGCCGACAATTCCGCTGATGCCTTCGCGGCCAGGGGCCCAGTAGGCGCCACAACTGAAGCTGAAGCTGGGACAGATGCACTGGGCACCCGGGTGGCAGCTGGCGCGCCCGGTACGGCAGAAAGGCTCTGCAAGATAAGCTCCAAGCTCGAACTTCTGCTGCCTCCCGCCGTTATTGAAGGGTTGGCACTGCATAAAGGAGATCCTTGTCCAGGTGCGGCTCCTGATGCCGCCGTCGAAAGCAGTCTCGCGGCGGGCTGTGCCTCCGCTTGCGAATAGATGTTTACCGGGCTGGACTGGACTTTGCTGTGGCCAAGGTCAGGCCGAAAAGAACTTACGTGCTTGGCGCCACCCAAGCTGAGCTCTGGGGAGAGGGACGGGTAGACCACTAAGTTGGCTGAGGCGGCCCCGCCAAGGAGGGACGGAGGGTCCTGCGAGACGGCATCGCCAGGTGCTGCCTTGCTGGTCGTTGGCCAGGCCGACGGCACGTAACCAGAAGGCACCGCGATGGAAGATGTTGTTGTCGCCAATGCAGTGGTGCTGGCTGCTTGGGTGCCCACCATTGTGGTACCCCCATGCGCAAGGTGGGTCGGTCGCGGCGAGCTGGCGTGGTCGCTGCGTGGGCTGGTGGTGAGGCCCGGGGCGTCGGTCAGGAGCACGGACTTGGGGTTACGTCCCCGGCTCTGTTCCCTGCCGGCAGATGCAAGGATTATAGAAAGACTCGTGTTTGCTCCAATCACACGCTTGCCAGCGCCGAAGTTGGCTATCGTGTCTTCCCTGGGAGAGTACACCAATGGCGACAGCGATGAGGGGGGCTGTGATGAGGGTGCCTTCGGTGTCATAACGGCGGCAGGGGACATCCACAGCATCCGTGTGACGGATGGCAAACCAGCAGGCGAGGTTGGATAGAAATCTTGTGGCCTGTGCAGACCGGCTGCGTCGACGGTCGCTGTACCGCGAGGGGATGAACGCTGACCTGCTTGCCTTGCCTGAAACTCGACGTGGCTCAGTCCACGAGCTAATGCTGACTGGTCCAACGCACTCAGGAGCTGCAATCCCGGCCCGCCCAACGCAACACCGCCAGCGTCGCCCACTAGTGCCTGCACTGTCTGGGGTTTGCTGTAGCCGCCGGCCGCGGCTGCAACGGTCCCGTAATGACCGGATTCCCCTAGGGAGCGTTGAGGCACAACCTGCGAGCCGGCAGCGTGGCCCCCGGCTCTCCCCAGAGCTCCTAGGCCGAGCTGCGCATTATTGCGCACTAGATCGTGAGGCGAGTAGGATCCACCTACTGAGACGGACCGCGAGTGAGGTCCATCTCCGGAGCCCAGCCTGGTGCCGTTCCTGCTTTTGCGGTCACCACTGTGGCCGTACCGACCCACATCCCTGATGTCGGCGTAAATACGTGGTGTAGAACGTGAGCGTCCGGCAGCTTCCGCAAATATGCGCTCCCAGTCAAACGCGGCAAGTTTGGCCGTTGGCATTGCTACCATCAGGCCAGCTCGCACTACGCGGGGACTGTCAGGAGACATTGCGCGGCTCGGCTCTGTTAGAACCAAGGGTTCAATCCGCGCCATTGGTTTTGACTGCACAGCTGCAAGCGTCTTTAGCCCCGCGGCTGAGCCGCTGCTGGTCTTCGCCGCTTCGGTCATTGTCGGGCGCTTCGGTGGACTATTGCTGGTGGTCGGCGGCGGCCTCGGTGGACCAATGTTGCACTCAGAACCTGTCGCATGCTTCGTGGCCACCGCAGTAGCGGCCACCACCGCTGCCGTTCGCGTCGGACTGCTTGCCCGCGCCCTGACTGTCCTGAGGTTAACAGCAGCAGCCTCCAGGCGAGTCGTGCGCTGCAACGCGGCCAGCGTCTGCGACAGCGCAATGGCCGTAGCTGTGGTCGTGCTACTCCAAGAGGGCGGCTCTATGGTGCTCCTAGGTCCACGGGTAGGGCTGAGTGCAGGGGACCGCCCCAGGGATTCTCGTAGGGGACTCATTAGCTTATCGACTGCAGGCTTCTGCGGGGATATGAGGCCCTCCATGTCTCGCTCGATGTCGGCAAGCTGCCGTAGAATGGCCTTGTCCGCCTCAGCACCCGCATCTATCTGGGTTGACGAGGCCAATCGATTATCCATCATGACGACCTGCACAAGGAGACAAGGCACAAGCGCGGATGAGCAGCAGCGAGGGAGAACACAGGGAAAGACCCTCTGCGTCGACGAGCATGCCAAAAGCCCTAACTGGAACTGTTGGCTAGCATGGCCAATTCTTATCGCAGTGTCGTGAACCGTGTTTCGGTGCCAAATTGGTAACACCGGCAGCCTCTCAGCCTCTGGTTGTAGCTTCTTATCGTTTCTGCTCCATATTCATACCCTGGCCGTGCCACATTAAGGGTAGCATACCTGGCTTGAACCCCCACAGTAAGCAAAATGACCATTCCCGCCCCTGCCGCGAGGAGCTCAAAGCCCTGAGACTTGTAATGCACGCATCGCAAGCCGTACAGCGGAGCCCGCCCGATGATGGCTGCACCAGTCTCTCACCGGTAAAAGAGAGGCTCTTGAGCTGAAGCCATCTGACACAGTCACATTTTCGTAGGTGCCCTCACTATGGCTATGCGTGCTGTTGACTTGCCGCAGGAGGGTATCCAATCGCTTTGTGATTCCCACGAGCTCAGGTAAGTCCATGGGTTCGGGGACGTTACTCCCTTTACTACCGGTCGAGTGGATGCGGGGCTCCTGCACGAAGATGCCAACCAGAAGTCCCAGCTCATTGGCCAAGCACGGGCTTCAAAACAGGAAATAGCAAAGCAGTAATGAATCCATGAGTCCCAAGGAGGCAGGGCTGCGGCAGTAGCACTGGGTATACAAGCTGCGGGTGGAACATTGTGCCCGATTTGCATGTGAGCTGGAGAGAGCCGGTAACATGTGTATCCTAAGAAGCTAAGTTGGCATGCTTGCAGTCCCACACGCAGCGCAGCCCTTTATGAGAACTCTACTCCTTTACGTGGTTTCGCCAATTCTGGCCTTTATCCGGCTTTTAGCGCAACAGCAAGACCCACGTCGTACCATCATAGCATGTTTACCTTGAGCGTTAGCGAATTCGGGCCCCTTGTTGGCGAGGGCGAAGTGGAATACCGTCGTCCGCCAGGCTCAGTGCCCACAAGCCTGTCCGGGCTGGTTGCAGCATCGCGCAGCAAATGCAGGGGCGTAATGAGTCGGCTGGCGGCGACAGGCTGGCGCCCCAAGCCGGAGCCGGCGCTGGCCGGTGATCTCCTTGGGCTAGTGGCCTCTGCAAGAGCAAACGAAAATGATGTTTGCTGCCGATCATCTTGCGTGGTCCGGTAGGACGCGGCTGTCGGCTTCCATTCAGAGCCCGATATCGACTGTTGATTAGCAGTTGCTCCTGGCGATATCGACCGTGGCGACATGGGTGAGAGCAACCGCATGTAGCGTCCCTCGCGTGGCGGCTGAGCTGCAGCCATGGACCTTACAGCGGCGCCAGCAGCCGCAGCGATGGCAGAGGCATAGCCCAGCCGGGGGCTACTCGTGGGCTGCTCCTTGCCTGGCTCTGACGCACTCGGACTGGTCATAAGGGTAGAGCCCTGCTGATGTACGCTCGCCAGCCCGGCTGTTGGCGTCGATGCTGGGGATCCCGGCGGCGACCTGCGCGCCGGGTCCCTAACCCCGACGGAGCTGGGGCTGCTTCTGCTGGCCGTGCTTGTGGCAAGCGAACCCGCGCCCGTCATCATGGGAGGTGACGCGGCCCGCGTGGCGGCTATGGCGGCTCTAGCATCCACTGAAGCTGCGGCAGCTCCCATGCGTGCAGCTGCCAACGGGAATCGGGCCAAACGCTTCAGGAAGACGGCGCCCGCAGCCGCGGCTGCATCAGCTACAGTTGCAGGGCGGAACAATTTGGAAGATGGAGACGTGCCGCGGCTGCGTTGGCCTACCGAACCTCCATCGCTGCCGTTGCCATTGCTGGCAAAGGTAGGCTTGTCCAGCTTCTGCTCATCGGTTCGTTCCATGGACCGCGATGGTGACGACTCGCATCGCGATCGATCAAGGAATATCCTGGCCACGGCAGCAGACCGATGTGGTGGAGAACGAGGAGGACTCGAGCACGGGGACTGCGGTGTGGAATGCACCGCCAGCATTGGTCCTGACCGCAGCCTGCTCCATCCCGTCACAGGCAGCACCAAAGGGGGCACGACTGCACCGTGTGGCTGTGTGCGCTGCGGCGGAAGCGTGCCCACGCCTGTGCCGGGGGTTTGGCCGATGCCCTGGTGTGACGTCGCGGTCGCATCCTTTCGCGGGCTGGAAGTGCGCCCCTCGCCGCGTGCAAATGACCCAACCACCTCCTCCGAGGATTCTCTTGCCTTAGCAGGCGCCGCAGCCAGTGTCACCGGGTCAGGATGGTGGTGGTGGTCGTCAGATACAGGAAAGGTGAAAGACAGTGCGGCAGACTGGAGCTTGTTCGTCAAGGCGTGTTTAGGGCTTGCACGTTTCGAGTCGTTGACGCGTGCTTCCCTGAGGCTCAGGCTGGGCATGGCATCATCCAAAGACAGACAGCTTCCATCGTCAGAGCTGCTGGAATAGGAAATCGCACGTGGCAACGGCGCCCTCCCTGATGCCACGGGGGAGGCAGGCCGTTGCTTTGGCCTAACGCTTGACGTTGGACTGGCGATCAGAGAACGGCCATGGTCCTCTCCTGACCGCGGCCTGCTGCTGGGGGGGCTGCTAAAGCGTGAGCTGCTGTCTACGCACCTGTTGACCTTGCTTACAGTTCGGCTGTCACCATCATGCTTACCGGCCGCCCGCCGGTGTGCGACCGGTATGCTCAGTAGTGCCGAAGCTGCCGGCCTCGACGGCAGCCCACGCAACGGAATACCACCCCCATCAGAACGCGAACGCAGACCGGCTGCGGCATCAGGTTCGGCACCAATGCGCAGTGTGCCCAGCCGCGGGCGCTGAGTTCCATCCTCACGCCGGTCAGGGCTGCCGCTTGAACTGCCAAATTTTGCAAGCTTGCGCTGACGCTCTCCGGTGACTCTATCCGGTGAAGAACCCCGACTGGATATGCCGTGCTCCATGAAATGAGCATGTTTTGCTGCGCCGCCCATCAACGCCTCCTGTGGCGGTGGATGCATTTTGGACTGTGGAGGGATCCCAGGCGGCGAGTCAGCAAGTGCTTTTCCCGTCACGCCAAGCGCGGCACGGACGGCACCCTCGACTGAAGTCCCATGCGGGAGGTGCCTTGATCCCAACGCGGTTGCAAGGCTGTTCAAAGCCAGCTCCGCTGCAGCCAGGCGCAGCCTGTGGCCCTCAGAAATTCCAGGCTGCCCGCCAAAACGTGATCCGATGCCGGCGTTTTGCGAATCTTGCTGCTTCGTGCCGCCTGCAGGGATAAGTGGGCTCATAGAATGTACGTATTCGATATGTTATTGGCGGCGAGGCTGCCTTACCTGTATCCGCTATGGCACCAGTTATAATGCGGCTTCGAGACTCGCGACGCAAAGCCTTAGATGCGCTGCTGAGGTTAGAGGCATTAATGGCCGGGGAAGTGAACCCCAGAGCTTCGGCTGAAACGCCAACCGTGAATTCCTTGGACTGGTGGTAAGGTATTTGCACAATGTCTTCTGTCGGTGACTCTGCAAAGTCGGGGCTCTGATGAGGTGTATAATCCACGCCAGCCTGTGCAGCTTGATCTCCCTGCTGAAAACCGGCTGGCTTTGCCCATGACTGCAAGCTTTCTGTACCTGGTAGCCCTGAGGATGGCTTTCCGCTCGCGTCAACGCTGATGTTTGGACTGCTGTTGCTGCGTGTAATTGAGGACCTGGCCCCAGGTGAGGGAGACGTGACTGTGCCGGACGCCGCCGCTAGTGCTTCTGCTTGTGGACCAACGGAGATCAGCGAGTGCTGCCTCAGCACCCTGTCGGTCATCTGAATAGCTTCATGGGTTGGACTGTCCGGAGGAGAGTGCTGCTGGGACGGATGTATGCACGCTTCGGGGTCCTTGGCTCCAATGAACTGGACAGTAGCTGCAGCAAGAGTGGAAATTGGAAAAGGGTTTGGTAAGCCCGAGCAAGGCTGCGAAGCCCTACATATGGCATCTGGGGGATGTAGGCTTAATTTTAAGGCTTACTGTTGCTGTGCGAGCGGGGCGTGTGCTGTGGCGATGTCCAGGCATCTGACTCCGGCAAGTTGTTCAGGTTGGAGCCCCCGTTATCGTCCCAACGGGGTCCAGTATGTCTCGACAGGGACGATTGCATGCGTTCCAAAAGCCGGGGCTGCCCGGAAAGTGTTGCCTTCGGTAGCACGGCATCAGAGACCTGCAAGGAACCTACGGAACTGAGGCTTTGGCTCCTGTGTGTAAGGCGTCCGCGATGTTCCGTCGGCTCCTGCACGGTCGGGGTGACCCGCGCCTGCAAGGATGCCATACGTGCGAGCGCTGAGTCCCCGACATAGCGGTCTGTTGCTGTTGGCTGGAGCCTTCGGACATTGCTATCCGCGGCTTGCTCGTTTCGCGCTTTCTGAGATGCAGAGGATGACGCATCCGGGCTGTGCGTCACGGTGTTGTTCGACATCACGCTGCTTGGATGTATGGCAAGCGCCCTCCTCTGCATCAAAGCTTGCGATAACAGCGCTGAGGTGAGCTGCAGGCGGCCATCGTCATCGTCGTCGCTGCTGCTTGCATTGAGGCTTCGTGAAGCCAACCGTTGGAGGCGTGGCGACAGCTTTTCCTGGCTGCTTCGGCTTCCCCGAGCAGATGATTCTATTGCCAGGCGCCTAGAAGCTTCGAGTGTTGCGCGGCTGCCACCCAAGCGTGAGCCAAGGCCAGCGCTGCCCCGCTTGTTGTCTCCAAGCAAATCTACGCCACGCGGCTGGCTGGAAGATACCGACGAATTGTTAGTAGTCGAGCTCCGTGTTTCCTGCTGCATCCCCCGGGGACCAAGATACTTGCGCAACTGAGAGACATTAAGTTGGATGTCATCCCCGCTTGAATCGCTGCCGCTCATCCTAACCAGCTTTACATGATCTTGTATAATTAGGAGGTTTGTGGGTTATCCTTTAAAAATACGTATCTTGTAGAATGCGTCGGTCAACTTAGCAGAAAGTCAAATCCAACCTATGATAATACGGCACGGCCATGATCGGGCCGGCCTCGCCCGTCCTGACGACAGTGTATGGGCATTTTATCCTTACTTTGCTCTTCTTATCTGTGCTCACTGCGTATCATAACCTTGGAGTTGGTCCTCTGTCTTCAATTGTCAGCTCCAGGCGACTGCAAAACGTTTACCATACCTTTCAATAGCGAAGCTAATAAAAATAATGTCCTTAATTGCACGGCAAGCTGGTTTTGGGATTTTCCGCAACGCCCACGAGTCCGCCGCCAGAATACAGCGCTTGCGAGTACCCAAAACGGTACCCAAAGCCTGTCTATGCAAGCCGGAGGGGAGAACTAGCGGCCCCTCTCGACGATCGGTTCTCCTATCGGGGTTGGCTGTCATATGCGTTCCACAGCTCCTTGTGACGGACCAGGCCTCTGCAGGAGCCCCTGTGGACGTCCAGCAGGGTTTGGATGAGTATGAACGCCTCGAGTCTGAAGGCAAGGCCGGAATGCTTCGGTCCCTGTCTGCTGCGTGCAATGGGTACGGGCGGGGCTTTGGCAGCCGCATGAAACAAGCACCTAAGCACCCCCGTGCACTGCACGTCATCACCCAGACCGCCACTTCTACTTTAACCGCAAGGTTCTCTGAGAATGGACACTTCCACGTTTCATCTCTCAGTACATGCAGTCACACTTAATATTATTATTCAAACTGCGGCCCGTGTTCTAGGCTAGCCCAGTAGGTAGGCGTGTCGTGTTCATCCTACAAGCTAGAACGATGAAATCTTAACCCTGCTCGGCAATCCGTAAGCACGCATTGGTCCACACTTTCATCTGAGCCGTGGTGTGCGGCGACAAAAAGGTTGAAAGAGCCCAATGCGTAAAGCGCTTCGCTTTGAGCCTTTTATGGTGGCAAACGTTGGCTGCTTGATGGCAGCCAGTACTTACCCATGGGGTCGCGGACAGCAGACGTTAGAGGTTCAAGCGGTTCTCAACTACCGCATGGTCTGTTTGTTTCTCGTGAAGGTTGACTTCCGCGTTCATACACCCCTTGCTCGCTCCCCTGGTTGCAGGAAAACTGAACTCGTCGAAGGCCTTCGAAAACATTAGGGCCAAGCTCAATTTCAAGCGGGGGTGCGTGTCTGTCTTATTAGCAATCGACTGCTTTGACAACAAGTAAAAGGCCACCGCTGTGGAGGGACATGGCTGCTACACCACCATTAAGCAGCACCACTGAGATTGGACGTCCAGTGATTAAGGACTGACGTCCAGAGCTGCGACGGTTTGTCGTCAGCGCAGTGAGAATACGAACGAAAGAAAGCATGGCAAACGCAGTCACATGGCCATGGGCAAAGTGCATGACACTGACTGAGCATGACACCGTATGTACTGATTTACCTGCTCTCTGCTTACTGTTGCTGCCTGCAGCCTTGATGGCCGTGTGTACGTTAAGAGCACGAAAGGCAAGATGTTCGCAGTGCGGCTCGACATGGAAACACCGGGAACGATGTTGATCCGGGACATGGAATCAGGCGAAGTGTACGGGCTTCAGACAGAGGGTTTCCAGCAGGTACGTAATTGGGGAGGGAAGGTGCGAGCCGCTATAGCGCACCCGCTCAGGGATGCTCCAACTTGATACGCGGTGTCGCGCAGCAGCATCCATCGTTTTTGTTATAGTGTGATCCGCTTTCCCAATACAATAAGCGATTGAGATCAGGTGTTTGTTGTCCTTTCCTTAGGCGGCACTTCTGAGCAACAATAACTTGTGTTACCTAGCGGTGTGAGTACCTTCAATGGACGCCTTTTGACTGCGCCTGAGCTTTTCGTAATACCTCTCCGTCTCCTGCCGATCATCTACCCCGTTAAGATCGACTTGACGAACGACCAAGTGGTAATTGCGCTGTTCGCTGACGGCAACTGGGAGTCAGCCATGTCGCCCATTACCTTCGAGGACGACGACGGCCAGGTGAAGACGCTAAAGCTGGAGGAGAAGCTATTCCGGAACTTGCCCGGATTACTATCCTCTGTGTCTGGAGATCAGGCCGAGGAATGAAGTGTATCTGGTTGGACGACCGCGCAACTGAAGCATAGAAAGCCACTCGTATCAGGTTTTGAGATGCTTATGTCTAAGGTGGGACGTCAGTCTGGTCGGTTAGGGTGACACGCCGCCTAAGAGCCCTATGGAACTACTGAGCTGTTGCAACCTTTGCTCGGGACGTTCAGGCTAGTTGGGATTTCTACCATGATCTATGTCAGCTTAAATAGCCATGTCATTAGCTCGACATAAACCGTAGTTGGTGCACTTTAAGGTGCTTGGGGGGCCTCCACTCTGCCAAATGCTGTTATGCGGGATTTTTATTTTGTACGGGGTCTATGCGGTATGGGTACTGCAGGCATGGCAAGCGGTTTTATCCAAAACGTGTTTTCCTTGCTAGACGCTGTTCCTGGTGTTATATGTAAATCCGAAACGGTATAGCATAAGGCCGTAAGCATGCGTGTTGGCCCATAGCGATACGCATGGCCATGTGCCAATGGCCCTACATGGATATGCACAGAGCAGGAGGTGCATACAGCAGGAGATACCATACCTTCGTGGAATACGAATTCTTATATACGGGATTTGTGTGTGTAAAGATTAACAGCGTGTGTAAAAATGAATCGCTCCAGGGCCCGTGGGACGTCGTGTACAGTTTCTTTAAGTCAGCATGTCGTTTACATTTCCCAATCTTCACTGCTATATGTCCACTGCGTCCTGTATAGAACACACCTATCATTTGCACAAAAGCTTAAGATTTGGAATTACATGGAATTACAGTTGCCGTGACAACTTCCTTTTAAGGCTTTGTCTTAGGGATTACATTTCGTCAAAATTAATTCGATCAGGTCAATGTAGCCCTTCCTCTAAAAATGCCTGTGATGGCCCTTTCTAGCGCGGAAGTATCAACGCAGGCAAACATCTTAATTGGCATCTTAGGTGCCGCATCTAGTGGCAATGATGTATCACATACTGCGCCTGAGCTACTTCAGGTGGACCCTCGCTCATTGATCAGTTGGCCACGGTCTTGCTTGTTACCTGAACTTTGCAAATTTCACCTTTGGTATTCAGGATCTTCTTAGCAAGCCTGCAGCAAATCCGCATCTGCGCAAGCTTGCGTATGAGGTCTGCAGGCATGCAAACTTGACGGAAACAGATTACTGGAAGCTATGGGAAAGCATAGCGGTGGGTTGATGCGGTGCTTCCTGCCTTTGCAAATCCTATCTGACTTACCTATACTTCACAGAGCGATGTAAACAACGGCGACCCGGAGGTGGTAGCAGCTGCGTTGAGGTCACTAGCTTGCTTACCATCCTCACAGCTGGCCGATCGTCTTGTAGTTGGTGAGCATGGGCGTATTAAGGGGTGGTTTAGCTGCGCTGATCCGGGTTATACACGGCTCAAGCCGCGTTTGGCACTACGCAGCGCAGGGAAGCGTACGAATGCCTGAACCAACGCCTTTGCCACTGCATGGACATGGACCACCTGCACCCTGCCATGCATGCATACGCAAACCATTGTTTCTGCGTGAGCATTTCGGTCCTGGCCACCTGTGTTGTAGCCTTCCTCAGGGGCCTGCATCCCCTCTGTCAACCCCAGGCCAACTCTCCGAGCTGCTGAAGCCGTGTCTTGCAGCAGAGGCGGCGGTGGTGCGGGCTGCGGCGGTGCTGGCTCTGTCACGCGTTCTGCTGCTGCTTGAAGTACAGCAAGCGGCAGCCAGCAGTGCGGGTAGGTGCAGAAACCGGCTAAATGCGTCTTCAGTGAATTGGTTGCAACATGGACTTTATGGGGGGCCATGCATGACGGCGAACTGTATCTGGCACAGTGCCCGTGACGCCGTCCGCATGTTCTCCTGGGGCCCTGCACGCGGACGACTGGGGATTGTCTTATCCTGCTTCGGGGTTGCATTCCCACGGCGCTTTTCCCTGTACGGTTTGGGTCGCCGTCGACAGGACTTGCCAATGCATACGAGGTGCTCTGGGATGAGGTGATGGATTCCCTACTGGACGAGCGGCCGTTTGTGGTGGGCCAGGCCGCAGCAGCCGCCTCCCAGCTGCTAGCGTACGGCATTGCCGGCGGCGTGGGCGGTTTTAGTGGCGTCTATGATGCCGGCGGCGCCACAGCAGCTGGTGCCTATGGCGACTCTAGCTCCTTGACTTCCTTCATGCTTTCTCGCATTGCCGACCGCGCGGCTCTGCGCCTATCTGCTGCATTGGGGCCCGTGCTGGAGATGTGCAGCATGGTACCAGGGCCGGGTCAGGTAGTGGTGTGCGAATTGCTCCTGGCGCTGACACGCCGCCTGCTGACGCATCCATTACGCGCTGCCGCGGTCGGCGCGGTGCCATGGCCCCCACCGGCTGGCGTCCTGGTTCCCAACCTGGCATCCTTGGTTACCTCCGTGGCTGCGTACCTTGCCAACCAGATGCAGTCCGGCGACGCGGCAGCGCGTGCAGAGGCGTGTGGTACAGTGTTGGAACTGGCAGCTGACCTAACGGCGGCGGGTCCAGCAGCAGGGGGCGCTGCAGCGGGGCTACCGCAGGGCCTTATCCTGGGGGCGGTGGACGCGCTGATGCAGCTGCGGGAGCGGGAGTTTGTTGAGGCGGGCCTAGGGGACATTTGCGAGACACTTGCGGACGCGCTGCCGGCGCTGCTGGTGAGTAGGTGTGCTGCCTACATAGCTTTTTAGGGGATGTCGCTGCTCCTGCATGCTCCTGCAGCACTAGTTTTGTTTCACTTTGCAGGACGCAATAGTGCTGGCAGTGGTAATTACTTTCATCATCAATCCTGGCATCCTTTCATGGCCGGCAGGGCGCCACAGCCAAATTACGTGGACATGCTCTTGCTGCCCTTACTGCCGCGCCTATGCCGGCTCTGCTGCATCCGGTCCTCCGTCTCCTGGCCCATTTCCCTATCCCGCAGCCCGCAGCCCGCGCTGACGTCTTGCGAAAGCTTTGGCCTCTAGCTAGCCGCATCGATGACGTGTCACGTCGCGCCCGGGTGTTCTCCATCGCGTGGAAGGCTGCCATTGCCTCTGAAATGGACTATCGCCATGGCAACGTGCCACAGCCCAGCGGCACGGCAGGGCTCCTAGGGGCGCCGGCGGGGCCGCCGCCACCGCCCTCGTCAGCTGGCTTGGATCCATTGGGACTCCTAGCAGACTTGACGGTACAGCCAGCGGCTGTTGGTGCCAGCGAGGGAGGAAAGGCAGGAAAGGCGGCGAGCGTCGTAACTGCGGTGCCGCCGTCGTTTCGGGTTTCGGCGCAGCTGGAGGAGCAGTACCTGGGTGCGATACTGGCCGGAAAGGTGCCTGCGGCGGAGGCGAGCGGAGCTTTCACCGTTGCGCAAGGTGTGTTTTAGGTGGCCCCGGCCATGACAACGATGAGGTGTTTTGAACTCCGAGTGTCGAGGTGCCGACAAGTGATAGCCAGGGGATAGGTGCATGTAGCCTTGTCATCCGCATTTCCGAAGTCGGACATGTGGCCGCTTCAAAGCCTGGCGTCTACCTGCCAGGCTTGCTTGGGGTCTCGAGGGTGATGTTCCCAATTTATAGCAGTGCAGACAGCTCTGTGGTGGGTCCGTAATGCGGGGTCCGCGTGCCATGCACGCAACCGGGGCTTGGAGACAGCCGTTTGCCCGTTTCCAACCTTGACGTAATCACTCGGACGCAACTGCCATTTCAGTGGTGCGTTGTCCTCGTCCCGTGTGGGATTGCCTCTCGGATGTTAAGAGTAACCATCCGCAGGTATGCTAGCTGCCTGGCTTTAGGGTTGAAGCTGGTGTGTTTTGCGGCCGCACTTGTCTATTTCCTAGGTGTTTTTTTCCTGTCTTTTATCGCGTCCCATCCACACCTGCTCTCCTCTCCTCTCCTCCGGGTGTTGCCATGGCACTCAACGGCTCGGTTGCGATCCACTGACAAACACCTGCAAACTGCGCAGCATCCGCCGCCGTGGCTTCGGGCCCAAGCAGCAGCTCACTGCTGGGTAGCGTAGCTTCCATGACGCGCGCAGCTCCTCCTCCGCCGCCGCCGCTATCGATGGCGCGCCCGGATTCGATGCGCAGCTCCGCCACCAGCACGACCATTGACAGCGCCAGGGGTGCCAAGCCCGAAAAGGAGAAGGAGAAGAAGAGCGGCTTTGCTGGCCGCTTCTTCCGCAGCAAGGTCAAGGCGACGAAAGGCGAGTCTGATGGGGACCATGGGGGCGTTGCGGCAGCAGCGGTAGCGGCGCAGGAACAAGAAGCGGCGGCCAAGAAAGAGGAAGCAGCGGCGACGGCGGCGGCAGCCGCTGCCGCTGCAGCGTCGTCGTCTCAGCGGACGGCAACCCCCTCACCCCTTAAGCCCCCACCGTCGCCAGCTGGCAGCGCTGGCGGCGCCATGGTTTGGGCCTACACAGCCTCTGCCGGTGGCGCAGCGGCAGGGGTCCTGGCCAGGTGAGAATCCTAATGGACCATCGCCGGAGGGTCTTTGGATGCTGTAGCCTGGCTGAGTGCGTGCATTAAGCAAGGTCCTGTGTGCTCGGTCCCGTGCTGGTGACCTCGTCGCGACGATCAGTATGTGTGTATATCGTACCTGGTCGAGATTGGGTAAATCCTGGACGTGCAAATTCGCCCCAGGGAGGTTAAAGGCTTCTTACTGTCTTCCAAAGCAACAACGAGGGGACCGCACAACTCGGATAGGAAAGGGATGAAGAAAGAATAGAAAGGAAAGAGAGAACCAAGACCACAAGACCGAACGTGCTACGGGAAAGTTGCCGTCCAGTTGGCGTCTAGTTGACGAGACCATGAGATGTGCCTTAACTCCCAAACCTGGCATGCGGGATCCCACCCATTTCACTCGCCTGCTTCATCCACATTTGACTAGATTGCCGACGCACAAAGTGTTTTTGTCCACGATATAGATGCCCGTATCGCCGCAAGGGTATATCCACTGTTCCTTAGAAACACGCTGCCTTCCGATGCGTGCTCTGTCCGCCGCCGCTCAAGCCTAACTGCATAGCTTAGACGACCTAACTGTGGCGCCTATGAAGCGCCAAGTGGCGGACTGCCGCATCGGGGTCTCATGGTGCGCAACCGCCTGTTCGCGCGCCACCCTCACGGTATCCTTGCCCCAATACCCAACGTCTGTCCATGCCGTCCCCGCGTCCCCCGCTGCCTCCCAGGCCATCTCCCGCACACGCCACACTACGCCACGAGCTGCTGCAGTGTTTGTTGCAGCAGCTTGTCCACCACCCCGCTGCCGCCGTAGCCGCGGAGCTGTGCGCGGAGCACGCCGCAGCTGTGCGCCATGACCGCAACCCGCCCACTTACTGTGCCGCCGGCGCCGCCGCTGCTTCCACCGCCGCCTCCTCCCTAGCGCGCCGAGTGGCCGACACCGTGCAATGGGTAGCCATGGTCGGCAGGGTGCTGGCAGGCTCAATGGCCTGCACGGGTTGGGAACCGTACGTGGTGCCTGCAATCACCACAACCCCCAGCACGCCGCCCTCAGGCTGTGTTCCAGTTGACTTCAACAACCTCACTGCGGATCTGTGGCTGGGGGTGTTGCAGGCAGCATTGCAGGCGGTGCGGTCCTCACAGGCGTTGCTAGGGCGCATGGTGGCTGAGGCGGTGGAGGCCGCGGCAGCGGCTGCTCGCGCAGGGACGCAGACGAGCGCATTTGCGGGGTTGGGTTATGGCATGCCGTATGGCATGGCGACAGGTGGCCCAGCAGCAGCGGTGCAGCAGCAGCAGCCGGAGGTGACGGATGAGGCGCACTACCGGGGGTTGCTGTCGTACCTTCAGGAGCAGTTTGAATTGCTTCAGGGACTTTTGCTGAAGGTGCGTCAGCGGACAGGATTTCACAATGCCCCTGCAATCTGAGAAAACTGAAACCCTTGGTCGTGTACCATTTGAAATTTTGCTTTGTCGCATTGCTGGGTCTTAGCACGTTACATCAACTTGCTGGTCAGTGGTTGAAGCTTCGCATTGGGCCAGGTCAAACAGCCCGCGCGCATGGGGAGGAATTCCTTGGACACCAACCCATATGGGCAAACGAACCATGTCCAAGTTCTCGTCAGGACCGTGACCACCCAGCATCCGCACACATTCAAGCACGTGCTTCCGCACCCTGATTCCTGTCACACATTCACACATCCACATTCATAACATCCACCGACTCATTAAATCGAGACCGCTGAGCCCTCTCGTTCTCTCCGCTCAGCTCTCTGAGCAAGAGAGTGGCTGAGTGCTTCTCTTGCGTGCGCACGTCCTCGATTTACACGGCCTGACCCACGTATAGTGACAAAATCCCCAACCCCCTCTATGCGGCGTTGCCCATGTGATGCTGATGATGCCTCCCCGGCTCCCGTTGTCGCCCGCACTCTCAGCTGCTTTCTAGCTGGGCCGCCCTCAGCGCCTCCGCCCGGCCACGCGTGGCCTGGGTGGCAGCCCATTGTCTAGCGCTACCGGGCCACTGGGACCACAGGTGGGAACTGCTGCTGGAGTGCCTGGACGCGCTGCTGGTGTACGGCACGGACGTGCTGGCGGCCAGCAGGCGGCACGACTTGCTGGGCTCTGCGCTGGCAGGAGGGTTATTCAAGGCGGGGCGTCAGGTAAGGGAAGGAGGCGGCTAGAACATGAACGCCGGTGGTGCCTTGTGGGTGAACGATTTGCTTGGATAGGTAACGCCACTGGGCTTCTTACCGCCCGCTGTCGAGTCCTGCCGTCCCGTCCGCGATGGCCTGACACTAAACCGACTGGCGGCGTGTAGGCATGGACCGACCCCACCAAGCCCTTCCTGTTCGACATAGCCTCCGCCTCAGCGTTGTGCGAGGCGCCCGAGTATGAGGCGCTGGGCCTGCTGGTGGCGCTGACAGCACTGCAGCAGCTGGCGGCCCGGCTAGTCAATGCGGTGGCAGAAGCGGTGCCGCACGGCCACGCGGGTGCGGCACACGGCCAGGCAGTCGCGGTGGCGAAAAGATTGGAGGTGCTGCTACGACGGTTTATTGGCACGGAGCTGGCAGGTGTGCGGTCAGGCCGGTTGCGTGAGATGTTGCGGAGCGGAATGTGGCCATGGCGGAGCGAATATGCGTGTAGAAGGGCCAGGATGCGGTCCTTTGACGGTGTTTTAGGGTGCTCATCTCTTGCGCAACACGTTGCCGTTTCTGCCCTTGCCTTTGCTTGCGCTGACCGGGCCTTGACTACTGTTGCATTTCTTGTTATCCTGCCCAGTGCATCGTTGCACTCACCATCGGCTGCTTATGCTGACCGGCTTTTGCAACGGCATTGGCGCTGGGTACCGTAATTGCCTGGTATCGCGTGTTACTGCCGTTCTACCTGCCCTCCTGACCCGGCCCCTGAGTCTCGTCGCGTGCCATGCCTGTTTGCCACGGAACCGCCCCGTATGGCGGCACAACTATTGTGACGACGTGTATTCACAGCTGCGCCACACGTGCGAGATTGGTGCAAGCGCATCCTCCGCTGTCTGACAACGATTATGACCTACACGCCGCCAGTAAACTTGCCGCCGTTAATGGCGGCGCTGGGAGTCATTGCCAAGCAGGTACGGACGGTATGCTGTAAGTAGGTTCGGCTCAGTTGGCTGGAGGCTGTGTGTGTGTGTGTGTGTGTGTGGATGGGGGGTACAATGCGTCGGTCATGCGGCAAGAGGGTTTTTGGGTAGATGCGTAGCCCGTAAGATTTCTGGATCTTACCACCTGATGAAGATGGGGAAGAGCTCCAAGCTAGAGAGCTTCGAGTGCCGGAGGCAGCGAGGCGGGATGGGAGTCATCCCGGACTAGTGCACACAGTCCGCCCGACAGTGTTGGAAGGCGTCATGGGAGCGTTTGCACCTCCCTTGCATGCACCCACCTTCTGGCCTCGCGGATGCTTTGACCAAAAAGGATATACGATGCCAGATACATAGATTTATAAGACTCGACACGGAAGGGGGGAAATGCTTGCAAGTCCCGAGTTAATATCACCTGCAGCTTTTCCAGGTGAATGTTTGTTCCGTAACGCGGCTTGTCGTACGTCGCACTGCGCAGGAACACGAGGCGGGCGGCTCCGCCGCACCCGCGGCTCGCGAGGACGATGATGACTCATCCGACGCTTCTTCCGGATATCATCCTGTCGACGGGCAGCCGGAGTTGCCACCGGCGCTGGCTGCTGCCGCTGCGGCGGCGGTGGCAGCCGCCACCGCCTCCACGCAGGCACAGGGTCTGGGACACGACAATATGGCGGTACCCATGTCCAACGGCACAGTGGGCAACGACGAGGGTGCAACTGCTGAAGGGGCTGCTGCTGCTGAGGAGGAGGAGGCTGGGAAGCGGCGCGCTGCACCAGGCAACTCCTACCTGGTAAGGGTAAGGGAGAGAGCTGGAGGGCAGCGAGAATGTTTAATGTTTGATGTTTAATGTGGTCAGCGGCGAAGCCACGCGCCACGCAAGCTATGCAAGCGGGTGGCTTTGGGCTATGGACTATTTCATCCCGCTGACTCTTTGCTGTCGCTGCATCGCCTCATCCCAATTCCGGTTGGCGGTATTGGCTGCCAGGGATCTCATGTTCAGCATCGCGCCTCATTTGAACGCATTCGCGTGTCCGGAGCTTCCCAGTCGCTCTTTTCCACTGTGCCCTGAATCTTGAGGCAGAGCTGCAAACCTCTTCCTTTGTTTGCCCGTTGTGCTGCCGCCAGGTTCGCTCAGCCGCCGCTGACGTGCCCATGTGGGGCTACCCCTTCGCGCCCCTCTCCGCCATCGCACTCCACAACTCCAAGCGCGCCCGCCGCCACCGCGCACTGTCACAACACCTCGCCGAAGCTGCCGTAGCGGCGGATGCGCAGCGGCCCATACTGGCCGCCGCGCTGCGGCCGCTGCAGCAGCCTGAGGACAACCACAGTGCCGCCACCACATCAATTGCATTGGGGCCCGTCCTGTCGTGCCGGAGCCAGTACCGGCTTGACAGCGAGGCATTCTGGTCTTCGCTACCTCACACGCATAGCCCCTGGCAGGAGCTCACAGGGCCTGCAGATCCGCTGCTGCTGCGGGGCTGCTACGCGCAGCCCAGCAAGGCGCGGGGTGATGCGGCCACTATCGTTATCTTTCTGAGCGCAGCAAACAGGTGGGTAAGGGCCGCAAGCGATTCGGGCTTGTGGTCATTGGGAGGGAAAGCACCGTGGCATTTTTAAAGGGCCTTTACTATTGGTATTAGTTTACTTCCCAAACACGTCGGTATAGGACTGCCTGTCCTCTTGGTTGAGCGGCTCGAGTCCCAGCTGCGGTCCCGGCTGCGGTCCCGGCTCGAGTCCCGGCTGCGGTCCTCTTTTTTTTGCAGCGGACGCATTTCTGCCTTCTAACTTTATCCACACGCACCATGTTAAGATGGCTTGGTCCTCCAACCCCCTTCTCGACTGTGATGGGAGCGGGGCTCCATCTTACCACCCTCACCTTTACAGCTAACCGTCATCCTCCCTATTTCCTGCTGCGTCCTTCGACCGTTCGCCCTCAGGCTCCCGGTTGACATTTCCGATGTGGAGGTTGCTCTTAAAACCAGCGGACCGCTGCTGTCCAGTACCCGCCGGGCGGCCGTCTGGGAGCTGCCCAAGCTGGCAGCGCACGACCGTGCAGCAGCGTCCTTCACGGTGAGCGGTGGCACGCCACTTGGATGGGAAACGGCCCGAGGGGAGGTTGGAACCCTCCAGGGAGAAGTAAAAGACTACCTTGGGCTAGGGTGACCGCCTGCTCGGGGGCGCGAGCACGGCAGCACATCTGAGCGCTGCGCCGGTGTCCTTGCTAGGGCAACCAGTAAACCGCACCTCCTTTGTTTCATCGCCAGGAGCCAATCACCCTTCTTTCGTGGCCATCCCCGCGTTTTCATGTCTGGGCTCGGCTTGGTAATTTCTCAACGCCCCAAGGGACGGCTTCATTTTTAAACTCTTACTGCACTCGGGCAGCGTACCCTTTGCGAGCGGGAGGCGGGGAGCCCCCTTCACCCGCTACAGAATTCCCCCATGCAGTATGTGAAGCCCATCTTTACCTTTGCAAACCTCTTCGACCAGTCGCTAATCTGCTTTGGGCCTCCCTGGACCTCAGTTCAAGGTGCTGGGCTACGGTAGCATGCAGCTACATGCTCGGCTGCAGCTGTGCCAAGGACCGGCCCGCACCGACTGCACGCCGCTGCAGCTGGCATGCCTGCCGCTGGAGGTGCCGGCTGTGGTGCTCTTGCGGCCCCCCAGGCCGCTGCCGGAGGCGGCTGAGTTCTTCAGGGCATGGGGAACCTTGCCCGTGCGAACGGAGCTGTCAGGTGGGGTGCGAGGTCAGCAGCACTGGCACTGGCAGGGGGCAGCAGGGCCCCGCGTTGCCGTCGGGACAACGACCGCGCATGGAGGGCAGTTAGGGAGGCGTGAAACGGATCTGGGGAAAACGGGAGTCAGTAGTTTTCTTATACGCCTGAAGCGAGCGCGGTCTATTCGCCTATCCCTGAACGCTTGCTTGGGAATGCGAATATGTTGATGGGACATAGAAGGCGTAGACAGAACATGTGGATGGGAATCTAGGGATTGTTGTGGAACCGAATGCCACAGAAGAGCCATGATGAGCTGTGTCTTGTTACTGTGCTGCACTGCATCCGCGCTCCGCATGCCCGTTGGCCGTAACCATCGCGGCATATCACCTGCAATGATGTCGTATCCCATGCCCACTTCAATGTAATACACCCAGGCGTCTGTACCTGGCCAGGCCTTGAGGGCGGCGCGCTGTTACTATCGGCATTGCTGCGACAGCCGCTTGGCTGCGTCTGGCTGCAGCACGTCCCGGCAGTGTACAGCTTCCAGGCGGCCTTTGCGGCGGACACAGCGCCAGGAGACAGCTTGGCGCTGGTGGTGACGACGCAGCTGATGCCCCCGGCGGCACCTTGCATCAGCTCCGAGACGTTCTGCACCTTCTCCATCAGGTGAGGTCTGTGGTCAGCGGGGTGCCGCGCGGAGCTGTGGTTGTGTTTGTCGAAGGATCCACAGGCTGCAGCAGCGACAGTTTGCAGCGAGAGGAAATGGGTACTTGGTCTGAGGATTGCTTGGGGGGAGCCCCAGGGGTCCAAAAAGGAGGTAGTGGACGGATAGCCTCTAGAAAATGTTGTGGATGCCGTAGGCCCGTGGTGCGGCCCTGGGCAGGAGGGCAAGAGCCCCACAAATTGATTGAAGTTCAGAACATGCTCCCTAATCCGACTGCCTGAATCCTGCTTGCCGCACACAAGTCCTCTCCCTCCCACCTCACCCTCTCAGGTCCTCCTCTCCAGACCTAATCCTCTCTCTCCAGAGTGGGGCCGCAGCCTGGCTAGCCCAGCTCACGTCTGGAACCGCAAGTCTAGGGGTCGCCAGCCGCACTGTGCAGCCCGCTGCCAGCGGCAAACCACCGCTACACCCCCGCGTGGCCGCGCTGCTGCAATCCTATAGCGCCAGTGCAGCACAGCTCGAGTCCACGTTTTTAATGCCCATGGCGTCGTTCGGCCTTTCTGTGACGGAGCCGTCCGCTTGGGGACCCATTACTGCCACGAACACGGTAATGCTGAAGAACACGGCATTGCAGGAGTGGCAGCGGCTGCAACGACAGGTGGCGTAGGAACGCTTGCGAGAAGTATGGCTGCTGCATAGGATCGATCGGGCTAAGTGATTCTCTGTGTGGCGGAAAGAGTATGTGAACACTGGTGTGTAGAGGGAAGAGCCTGTGAAGGATAATCTAAGTGGGGGATGACGCAAAGCCAGGCTGCTGAGCGACGGCGCCGCGCGCTTGGGAAAGTACCGGGAACGGCAGCCGTAAGAGGTGACTCAAGGAGGATCGTACCCAACCATGTGCAGTGTTGTCGGTTTCCGATTTGCGCTAATCGTGAGAGCAGGTGAGGATATACGCTCATGTCTGCCTGCGACAGCTGACCACGGGTGTTACGTGTGGTCTTTTTCAGGAGAGAGCATCTCTCCTTGTATTCTCGTGACGTTGGGGTGCTTCACGTGCGGTGGTCATGTATGACGTTAGCTCAGGGCTGATGCTGTTTCGGCGGGCAGCGCGAACAGCGCATGCGCGGGCAGCTAATGGCGAAGCCAGGCTTCAAAACAACAAGGCCATTGATGATGGATTTGAACTGGCCATTCCGGATTGTTCTTTCCTATTACAGAACATTACCTTATCCGCCTATCATCGACTTGGAAGTGTCCGCCCCAGTACCCAGACAGATTACCAGTACGGTTTTCATTGGGAGAGTCTGCTTTATTGGGTGCTGTTTGCGCCGGCAGGGCCTTCATGGCTGACACTGTCACGTGCCTGGCACCTGTTGTTAGGCCAGCAGTAATCTTTCGGCCTCTCCTTCCTAGGGTCGGCCTGCTCAAAGCATCAAGGTGCGTAGCGTATAAGGCCTGCGAGGCCTTCAGCCGCCCACTGTCAATGGGTTCAAACAATATTTTTGCCGCGATGGAGGAAATGCTAATGGCGGTGCACGAGTAATAACTTTACCGAAGCGAGCTCCGTAGTCCGGCGAGATGATGTCAAGAGCCCGTAGAAATAACCGGCGCTGTACTGCTCGCGTTGGGCGACTAGGTGGTGGGCGGCTAGACCTGAGCAGCACCCAAAAACCTATTTCTTCGTTCATAATGTGTACCATCCAGTCTGTCGGAAGGCCGTTTGGCGGCTGGAGTAGCGCAAGCCTTGTTGAGGCTGGTATAATAAACCACGGAAACTCCGGATTGACTGCCGTCAGGTAATGACTTGCCCGACATAACCGATTCAATCCCATGACGGACAATTTCAATCCTATGACGAAAGTTCATGTGTGCAGTACATATCGTTTTACAAAGGAGCAGGAACCCTGCTTGAGAGGCCGTCTTAAAGGACCCTGGCATGGTCTACCGACGTACCAAAAAGGAGAGCCATGCTGGTGTACCTTCTAAGCCATTCACTCCGTGCTGCGCCTTCCCAAGTTTCTCCCCCACCGCAGCAGCAGTCATATCTCAGCTTCAGCGACATCACTAAAAAGTGCCACATGTGGTGAAAAGGACGTCCGATTCAACAGCCTTTGCAGCAAACATCGCCAGTGCAACTAATGCCATAAGCCAGACCGACGTTTGCAAGGCTGTGTGCACAGGAACACTGCTTCATTCCTCTGACCTACAAGGTGACCCGGAATACCCAGGCTCGCCCAACATCCCTGACTTGTCTATGGCCCGCAACAAGCTGAGCCCCTTGTACTACAACAAAGCGAACTGTGAACAAAAGGAAAGTGTTCAGTCCAAAGTGCAACGTCGAAAAGACCTCCCGACGGGTGAATATGCTCTACCCAGTTTTGCATCTACTTCATGCCAGTCGCCGCAGCTACCTCAGCAGCGAAGTCGTTCGACTTCTTCTCCAAGCCCTCCCCGAGCTGGTACTTGATGAACCGCCGCACCGAAATCTTTTCACCAATGGCTGCGATCGCCTCCTTAATAGCGTCCGCCACCGTCTTCGAAGGGTCGGTCAGGAACGGCTGGTCCAAGAGGCACATCTCCTGGGCGATCTTCTTTGCGCGACCCTCGGCAATCTTGGCGCGGATCGCTTCCGGCTTGTTCTGCGAAAGGTTGATACATCTCCATGTCAGCCACCACATAGTTATGAGCAAAGAATTGTGGCAGATAAGCAGGTCCACCTGTCAGCCATACAACCTGTCGCTGCTTCTTGCCATCTGTGAAAGTTGCAAGGCTGCTCCTTCCCTCCCTCCCCTTTCTCTGCCCTCTCCCGCGTCGCACCTTGAGGTCCTCACGCCCCATCTCAATCTGCTTCTCCCGCTCAAACACCTCCGCCGGGATGTCGTCCGCGCTCACGTACTGCACGTTCTGTCCAGCCACAATGCCCATGGCAATATAATTGACCAGCTCGTTGAACTTCTCCGAGGCAGCCACGAAGTCCGTCTCGCAGTTCACCTCCAGCAGCACACCAAGCCGGCTTCCTGGGTGGATGTAGGATGCAATAACACCCTCCGCCGCCACGCGGCCAGCCTTCTTGTCCGCCGACGCCAAGCCCTTCATCCGCAACCACTCGGTGGCCTTCTCCATATCGTTGTTGCACTCCGCCAGCGCCTTCTTGCAGTCCATCATGCCAGCGCCCGTCTTGTCACGGAGCTGCTTGACTACGCCGGCCGACACCTGAACACCAAGATGAGGTGCAGCGGTGATAAGATGAGGAACAAAAGTGAACTAGAGAGAGATGTGTGGTTCGCAGTTTTGCCGCTTCCACGCCGGCTCGAAGAACTGCTCCCGCAACACAGCATGCAACGGTGTGGCCTTGCTGCTAAGTGACCCTACACCAACAGGCATCGTTGAACATACTAGACATACGTCGCTACCGGCTGCGCTGCATACGTCTCCCCATTGCTGGAACCTGCATCCAGCTGATGGCCGCTCCCACCTGCACTGCCGGTTTGGCCTCCACCTTAGGCTCTTCCTTCTTGGGCTCCTCAGGCTTGGGGGCCGCAGCCTTGGCTTGCGTCTGCTGGGCAACTTCGGCAGCGAAGTCGCTTGACTTCTTCTCCAGGCCCTCACCCAGACGGTACTTGGTAAACCGGCGGATCTGCATGCAGGTGTGAGGCATACATCTCCTCCTTGCTGAACGGCCTCTCCTGAACCCTTTACGCGTTTGCACATGCAAATGCTTCGTTGCTCAAGGTGAAACTGACGCAACGTTGGAGTCCTCACTACATGCACCCAACAAATATGCCTTTGAAAAAACTCCATGATGCACACCTTGATGTTCTCGCCCACGGCGGCAATGGTCTCCTTGACGAGATTCGCCACCGTCTTGTCGGGGTCCGACAGGGTCATCTGGTTTGTGAGTGCCATCTGGTTCTTGATCTTCTCAAGGCGGCCCTCTACAATCTTAGCCCTGCATCCGCCACCAACAAAAGCAACGTAATCAAACCACAGCCCTACGCAGATGAACCAGCAGGTGCCAGGGCCCCATTCCTATCGCAGCCGGTGCGTACGGAAGGCAACAACCCTTCTGCTCAGGCCGCTCTACAGCCACGCGGAGGCAAGTGGTTAGAATACCCGAGCCTCATCAAAGACAAATGACCGTCCGCCTCCGTCTGCCAACGAACCGAACCTGATGGCCTCCGGCTTGTTGGCCAGGTCCTCCTTGCCCATCTCCACCTCACGCTCCTTGGCCAGCAGCTGTGAGCCCCGGGCAACATTGAGAGACGGGCCGCGTTAGGAGGCAAATCGGGAGCAATTAAGCCAAGACCCGCCCGCATTCCTGACGGGTTGCCTCCGCCAAATGATCCATCTTAAGAGCCCGAAACAGAAACTAGAAGGTCTGTGGCCCAACCGTTTAAAGATTTATCAAGAAAGCCTCCGCCTCGGCCGTTTTCCATGCGCGGTAGACAAGTGCATTCAGTCGTTCCAAGGCACTTACTTCCGCGGGCACATCCTCCGGCGAGACACAGATGCAGTCGGTCGCTGCAATGATCATGCCCAGCTCGCCCACGAGTGCCTGAAACTTCTCAGAGGCAGCCACGAAGTCCGTCTCGCAGTTAACCTCCAGCAGCACACCCAGCCGGCTGCCGGGGTGGATGTAGCGGGCGACGGCGCCCTCAGCCGCCAGCCGGCCGGCCTTCTTATCCGCACCCGACAGGCCCTTCTTACGCAGCCACTGTCATCATGGGAGCAGGGGAAAAGTGCGGCTGAACCATGCAAACCTTCCGCTGCATTAATTATAAAACGATTGTGACTTATTACGATAAATGCGCTTTCGCTGTTCAGATCCTTAAGATAATGCAGGTTCACGATCATAACATCTGAATCAGAGATAACCTTTCCATATGACATTACAGCTAGGGCATCGCGTTGCCAGGGTTGCACGAGTCCAACGCAGACTACGAAAGCTCGTGTGGGCACACGCAGCAGGAACACGGCAAAATTCCCGACCAAAAATGAGACTGACTCCACAAGCCGAGCACCCAACCCCCAACGAGGCGCCGCGCCCTAAAGTCACACCTCAGCAGCAGCCTCCGCGTCACCGCCGCACTCCGTCAGCGCCTTCTTGCAGTCCATCATGCCAGCGCCCGTCTTGTCACGGAGCTGCTTGACATCGGAAGCAGAGATGTCTGGCGGGCGGGAGGGACGCACAACAGAAGACACTAACAAAAGAGGCCAACACCAAAGAACAATGTAGCGAGCTGCCACGCAGGGAGGTGGCACGCCAAAAGCAAACGCCACCAAGTACAAGTTGCACGAACATACAGCCAGCACACCGCAGTCGAAGCAACATGTGCTGCAGATTTACAAACCCACATAACAAATTCCCACGGGGCATCACCGCTGTTGGCGCAGTTACCGCAAACTAGCTTCTTGACCGACAATGTTTGTAACTGTAAGCACTGGCATACAAATTGAAGCCAAACGCAACGTAACGTGCGCCTCCTTGTGTAACAGTCGTCGCCAGAAAGTAAAACGTCAGTTTGCACACTGATCCCGTCTATAAACCGCTCAACACTAGAACCATTTCCAAAATGGCACTAGCCCCTATGGTCAAGGAGTCTTGCATGATGCGTCGCGAGCGCTGGTATGGTCGTCAGATTTGTTACTGACTTTGCACAGCAGCAGCGAGAACAATGGGCCGGCGCGCAGCACGGGCCGGCAGCTCCGCCTCCTCCGTGTCGTCGTCCAGCAGGTCCTCGAGGAACTCCCGGGCGCGGGCCTCCACATCGCCGTTGTACAGGTAGATCGGCACGTCCTCAGTGTCCTCCTGTCAGGAGCAACAAAGCACCAAAACAAATCAGTATCGTTCGCGCTTAAGCAAATCCTGCTGCAATTCCGAAGCCGGTTAAACCCCAGCAGCAACAGGAATTCCTATGCGCATCAAGCAAGCTGCATTTTGTTGCAGTTGATGGACGCCACCTATTGCCAAAAATCATTCTACGTCTTTGCTACTTGCACGATGTAGGGTGTGGTCACGGAGCATAACCAAGCAGGGACCTTTGTCAGGACACATTTAGAGGATACAAGCTCCCGCCAGGTCCATCCAAGAACGTAACACTCACAAAGTCTGGGCGCTCAGTGAACTCTGCCTCGCCCCGCTCGTTGAACGACATCTTCAGGCCAATGCGCTTCAGCACATCCTTGGGAATGGACTCGTACATCTCGGTGTTCCAGTACTCCACCAGCTGCACCTCATCGCCGTCGAAGTCCGTCTCCGAAGTTCCCAGAATTGCCAGACCAGAAGACGCCTCCGTCTGCATGACGGACGAAAATTGCAGGCAGGTGATGGAACTTGACGACATCGCCATTATCGCCTAATTGACGGCCAGCTGTAGCCAGCTTCTCATCTCATCTCACCAGAACATGACGCACATGAAAAGAAAACCATTTAAACGCTTGTAACCACGCATTCCAACTATTGAATGCTAAGTTACGCTGCACGCAGTCACCCGATAATGCCGGAGCGAAAACAAGGAATATTAGCAGAATAAGCATGAATGCAAATGCTTGCACGGCGCGATGCCATCCGCTTACTCTTTCCATTACAATCATTACCCCCCATCAGGCCCCAAACCAGCGCAGTAGCGTTGACTTCTCACAACATCACGTAGGATGCAGGAACCTGCGAAGTGCCTATGCTGTGTCCGTTGGGACCTAGCCTGCATCGCGCCAGGTGCAAGGAGCTTACCGAGCGGCTGGGCAGACCCAGGGGTGCGACCTGGAAGCCGTTCTTGCCCTTTATGAGGCCGGTGCGCATCTCTGCCGTCTCGTATGTGGTGTCCGCCTCCTCCAGGCCCTCAGCGCTGTAGCCCTGGTACTCGCTGGCGTCCTCCACGGGGCTGCTGCCCTCCACCTCATCCTCCCCCTCCATCAGGTCCTCGGGAGCAAACGCCAGCACCTCCTCGTCCTCCGCGAAAGCCTCCTCCAGCAGCTGGTCCAGCTCATCATCCTCGCCTTCTTCAATGCGCTCAAAGGCATCCACCGCCTCAGCTGCAACGTCCTCATCCGTGAAGTGGGTCAGCGTGATACCGCGCGGGTCAACCAGTTTGCTCTCCAGCACGAAGGCCGGCACCTCATCGCCTGGCTGGTAGAACTTCTTAATATCGAGTTCGTCATCGGCGAGCTCGACAAACTGCGGCATCTCGAACTCCGTGTCAGCCCACTCCGCGCGCAGGGCGGCCTGCGCCTCCTCCGGCAGCGCCGAGGAGGGGACCTTCATCTCATCCCGCGCCAGCAGACCGGTGAACTTCTTGCCATTCCAGTCGAAATCCAAGAACAGGCCATAGTCCTCAATGCGGCTGACCTTGCCGGTAATCTCCTCGAGGTAGGCGGGCCCCTCCAGTTCGTACTTAATCTACACATGATCGTGCATTACACAGATATACATATTCATGATTAAACGACCGCCACCATATGGGAAACTATAACATGGGGGCGTATGGACTGCGGCATGCGGCATGCGTCAGCAAGAGAGTAAAACAGGAAGCTTCCCCGTGCTTCAATTATGCAGAGCAGCTTGGCGATGTCGCATCAGGACTTGCTCCGCGAGGCCGTCGCATGCATCCAGGAAGCATTTAAGCCTCCTACAGCTCGCAAGTAAAGCGCACTACAAACCTGTAGGTTTTTTGAGTGAAACGACAGAAAACCAAGGTTTTCTGTGTACTTGCCGAGAGCGTACTCGGTTGAATGTCGTTGGTGCGTACGGCAGCACCGTACAGGGCTAAAGTAAGTCGCAGGAGTGCGACGGAAAGAGTAATTTCGCGAGTTCATAGCGTCAGTACTGACAGATGTCCGCAGCGGCTTCTGCCCTAATCTACAGCGTTCAGAAGCAGGTCGCTCGGTAACCAGGCTCGCCCCCTCCCACGGAAGCAAGCACAACTTTCCTGCCTGTAGGTACCCCTCCGTCTGTAAGACCCCTAAGCGATAAGGCAACTACTCAAGAAAACGCGGGGAACTCGGGTGCGGCATTGCTGTGCCGACATGCGCACCTCGGCTGCGTCCAAGTCGGCCTCCAAAGCAGCAACAGCCGCCTCCGACAGCTCGCCCTCGTCATCCATATCCATGACGAAGGGAATATCCTGGAAGCCAGGCAGGTCCGCATACACCTCCACTTGACCCTCCTCCAGTTCCACCTCCACCTCGTCCTCCTCCTCATCGTCACCCCCATCAGCACGCTCGTCAGCGACATCCACGATGTCATTGGCCACTTCCTCCTCCTCAGCAGCAGCAGGAGCCGCTTCACCGCCTGAATTAGCATGAAGTCGCGCGGTAGGGTCTCAGTCCGCATGCCAAGACCCACAAGGTGTGGCCAAGTCCCAGATATGTACGGCCTTTGCTCCCACCTGACGTCAACTCCAGCGACACACGCTTCTTCGCGGCATCGACGTTGAGAACCTTCACGGTCACCTTTTGCCCACGAGACACGACATCCTTGGCGTTCTTCGTGAACCCGGCCTACAAACAAGAGGGCGGATGGGGTCAGTGGCTTGCTCTCTGCCACAACCCAAGAGATTAACCTGTCCTGCTTACCGCCAGCTTTGAAATGTGAATCAGGCCATTGGTTGAGGTACCAATGTCGACGAAAGCACCGAAGTTCTCGACGGCCGTCTGCAATCGTAACCAGGAAAAGCTTTTGACGCACCTTTTATCCACAAAGGCATCCTCAGTTCAGCTTAAAATTACGCACCACGGTACCCTCATACTCGGCCCCCTCCTGAATGTCCTCAAGCCGCAAAAGCTTCGCCGGCTCACTTGCTGCGGGGGCCTCCGCAAACACGCGAACCGATGGCCTCACACCCTTGAAGGCCAGCTGCCGCCTGCTCATGAGGGAGGGAAAGAAGTTGAGCCCGAACCCTTTGCCCGCAACCTCCATGGTGCGCCGCTGCCACAACCGTACCTGCCGGCGACGGGGCGCAGGCGCGCCACGATGTTGCGGCCATGAGCCTGCAGCATAGATGACAATTAACTAAGCTGTAAGTAAAATATGGAGATCAGTGCAATTTGGACTACGGATGCAGATATGCACCTGCGCAGAGGCTTTGCGGCCCAATTCCCGGCCGAGCATCTTGTATGTGTATGGTGTGAATGAAAGAGTCAAACAGACTCTAAGGTGGAGGATTTAATGAAGACTTCGACCGGGAATTTGGCCCTGGGAAACTCATGGCTCCAGGAGGGTGCGAATTTCCTGGCGCAGAACAATTGGACCACCACTGCCTCTCAATTTGCATTAAAAATACATCGGTGCATGCTTACAATTACTATAGCAAGAACGTGCTATAGACAAAGGATACCACGCTATACTTGCAGGATAACCATGCTTGCACAGGCAAAACTACCGACTCAGAGGGCCCAGCGCATCAGCGTCGCGCGCTGTGCCCGCAAGCTGTGCATCGCATGCGTTGCGCGTCCATCAGGGAATTCCGCGCCATCAACGTCATTACGGTCGTCGCTGGATGGCGTTAAGGATCAAATGGGTCGGCCCCTTCTTCTCGCGGGTGCAACGATTGCACCGTTGTTGCTTCAAGCCAGCTCTGCACTCGCCAAGGATGGCGAATACGGTCTGCTTGAGGGCCGCACCGTCGCTCTGATTCACCCGGCTGTCATGCTTTTCCTGTTTGGTGGGACTTTGTACGCTGGCTTCCTGGGATATCAGTGGAAGCGTGCTCGTGAGCTTGGTGAGGAAATCCGTGAGCTGAAGAAGAGCTTGCCCGCCGCTAGCCCAGATGGCGAACGGCCTTCCTCACCCACAGACAGCATCATCGCCCAAAAGGAAGCGGTATGTTGCGTGCTTGAATGCGTAAGCAGAGAAGATTTCAAATCCAATAGTCGTTGGGACTTCAGATATTACTTCGTTGGATTGGTTAGTCGCTAACTGTTTACGGTTATTCGACGGTAGGGACGTTTAGCTCGTGGGAACGAGTAAGGTAACCCCGCCTCACCTGACATGTGCTGCTAATGTGTCATGCAGGAACGGAAGGAGCTCCTCAAGGGTGAGTACCGCGACAAGCATTGGTGGTGGGGCTCCCTACTGCTGTCGTCTGGCATCGGCATTGCGATCGAGGGCTGCGTCAACACCTACATGCGCACGGGGCGTCTCTTCCCGGGCCCGCACCTATACGCGGGCGCGGCCATCGTGGGCTTGTGGGCCGCTGCTGCCGCCTTGGTCCCCGCAATGCAGAAGGGTGACCAAAATGCTCGCAACGCGCACATTGCACTAAATGCCGCGAACCTGGCCTTGTTTGCGTGGCAGCTGCCTACGGGGTTCGATATTGTTGGGAAGGTATTCCAGTTCACCTCTTGGCCATGAGTGAATACTTGGATGTTGGGGGCGTTTGCCTCTGGGCTATGTAGTGTTTGCAAATTTTTCTGTCATGTGCGTATTGGCACATGTGAGTGTAATTTTTTCAGGGCACCATTCCTTATAGCCTCGCGGTGATACGAGAGCTGGGGACGCATTTTATCTGTAGACGCGCCTTGCGGGTTTGTGTGCCCTTGTTCCAGCCGCATGTATTTCCTGCTTAACTCTTTACACCACGATAACGTATAGAACCTGCATTACGCTGCGGTTGGTGCACCTAACATTAAATTCGGTATGCCACTGTACGATTATTCTTTGGGCAGCAGTTGACACTCAATCAGATGACGTTGACGAGCTATACCATTGCTTTTGTGAGGGAGGACTGAGTGAATGTAAGCGTTGGCCGCTCCACGTCGTGAGTAATATGGTTTAAAACTGTAAAGGTCATCTTAATTTCTGACTAGGGTTCTAGTATAACACAACAGCTGTAGGCCACCACGTATGAATGAGCTTGTTAAGGATTATGTACCATTCCGTAGTGTCTAATGCAATGAACCAACGAACTTTCAATTGACGCTCCGAGATCAATGTCCGATACTTCCAAAGAAATATACATCAACATATGATCTATGAACGAGCACCAAGGCCACAATCAACGGAACGCTCTCACTAAAATTCGCGGGACGCCGAAAGAAATGGAGAACAGCAGTGCCATCAAACTTTGCACTGCGACATTCTGTGCTGGAGTTATCTGTGGGTGGTTACTTAACAAATCCACCCGCAAGGTAAGATGGATTGAAATGCACCGCCTTAATGGCTTAAGCCAACACACCGTAACATTTCGGCCACCACCTCGGCACAAGCGCGGAATTTACGGCCGCCTTCAACCTTACGGTGAGAGCGAAAATGCCTTACACTCAACTGACGAGCACCATATCCCGCTGCCCTTCCTGCTGCCCCTTCCAACAGCACATCGACAGGCTGCTGGCGAAAATGCAACAGCGAGCCAAGAATTTGTAATTGCACTGACATCATAATATCAGCGCTCAAGGCGCTGCAACCTACACGCGACGTGACGCAGTACAACCGATGTTGCCTCACTAGTTCGGGTTAACCTGCATGAGCATGTTGCCGGAGTTGGGCAGGTAAACCACGTTCCGACTCTTCGACATCGTTTCTGCAACGTCCTTGGCCGCCTGTGGGACACGGAGATGTCGGGACGCGACCAGTGAATATCAAAACCAGTGGAGTTATGGGAATGCCTGTAGGCTATGTAAGCACGAAAGGTCCGTATTCCTTGCACGGCTATACGACGCCCCTCACCTCAATCTTACGAAGCTCGATGAGTCCGAAACCGAACTGCTTCGTTGCTTCCGAAATGAGCTTGGCAGCCTCGCTCTCACCCTCTGCTTTAATAACAGCAGCGTTCCGCTCCTGCAATTAACCATGCCGGCGCAAAGCCCAGGGCCACACCACGTTTACACTTTTTGCAATGGAAGGCATCCCTGATCCGACGTTCGCACCGATCCTCGCCAATTAGCCAACGAATCGTCGGTATAAGTGCTTAGAGGTGTCGCATAGAGACCCTGGGAGGATATGCGCTGGATATGCCTTGGCAACGACGTGCTCGCTCATGCGGAATCGAACGTAGTGTGCGAGAGCTAAAACCATTACGCCATGTTACCTGCCCCCGGAAATCTGTTTCGTTAGCCCTACTGCCGCACCTGCTCCGCCTTCATCACCACGAACTTGGCCCGCTCAGCGTCCTGCTCCGCCACTTGTTTTGCCTCTACGGCCCGCGTGAACTGCGACCGAAACGCAACGCAATTTACAGAAACACGATAGGGAATGTGCTACAAGGACATGACTGTAACCTAGTGCTCTTGTACTAAGGCCTGTCCGGCGTTGACCGCAGACAAGGCGTCACCGCACGCACACATGTTTGCGAGTAGGCATGCGCCTGTGGAGGGAACATGGCGAAGTCCCAGGGTGCACGAGTGCCGAGGAAGAAGGGACCCCGCACAAACCGCTTCAGTTTGCTTGCGCGCCCCTATCGCAACCCCCCTCCCCATGCATGCACGAAAAGCAAACCGAAAACATCAGCCGTCACCCTTGGCGCAACATCAGCCTCACTTCGACGAGGCGACGGGAGGTCCAGCCGTGACTTGCCTCACCACCGGTTCGTGTGCAAATGTAATGGCCGTGTAGTGCAAGCTAGGTAACAGCCCCCGTGCACCAGTCGGGGGCATTCCCGGTAGCTGGGCCCACGCGCATGGACCCATTGACCAGTATTTAATGATGGAAGGCAAAACGCCTCTGCGGTTCGTTTCGATATCAATTTGGTGCATCTAACAGTGGCACACATGATCCTACGGGAAGCCTCACCCTGCGGCAACTACAAGCGCTCAATGCGGATACCACACCGGCAGGTAGGCGCGCATATAAAAAGCAGTCTCACAGGCAGTCCCTCATGGGTCGCACCCCCCCCATGGTAGAACGGTACACGCCCCTGAACCCCAAATGCCAGTGCTTACCTCCGTCCCGAACGATAGGTGTGTAATGGCCACGTCGTCCAGGACAATCCCGAAGTCAGCGGCACGGGCCGTCAAGGACTCGCGCACCTGTCGGCCCAAATGAAGGCTCAGTAAACGAGCCGCCTTTAAGCAAAGAGGTATATGGCGCCACAAGGCTTGGGTCATAACCTTACCGGCAACAAAGCCGGGAGATCCTAAACATATGCATATCGTATGGTGACACGCAATGGGTGTCAAGTCGCAGGCAGGGTCAGGCTACAAAACTTACAGCGCGGGATACCCTCTCACGCTGCGTAATGAGCTGCTCCGCGTTGTACTGCGCCACGACCGCTTTCACCACCTCGTTGCCGATTGAGGGTAGCACGCGCTCCTCCCAGTCCGTGCCGAGCGTCTGACAAAGGGGCCGCCCCACATGTCAATACGGCATAGCTACATCGGCAAAGAAAGTCGTGTCCGACATACCTTGAATATGTGTGGCAACCGTGGCTCATCTGGTTTGCTTAGGATCCGCAGCGACATATTAACCATCTGAAGATCTGCAGTGGTGTCGCAAGGCTTTCAGCATCAAAACGTTTTCGTGTCGTGAAAATGCCAGTAGAAAGCTGTACAATGCTAACCTTTCGTTCCAGTGACTGAGCTGATGCTCCGTGGGCGCGTGCGAATATCCATGACGTTCGGCTGCTGGACCCAAGGGATCCTGAAGTGAGTCCCTTCACCAACTGGCTCCGGCAGCACTCCGCGGAAACGGTCAAAAATAATTGCCCGTTCGCCGCCATCGACTGCGTTGGAGGAGCGTCGCCACAGGTTTCGGTCATCCTGTCGCGCCGCCCCAAATCATCCTGAAAAGTGTATACCATGATAGCGCTCATACCATTGTAAAGGGAAGTTTGTAGTACGCTGGCGCCCACGCCAAGCCCGATAGCGTAACGTATGACCTTGTTCAGTACGTTGATGGCTACCGCAGCAGTCTCTGGGTTCGCCATCTTGACGTGCAAAGATCAGCACTACGCTATTATCTTGACTCTACGCAACTGCAAATAGAGTCTTCTTCTTTGCCAAAGTAGGTGTCCGAAATCGGTGTACTGCAACATGCGTCATGCCGTTCACAAGCACTAACACACCTGCCTGCCAGCACGATTGAGTTACACACACAAAATGCTCCCTGGGCTGAGCTGGATGTTTAACATTTGTGTGGTATTAAAACTGAAAACACGCCTGTGTAACCTGTGCAAGTGAACTTAAGCCCACGGTCGCCAAACCTGCCAAAGCTGGCACGTGCCGTCACATGCTGTAACGTGTTGCCAAAGCTGTCACACAATGTCAGCCCCTTCAGTGTAGAACACGTGTTCGAAGATCTTCTTGGGCATGAAGAGCAGCCTGGAGTAGTAGGAATGGTCTGAACCTCTGCCGTAAATATCCAGCAGCATACGTAACCCATACGTAACCCAACCAGCCCAAATGTAAGCCCTCCCAATCCCTAGTTAAGGACAGGGTGCCATGGCCTGCGTGCACTTTAGCATAGATGAACCGCATGTACTGATGGCGCTGGCCAATGCTACCACTGTCAACCGCGAAGTCACCCTGGGAGAGAGCAGGACGGATGGCTGTGCGCTGTGACCCGCGAGCTGTCATGCCACAGATGCCCTCCTCTCTCCTGAGGCCTTGGGTTTGCCTGGGCAGCACACTGACGGTCCTTACAATTCTTATGTGTAGTGCGTCCAGCAAACAGAACTGCGCTTTAGGCACGGCTGCACGCAACCAGAGGCATCCGACAGGGATTTGACTTCCCATACCGCTCGCTCCTCTAGATGAAAGCCAGCTCCCCTGGCCGTACTCCTCCAGCTGGTCCCACCTCGCACTCGCATCCCGGCCCCCCTTCGAACCCCTCTTCGAACCCGCTAGGGGGCATCTGGCCGAACTCCGTTGCGCAGCCTTGAACGAAAGGGCGGACGGACGGATGGACGACCCTTGCGGGCGGCAACGGGAGGGCGCTGCTTGCACCGCCTGGTCCCAGCCCTCTCAATCACAACCCAACATGGCAGCAGCGCTTATGCCGCGCATGGCGCAAATCATGGCAGTGGTGCGTATCGTTTATAAATTGGACTTGTAGGTAGCCACCGCACGCCGCGACGTAAGATGGGATCGACGAGGTCATGCAGCGGGGCCTGGCAAGTAGTGGTAGCGGGTATCACACACCAAGCGCTTCAGGGCCCGGAGAGAAGCCAGATGAACTATTGCCGCACGGCCCAGTCGACGGCAAGGTTCACGGTGAATGAACCACCACGTCGTTCCGCACCGCAAAAGCAAAGGTCCATTATGCAATGCTCCTTGTCGAACCCCCTCCCTACGTCTCCTCTCCAGCCCCTGTCCTGCCTCTACACCGCGCGTATCTCCTCTAGGTGTTCACTGCTACCCCCCCCCCCTCGATTCCCTTCCCCCGGCTTTCCCCTCTCTGCCCGCTGCCCTCCCCTCTGCTCATCAATCTTCGGTCCTTCAAAAGCTGCAGAAGGCGACTCAACTGCCGAAGTCCCTTTGCCTCCTCATGCGCCCTCCTACCGCCACTCCATGTCGTACACGACCTGAGGGTGTGCCGCAGCGTACCACACCACAAGGAAAGGGATGTTGTTGCGGACAGTTGGCTGGCAATCAAACATGAGAGCTGTATTCGTTGCATCAGTCGCATTAAGGGGCGAGGAGGGTACTGCGGTGAATTGAGGGTCGCCACGTTGGCAGCTCCACTTGTGTGTGGGGGGGGGGTGTCACACAGGGGCCATCGTCCGCGCGTTGTTATAAAACCTAAAAAAGCGAGGAAGGATTCGGAAGTTTGAGTTCCACAGGCGGTTTATGTCCCCACCACCACCACCCAGCTCAGTCAGTTTAGTTTGCCGATGGTGCATTCCAGAAGCTTTTCGAGACAGACCAGACACCCTCCCTTCCCCTTCCCGGGCCCCTGAATACGGTACAAACCTCCAACCTGGTATGAATTCCAATCCTTCTTCTCGACTGCAGAATGACGCCGACCGCATCGTTTTGGGTCCTGTCGGGCCAGGCATTTGCCCTTCCCGGGGCCAACTTTCGTCGCCATAAATCAGCCTTGTTGCCATTGCCCTTCCTTTCCCCCTCCCTCCCTCCTTCCCTGCCTCTCCCCCTCACCGCTAAATGGTCTGACGGGAAGGCGGGTGATGGGATGAAGGAGCCCAGCTCCCCCTCCGACGGGATGGGCACCGACCGCACCACTCGCAGCGCGGACTCCTCGTACCTGGCCACCCGTCGTATGTGTGTGTGGGGGGGGAGACTGGGGTTGCAGCAGCAGCAACAAGGCGGGTCGAGTGTGGCGACGACAGAGCGACTAGACAAATGCGACGCAACAGCAGGCCAGCAGAACTTCAGCAGCAGCTGCGGCGGCAGCGGCTGCAGGGACATTGCCACGGCGAGGTCCCTACCATGGCGCCTCCAGGCTACACCACCCAAGTACATTAACCTGAGGACCGCTAAAAGCTCGATGTGCTGCATGTTGAAGGGTAACTTTCAGACTCACTGCCCACCCACCCCCCAGACTCACTGCCCAAACAACCCCTCCCCGGGAGCTAGGACCCAGGACCCACCACACGTAGTCCAGAAGGGCCTTATATCCGGACGTGTAGTTGGTGTACGGCGTCGCCAAGTCGTCAGCGCTGCGCAGTACGAACGGCGAGGTGATGTCGATGCCCGTAACGGCGATAGGTGAATGCGGCGCGGCGGCAGCGCTATCGAATGCATGGCCGTCGGCCGCGAACAACGAGCTCAGGGATGCCGATGCCGACGCCGTGTCCACGGCTGTGGTGGGGGACGCAGCATGAGGCACGGCTGAACCATTGCCAGGTACGGCAGCAGGGCTGGCCGGCGTCGCTTGTTCCTCCACCGCTGCAGCAGGTTTGGCAGCTGCTACCGCTGCTGCGGCGGCAGCGATCTGGGCCGTACCCTGGGCCATGGCTTCCGCATCCTCCTCACCCTGCACCACCACCAGCACCACCACCAGCACCAGCACCACCAAGTTGGCGTGCTTTTGAATTACCACGGCAGCCACCCCCCTGAAGGGCCATGGGCCCGTCAGTTCCCCTCCATCCCCCCTGTCCCTCACCAGTTCTGGACCTAAATCTCCTCAGAGGCAGCTGTGCCCCTCCCCGAACATTAAGTGGTGGAAAGGCCCCTGGAGTAGTAGTTGGCATCACACGAAGCTACGCGGCCTGGGGACTGGGGCCCATTCGTTTCCAGCCCCATCTTGCCGTGTGCTCCGCACATCCCCCCTCCTACCCCCCTCCTCACCATGCCCCATTTGAAGGCGGCGCCCTGCACCCAGTCCCAGTAGTCGGCGGGCAGCTTTCCCCGACGTAGCAGCTCGATGACACCTGGACAGAGCAGAGCGCGGGGGAGCTTTTCAGGGCCTCCACACGCTAGGGCTATTCCCTGCTGGTTGCCTCACACCCATAAAAGCCACACGACTGCGCGCTAAAGGGGCCCACCAAGCCCTAAACCAAGGCCACACAGCTCCCTAATGCGTTTGGTCTCCCCCGTCTGCCCTTTCCAGGAACACACATCCCGCCCTCATGCACACGCACATACACAGACACACACAGACACACACCACCTCTGCTTCCTGCATCCCCTCCCTCCCAACCTTCACTTGATTCGTGGTTCGCCTTTCCCTCCCAACCTCCCTCCCTCCTGCATCCCAAGAGCCCGACCACCTCACCCGGGATGCCGTCATTAAGGTCGCTGTTCAAGTCGCCCACGAAGAGTACCGTGGGTCGGCGGGGCCCCAGCGCCCCCGCCAGCTCCGGGTCGGCGGCACATCGCTCCAGAAAGGCCGCCACCTCCTCCAGGATGGCGGCGGTGTGCATGGTGCGGATGTGGGGGGCGTACGGGTGGAAGAACAGATGTGTGTTCACCACACACAGACAGCCACCGCCACCTCCACCACCCGTGGCGCCGTGCCCCTGCCCCTCCAGTGGAGCTAGAAGCGTCGCCTGCGCGATGGTGGTGACCTGTTGAAGCGCCGCCGTGAGCTCCGGGCTGGCGGCCAGCAGCGGCTCGAACTGTGCGTGCAGGGGTGGCAGGGGGCGCGCAAAGGCCTCCCGCAGGCGGATGTCCTTGTGGGCCAGGGCGGTGAAGCGGCACGTGCGCCAGAAGGTGGCGCTGCCCTCCCGCACCCGGCCCTGCTTGTTGGTGTAGTGTCCGGAGTAACCTGCACAGCCGACCGCCACGCAGGGAGGCGACCACCGGGGTGTTGCGGACGGCGGAAAGGCGCACGGAGTGGGCTGGTGTGGTGCTGGGGAGCAGGGGGAGGCGCTGGTTTGAAATGGCGGCCTGGGACTCGGCATGGTCTGGATCTCTTTTGGAGTTAGCTAGAAATGGTGCTTATGTTTTGTAGACGTGGGGAAGCGGGATGAGTTGTTACGACGAAGCACAGATGATAGGTAGGTAGGGGGGATTAGGGGACGTCTGAATTGCCGGTGCTCCTTCCCCACCTCCTCAACAACACCCCGCCTGCTGGGGCTTTATCTCTTTCCCCGAATCAAGAAACCCGGATCCGGATTCAAATCCCGGAACCAGGTATGCGTACGCGGTATGTGCCCTTGTGACCAGCAGTCGTTACTAATCCCCTGCCACCCTAACCCCCGCAGCCCCTGGGACTCTACCTCCCTTTCCCCCCTCCGCCCTTCCGCTCCCCCATCCCCCTGTCCACTCCCCCACCTTGCAGCCCCAGATGCAGCGTGAAGAAGTCCGTGAAGGCCCTCTCGTCCACCTCCTGCAGACAAATCACATCCGCCCGGTACCCCAGCAGCTCGCGGAGCACCAGCGGACGGCGGTAGCCGGGGTCTAGACACCTGGGAGGACGGGACGACGGCGGCGGACGGGGAGGAGGAGGGGGGAGGAGGGGGGAGGAGGGGGGAGGAGGAGGGAGGAGGAGTGCGGCGGACGGGGAGGAGGGGATTTTACAGCACCAGGCGGACTCGGACATGTGACCCAAACCGGGAGGAAAATCGGGGCGCGATAATCAGTATTGGAACACCATATCCAAGAAACTTTTTGCCAGGCTCAGAGCAAGTTGCTCGCACCAGCACCAGCACCACCAGCAGCAGCACCGAGGGAACTCACTCAGGGGGGCAGTAGTTGAAGAGGACGTTCTGCGCGTACGTGGAGCCCGCGTACTGGTCGGCCAGGATATTGTACGACAGGATCCGGAACCCGGGCGGCTGTACGGCAGTGGGCGTGTGAATGCAGCGGATGGTCGCGGAGCAGTTCTGGGATGCATGTTGCACGGGGCCTATGCACCCGGGGGCCAGGGGTGAGCGGCGGCGGGGGGGGAGTAGGTCGGACTGGCGGGGTTGTAGTAAGCGGGTGGGGGGGAGGCCTTAGCAGAGTACTGGAGAACTGATGCAGGTGGGGAAGGGGAGCTTTGGTTTGGTATTGATTGATGGATTGTTACGGAGTGGGGAGGCTTCTGGGTCGATTGCACACATGGCTTGGTGTAACCTGGCTCGACGTACAAATGAGCCGGTAGGAGCCGAGTAGCTGTGCTTGTGAAGTCCAATTTGAAGCCATCGCCCTATCGCCCGATCTAACCCTTGCCACCTCGCAGCGCTATCCTGCTACGCTCCAAATGAATCCCCCTTCTCCTTTCCCCTGCGGTTCGGCAATTATTATTATTATTATTATTATTATTATTATTATTATTATTATTATTATTATATTGTTATTATCATTATTATTATTACGATTTGGGGCTGAGTTTCCAGAGTCACCTTGGGCAGTTGTGCCATGGCATTTTGGTGCTGCAGTTGGTGGTTCGCTTCTTTCTTCTTGCATCATTCCATGATCTTCCCCTTCGGATGACCCCTCTGGCCCCCTGGGCTCCGGGGGGATGTGTGTGTGTGTGTGGTGGTGGGGGAAGACGAACCACGTGTGTGTGTGTGGGGGGGAATGATGATGATGATGATGAGCTGCTGCAACCCACCCGTCACGCAGGAAACCGTCTCCCCCAGCCACAGCTCCATCTCGCTGCTGTCGACCACATCCTCCGCACCGACCACAGCCCCGTCGGAGACCGGGGCAGTAGCCATCTCCAAGTCCGGTCCCCCAGCCATCCCGTCATTGCCATCGCCCGGCTGCCGCTGCTCCTGCTGCTGCTGCTTGTGGTGTTGACACCTCCTCCGGCGGCTACGAAAGGCCGCCGGTGTACACTCCACCCTAAGTACACTGCCCTTATCCGCCGCTGTGGGTGTGTAGTACTGCGTGCTACAGCCCAGGTCAACCCAGCCGTCGCTACTGCCGCCAGGCCGCTGGGCACTCCAGCGCCACTTACAAGCGCTTGCGTCCGAGTACGACAGCTGTAGCACAGCGTGGTAGAATATAATCGAGGTGGGCAGGGCAGGGGAGGCGGTTTGTTGTGCCCTGTGTGCTTTTGCTGGGCGGAGAAAGAGCGAGGGAGGGATGTGCAGGTTTCGATACCGTCGTCGCGCCACCCACCCCCCCATAACCCTCCCGTGCCCCCACCGGTCAGTGGCGCCCAGCTCAGCCTGCTCACGACCCCAACATGCGACCCCCAAGAGGTGGTTGTCGGATATAACCCGAATAATTATAAACCAAGCAGCTGCCAACAGCCCTGCCGGCCCGTCACAGATACATTCCTTTCCGCTACCCGTCCTCCCTTTCCCTCTCTCCTTTCACTCTCACCGATACGGCGGCCGCAGTGGAGTACCCCACCATAGCTACACGGTCGATGGAGAGCTGCACAGGAGGCATACACACAGAAACAGACATACATGCAGGCAGACAGAGCGAGCTGGGTAAAGTGGTTATGCGGATTAAATGCCAATGTCCACACAAGCCAAATTGAGCCGTAAGAAGCTAGCAGGACTTGGGAGGTGCAGGCAGGGGAGCTGTGTACCGGGGCAGGCTCAGCCTTGGTCCGCTAGCCCGCTGCGCAGTAACAGATTAGTAGCGGAGTTACATCGCACCTCTCGGCTTTGATCGCAGCTCTCACACTTCCTTACGCACTTACAGGTGCCCACACGCACCCCCGCACCTTGTCCACTGTGGGCGGGTTTACCTCCACCACGAACCTCTCCCCCGCCACCTCCAGCAATGCAGCCCGCAGCCAGGCCACACCGTTGGGGAGGGTGCGGTCCAGAGGACTGAGCGGCCGGCGGATGTGGGGGAAGCCGGGGGAGGGATTGGGCATGCGTGGGGAGAGGAGAGGAGAGGGGTAGGTAGGGAATAGGGAGAGCAAGGAAGGAGGGCCCTGAGGACACACACCGAAAAGGATAGAATAATAGCGAGGGGGATATCCCACGGAAATGCTCCCGCGTGTATAGGCACTCGAAATGTCATCGGCTTTCCGAGCGGCCCAACTGCGCTGCTACACCATCTCCATGGTTGTAATTGTGGTGGTTGTGATGATGGAGCCATCGAGATCTCCCCTGGGGATGAATCAGCTGGGAGACGTCAATACACACACACACGACAGTGTCCCCAGCCCCACACCAGCAACCCCCCCGCCCACCGTGTCCCCTCCGGATCCTCGTACAGCACCGCCCCCACTCCGGGGGCGCCCTCGTCCAGGGAGGTGTCAGCGGAGGGGCCCGGGGGCTTCTTGCGCTTCTCCTTCTCTGCAGGGGAGGGAGGGAGCGGAAGGGGGGAGCGGGCGGAGGTGAAGGGGTGTCCTGGCGGGCTGCCCTGTACCGTTTCCACCCTCACTGGCCGGCTCTCCCCGCGGAGCCCCAACCCCCCCACTGCTCCTCCGCCCTGTGAGGCCAACCGCCAGGCACCTAAGCCTAAAGACCACCCGTCACCCGGGGCCCCCCCCAGGGCCTGAGCGGCTCTTACTGGATGGCTTGGCCGTGAGGTTCTTAGCGAGGCGGGTCAGGGCCTTATCCAGGGGCTCGTCGGTGGGCCTGAGTGGTGCGATGGGTTGGGTTGCGAGGCGGGGATGGTGTGGGGCGGGGCGGGATGGTCACAGACCGCGTGTGTATTGTGTGTTTGGATGATCTGAGCAGTGTGTGCGTAATGTGTGTGTGTGAGTGTGTCGGGGGGGGTGTTGGAGCTGAGGAGAGGACTGTGACTACCCTGCCGGGTGGGAGCTGCACGACGCGATTTGCTCCGTGTGCGTCCGCTGCGATCGCAATTACGTAGTACCTCGGGGCATGCTTAGAGCGCGCGTGTGTGCGTGTGTGCGTGTGTCACACCTTAGTTGTCACTAGGTTTGCCATAGTTACTCTCCGAAGGTGTAACGGGCTCGCACCTCATACGAGCCCTGAGGGGGACCAAGGGCCAGTCTTGGGCGTCTGTGTATGTATGTATGTATGTATGTGTGTTTGGGCGCATGGGTGCGTCTATGCCGTACGTGCATGCGCTTGATGCCACAGAGGCTGGCGGAGCCCCGGGCGTGACGCGGAGAGGGGGACCCCTCCACTGCGCTGCCGCAAGGAAGCCGGTTTGATTCCGCCGGCTCTGTTCCCCCCTCATCCGCCTAAGCGTTCTTCCCATGCACCAGAATGCGTCCCAGCGCGTGCGGCAGCACTTGCCATTGGGATGACGGCGACAGAGGGTTTTTGCACCACTTCAGATTTCCCCCCTCCTCCTCGCCAATCTGCTCTGTGTGTCCTTCTCTCCTTCTCCCTACCCAGCGCCAGCAAAAAATGTCCCACCTCCCTCCTGCTCCCCTCATGACGCTCTAGGGGGGGAATGTCCACTAGGGGGTTTCGGGGGTTCCTTCGCGTGTACGGCCACGAAAAAGATCTCCCCCTCCCTACACACGCTACAAATCCGAACGGCCGCAAAGTGTCCAGCTCGCCCGTTTCCCTTGCCTGTTCAGGTTACATGTCTTAGGTCCGATGCTGACCGTCACCACCAGCGTATCCCCCCCCGGGGGTGCCCGGACGAAGGCCTGGTCCGGGGTTTCGGAGTGGGTCGGGTAGGTGGGAATTGTATGATGGAAGAGGCGAAGGGCCAGCTGCTGACGTGGGTGGTTGGGCGGGTGGGTGTGAAGGTGGAAGTGTTTACACGTGCCCAGGGTGCAAGGCGGAATGTGTTGATGTGAGTCAGCGCCGTACGCAGGGGTACGAGTGACCCAGATCAGACTTGCAAAGGGAGTATGTGTGTTGGCTTTGGGTTGGGAGTTGGATTAGCTGGACCGGCATACGCAAGTTTGTTGTGGAATTGGCACGAACAAGCCGACGAAGTGAGTTAGGGTGAGGTACAGGACTAGGAGGCGCACCTATACCTATGCTGTGGAGTGATGCTGTTGCTACTGTTGTTGTCTGAGCTGTGGTTTCTCCGTGTCGTACCTTGGGTAGCGCGACAACAGCCTCGCTAGCAGACTCCATTGCTGCTTCTGCCGGGGGTGCGTCGACTTGCGCAAGTATAGCACTATTCTTGCCTTTCAGCCGAGCACCGCTGCTGCTACCTCGAGAGCTACTGGTGCTGCCAGGGCCTCCGATGCGGCCGGGACTGCAGCTGCTTATGCTCAAGCTGATACGTACGCCTTTAACACTACAAGCGTGGATATTCCTTGAAATGGCACTATGGGACCGCACGGAAGCTCTGTACGGCGCAGCGGGCCCTCGGCTGCGACCTGTCGCCGCTTCCGCTCCGGAACCCACGGCTGCTGATGTAACACGCGGCGGGATCCTGCTGACTCGTAGCGCTACTGCTGTTAGGCGATGTAACGGCTGATGAAATGCGTGGAAGTGGAAAATAGCGTGCATACAGAATGGCCGGTTCACCCTCACTCGGGTGTCCACGAATAATAGACAGCGTTAATGATATACGCTGATAAATTACATAAATATAAGGGTTAGACAGATGAATTTGAGAACGTCGGATAAGTATGAGCCCTGCACTCAAATCCTGATATGTGACGGCTTAGCAAGGGCGATCTGGGGTCGCATACATCAAAATCATACGCGCATAATGGAAGACCAACCGATATGCAGAATGACTAAGTGGTTTACGCTACTTTTTTACCTGTCATCTAGCGTACGGCGAGGTACGACCTGCTTAATGGTGACGGCCCCAAATACGCGGGGCAGGTTAATGTGCTCCTTACACCCGCGCTGAAGTGGTCAGCTATTTATAATAGCTAATTTTGTTATTAATTCCTACCTTCCAAAACATCTTTGCCGATAGCGCGGCCTTTTGTCAATCACGCGCGATGGTGACCGTGCCCGCAGTTGTGACCAAGACCGTTGATCGGCTGACGGCCGAATTTGACAAGCTCAGCACTACCCAAAAGTATGCAGTAGGTGTTGCAGGAGGCGTGGCATCGCTGTACCTGGTTGGGTCTCTGCTCTACAAGGGCAACGACAAGTCAAAGCCATCAACGTTTGAGCTGACCGGTGGCTCTATTGAGGCATCAAAGGTCAAGGAGGAGTTCGATGCGTACGCGGATAGTTATGGGAAGAACGCCGGCGAAGGCATTGTTGATCGTTCGAAAACCGTTCACCTGGTCGACATCTTTTACAGCCTGGTCACCGACATCTATGAGTGGGGCTGGGGTCAGTCATTCCACTTTTCCCCCAAGCTGCCGAATAAGGACTTGCGCGCTTCGGAGGCCGCGCATGAGGCGCGCATCGCCGCGCTCCTCCGTCTCAAGCCGGGCATGAAGGCCTTAGACTGCGGCTGTGGCGTTGGCGGTCCCATGCGCACTGTGGCCTCTGTCAGCGGTGCGCACGTGACCGGCATCACCATTAACCAATACCAGGTTGACCGCGCCAAGCACCACAACGCGAAGGTGCGCCGCGGGCACAGAAAATGTAACGCCAACATAAGGCGCCGCCATCTCATCGATGTCCACCATTTCCAAGCCACTGAGCCCTGCAAATTTTCATTGTTCCTTTACAGCAAGGAGTTGCGCCGCTGACCAATGTCGTCCGAGGCGACTTCCTCAACATGCCGTTTAAGGATTGTACTTTCGACGGCGCCTACGCCATCGAGGCCACCTGCCACGCTCCTAAGGTATCGAACGCATTCTTATAGCATACCACGCAAGATTACCTGTGTCCGCGTTCTCGATTTAAGCGCCTCTAGTTTTTGTTATTTACCCGTTAACCTCTTATCAAACCTTTCAGCTCGCAAAATACCTTGCCGTTATTTGTTGTTTCTCATATTCATTTTCTCTCGCGCAACAAATTTGCAGCTGGAGGGTGTTTACGGCGAGATTTTCCGAGTCCTGAAGCCAGGTTGCTACTTTGTGTCGTACGAGTGGGTATCGACGCATAAGTACGACCCCAAGAACCCCGAGCACGTGCGCATCATTGACGAGATCAACTTCGGCAATGGTCTGCCGGTGAGTCACGCGGTGCCGCGGGCACCCGGATGCATCACGTCCGTCTAAGCATAAGCAGTGCTAATCTGGGCATACGGAGCTAACTTGACAGCATCTACAACTCGCGCAATCTCTCAGCTCGTCTTAAGGTCACTACTGCTTGCACGAGGTGATAGGTGCTTATGGATAACGACAAGGAAAAGAGCCATCAGCATTTTTTACGTTGCGTCCTACACTCCTGCTGACCTCCGTGTTTTCTATATCCACTGCGCCCGCCCAATCGGCTTTCCTTGTACAGGAAATGCGCACTTGGAAGGAGGCAGAGGACGCGGGCAAGAACGTCGGATTCGAGCTGGTGATGTCTCTGGACCTGGCTACCGCGTCAATCGTGTCGGGACCATGGTGCGTTATAGATTGGGCTGGGCCAGCTTTTCTTAACTGGCTGGTCGGAAATGGCTGCGGGTTAGTGGGCTTCCGGGATGCCGGACGGTTTTCCACCGTGCTGTTTCGTTTCCTTGTTCCTGCTTTTTTGCTGTCCTGCTTTTCCGTTACTGTGGTACATGACGTCCACCGCGTCCACCGTACACCGCCGGGGTTCCCTTGCCGGCCCCGGCCCCGGTCGGTTGGTCCGTAGGGAGGACGGGAGCTCCCCGGGCGGAGCTCACCGTGGCAAAAGCACTGCCTGGTGCGCGGGAAGCGGCAGAGCGCTCCCCGTGGCGGGTGGCTGGGAGGGCCCTGGCCCCTGTTATGGGCTGGGCTATGTTTGAATGGGGCCTGGGTGTCGAGGTGTCGTTGCTTTATTATGCACTGAGGAGTATGCTCGGCGGCTATGACCCTTCCTTAAGTCAACAGCGGATTGAGTTATGCTACCCTTGACGGGCTGCTGCCTCGTTGCATGCCTTGTGTGCTCGTACAGGTACGAGCGCTTGCGCATGGGCAAGTACACTCACGCGATCAACCACGCGCTGGTCACCGCTGTCGACGCTGTTGGCATGGCCCCTAAGGTAAGTGCTGCATAAGCGGATGTTTATGGTCCATGTGGTTGAGGTGGTGCTTGTTTCCGAGTGCCCTTTTTCGTTCCAAATCAATTGTATGTGTCCGGCGGGTGCTAGCTCTTTCCTTTTGTGTGCAGGTATGCTGGACGGTCTCCATGATGTAGTCTTACTGGATCCCTGCATGTGGTTGCAGACTTGTTTTTTTTACCTAAATGTTTTCCTCTCACCTCCAGGGCCTCAAGGAGGTGCACCACATGCTGGTCGAGGTGGCGAAGAGCCTCATCAAGGGCGGCGAGACCGGCGTCTTCACGCCCATGCACCTGCTGCTGTTCCAGAAGCCGGAGGCCACTGCATCTGCCTAGGTGCAGTCGACCGCTGGTCGTAGTCGAGAGGTCGGGAACGGATAGGACAACCTAAGCTGCTGTCCAGCGCTGCTCTCACGATCGACTGCATGGAGGTTTGAAACTAGGAACACAGCCATAGGTGGAATGGTAACAACGGAATGCGAGATAGGGGTATGAGAGAGGAGCGAGGGGTGAATAAGTAACGAGGCAAGAGAAGTGGAGGTACTGCACCCTAGTGTAAAAAACGTGCTACAGTCGGTTGGCGTGGAGGCAGCAAATTCGCATCTCTGGCGAAAAGAATGAAGTGGGGCCCGGTATTTTCCCACAGCTGAAGGCGTGTTACTTTGGAGGACTGGCTGTGAGATGAGAGCTGAGGTAACAGCTATGCTTTTTGCTGCTGTTCAGGTGCTGTGGAGTGAAATTGGCTAGTTCTTATCTAACCTAGTCTAAAGGGGTGTTGGTTGGGTGTGAAGTTGTAACTCGGGCGGCGTGTGGTGTTAAGAGGCGTTGATAAATTTTCACAAAGTGATGCTGTTGCTGTTCAATCTTTTCTGGGAGTTGGTTCCTGCATCTTGATATGAATTCGGTATGTTGTTGGATGGCCGGTACGGGTTCACGCTGCACGTTCGTTTGCCCGGCCTAACCAGGGCCACTGGGCGGTCGTCACAGCGTGTGGCTTAGTAGCGGCGCGATTTTGACTTCCCTGACAGTTTTGGTGACGACAAGAGTTCACTTGCGACTTTTGTCGTTTACTCCGTGTAGCGTGAGAGACGCTGCGACATAACGACTGCAAGTTTGGCATGGTTCCGAGTCGATATTCTTAGCCCTCCGCCTGCTCGTGCTGCGTGCGTTTGTTGTACTCACTACTTGCAGCTGCTATTTTTCTCCAGCTGACGTAGGATTTACGGTCGCTATGCTAGCTAGATGGCTTTTGCGGTGTGAATCTCATTCTGCCCGGAGTTTTGACGAATGCGCGGACGCCCAACTAGAGCTATTGGCAGTCCTGAATGGAGTCTCGTGTGCATAAGCGCACCGCGAATGCCGCGGGAAGAAGCATCATATGCAGTTATGAGGTGAGAGGATGAGAGCGCGGAAAGGGTTGACGTTGTGCCCCAGGCCACTTGTGTCCGCTGCAGTGACTGATCGCCGTTTGCTGTGCGGAATCGTCTGCAGAAAGAGGGGCGCTGTGGATGGTGACCAGAACATGTAATGGTTGATTCAGGACAAGTCTTGTGGCCATGTGTCGTTGGCTACGGTATGGATCTGGCCATCGCAACTGTTTCAGGCAAAATTTGATCAAAATGTACGTCCAAGCTGGAGGAGGTGGGCTGGGGAGCGTACAAGGCGTGAAGGGCCCTGGGCGGGGGCGGGGCGAGGGTGAATTGTAGTACGAAGTATATAGTGCAGATCAGCTGTACATGATCTTGCAGTGTCAATATTGTTCACTGCTGCTGCTGCTGCGGGCGGGGGGCGTTTAAGGGGGTAAGAGGGGAGTCAAGGCGGGTGAAGGGACTTGGAGCGGGGTACCGGAGGCACGAAACTGTGGATGTTGGGTTTTTCCCCCCTCTTCCCCCCCCCCCGGGAGGAAGACATCCCAGGGTCGCCGAGACATGGGAGTGGTCTTGTTAAGGTCGTTGTGACGGTTAACCGGTACGGGACATTTGCGGTTGTGGCAGTTGGTGCGGATCACGGACTACTGGGCGAGTCTCAACTAATGTTACAAGTGTGAAACGAACTGTTCGCGATCCTTGCACCTGTCCACTCGCGGGACTCTTTCCAAACGGCATCCAACCAAACACGCCAGGTGCACGCAAAGGCCTAGTCGCCTACACCTCTAACTCCGCAAGGGGCCAACATGACAGGTCACTCAAATTCAGCTCCTCTGCTTTCCTCCTATCGGCGGACAGGGCGCCGGCTCATTAAGTTTCAATACATATGGAAACCTGCATGGGTACTCCTGAACAATACGTGAGCACCTATCCTCCTTTTCCTTGAATTCCGCCACAAGCACCAACAGCAGCAACAACAAAACAATGGTACACGTTCGCTGGCACAGCGTGCCCGGCAAAACGCCTAGTATGGTAACACGCGGCGCTGTCGCCATTTCGTCCTCGGCAAAGGGACAGCGCACCTAATACCTGCACCACTAGCACTTTTTGGGTGCCCGTAAGGACTTGAGAAGGCCTGTGGAGGATTCCCCGCTCACCGCCGCACGCGCGCTCAAGCGTACATTCATCTTACATTTGAGGTCGTACTGCTCGTAGCACAACGGGCTGGCCACCGTACTCGTGGCCAATCGCTGCTGCTTCAAGACTTGAACCGTACCGGCCATCGCCGCCACTTTGGCCTGGTCCCGCTGTTGGTTGTGACGGGGTTGAAAGGCGCGTGGACAGGGAAGAAAGGGGGCCGCGGTGGCAGGGTTAGGAAACGAAACAGCATTCCGCTGACTTGGTAGTGTGTTATGTGATCCAAAGCCCTTATAGCTCTGTTGGATTACGCCACACACTAGCGCTAAGGACTTCCGAACACCAACAGATAAGGCAACCACAAGCGGCGCGCTCGCATTAAAAATTGCCGGAGCCTACAACACAACAACTTGCATGCAAACAGCGCCAGGCTTACCATGGCACGTGGTACGATGGTTGCCTTCGCCAGCTGAGTTTGCTCCACAAGCGCTGAGAGCTGCGGTACCTGGAGCGGCGATGCCTGCAGCCGCCCTACCTGCGCATCAAGCACCTGGTGTGCCGGACCCACATCGCCACCCTCGGCCTCCACCGCCGCACGCTGTGCCGCCTCAATCGCATCCAGCGTCTCGAAGCGAGCAGCCGTTACGAACACCAGCTCCGCCGGCAGCTGTCCCGCGGGTCGCTGCTCCGCGGTACGGTGCACACGCAGCGTTGCCGAGCGCTCGACGCGGCGGCCGGTGGCGACGTCGGTGTACTGCAAATCCACCACCACCAACTCCAATTCCGATCGCTCTACCGAGGGCTGTCCCTGCTGCTGGCCTTGCGGTTCCGGAGCGCTCGCCGCCACCGGGCCGATGTTGAGCACCAGGAGGCACTCGCGGGTTTCCTCGGCGAACATATCGTTAAAGATGGCGCCGGTGGGAACTGCCGCGTCAGAGCCATCAGCACCCGCGCCCGCACCGCCGCTGCGGCCAGGGAGCCGGTTGCGACTGCGCAGCCAGTTTGTGCTCGTGGTGCTGGTGATCGTCGCAGCTGAGGTGGTGGCTGAGGCGGCTCCCAGGACTCTGCCGCCCGAGCGGAAGGCCGCCAGGGTGGCTCCGGACCGGGGCCGCACCTCCACGCGGACGTCTTTGGCTACCACCGCCAACAAGCCGCCCAGGGCTGCACGGCCGTGGATAAGGAGGGCGGGTGAGAGGAGATCAGGCACGTCTAGGGAGAAATGCATCGATTATCACGTTTCCAAAGGTTCAGGTGGTGGTGCTGGGAGTCCAAGGTATTTATTTCCAAGTGAGTGACGAGCCAATGAAGACCCAGAACAGGAAGTGGGCATGCCCACCCAAGTGCGGGGTGCTGGGTAACCATGACTGCCCTCCCGACCACACACCCTGGCAACGGTAACAACAACGGTAACAACAACGGTAACGACAACCATCTCACCGTCTCCGAAACCGCAAGCGATGTCCTCCTCACAGCTGATGTAATAGTACACGCCGCTCTGCGCCTCCGCTACCTGCTGCAGCAGCTCTACGCTGTGACCGTTGCCAAAGCCAAACGTGTGTACCGTCACGTGTTGTCCCGAGGGGGCTTGCGCCGCCTGAAGACCCTCGATAATGCTGGCAGGGTTAGAGGGTCCTGCAGGTGGGTTTCGGAGCGCGGAAAGAAGAGGTTGTCCATGGCTCTGTGGTCGATGGCAAGGAGGCTACGGGTCGAGGAGGGCATAGGGTACTGTGCCACTCACGATCATGATCACGAGGTTGGGTCCTACTTCTCTTGTCTCTTGTCTTGTTTTCGTTCCTGCCTGTCCCCTCCCCCGGTGCTCAGCTCATATCGTACGGGCGAACGCTACAACAGCGCAACTCACCGTCCGTTGCTTGACCGTCGGTGAACAGGAAGCAGCTGTGCACCAGGCTCAAGGACGAAGGCGACGATGAATCCGACGCGCCGCCGCTGGCCCCGTTGCCGCCGCCCAGATCCCTTTCCGCCGCCATCTGTTGCCGTAAACCCGCCACCAGTCCGTCGTACAACGCCGTACTGCCGCCGGCAACCAATTCCTCCACAACAGCGTGCGCCAGCGTGCGGGACGCGGGGGTCATCCTCAGCAGGGGCAGATCCTCTCTGACGTCGTGCGCGTAGCTGATAAGGCCCAAGAAGTCGTCCGACGTGAGCTGGTCGATGAGGAAGTGGCAGGTCTCCCGAACTAGGCGTATGGGGCCGCCGCTCATGCTGCCGGAGCGGTCCAGTACGCAGGTGAGGGCCACGCGGGCTCGCTCGGGCACATCGGCGATCGCCTGAGGACGGCAAGGCCAGTGGCAAGGGCAAGGGGAGGATGAAGAAAAGACAGTAGTGTAAGCCTGTACGGTAAAGCGGCCTGCGACAACAGGAACACCAGGGGTCTTGCCATCCACAGGGAAGCTGGGAGCTACTCGTCGACAAATGGGAGGGAGCTATTCGTTCTGCGGCGTCGTTGGCATGAACCCGTGGATGGGTACTAGTACAGCAGCTAGTTAGGTGGATGAAGCATGGCGATAAGGTGGCTGGCAGGGACATGGCGATCGGACAATGGCGCAGGCGGCCGAGATACACGAATGCCACCACAGGGTAGGGGTCACTGCTGCCGTACTGTGGCGCTGCTGTTGACACCTGCTCGCTTCGATTCCAGTACTGCAATTGAGGGCCCTCGAGGGGCCCCATGTCCTGATGCATCGCACCGTCATATCGCTCCGAAACCGGTTTCGGCGGACTGCCTCAATTCTCAGACCACAGGCAGACAACGGAACCCAAATCCCAATCACCCGCACCGTACCTTTATGCTGACCACCGCCCGCACGGCCTCCGCCTCCAATCCGTACTGATCGTACTCGGGTACGACAGATATGCTAAGCACATCGACCTCCTCAGCCGCAGTCGCCGCCCCGACAGCGGCAGGTGCAGCGCCAGGTGCAGCGCCAGGTGCAGCGGCAGGTGCAGCGCCAGGTGCAGCGCCAGGGGTGAGCCCACTGTCTACATCTTTTGGCTGCGGACTCTCCAAGGCGGTCTGTGGGACCTTGGATTCGGCGCTGCCGTTCCCTTCAACCCCATTGCTCTCCCGTCCCACTGCACTTGCGGGCGCGGCGCGCACAGCCTTCTCTAATGCTTGCAGCTTGGACTGTAGCTCGGATGGCGAGGGAATGTTGGAGACTGGGGAGGTGGAAGCCGAGGAGTCGGCTCCGGTGTCTGATGCGGCAGCGGCAGCGGCAGCGGCAGCGGCAGGCTGAAACAGGGCCGCGAGCTCCGGGAGGTTGGCGGCGGCGTCAAGAAGCTCGTGGCGCCGAGGCACCGGCAGCAGCCCCGCCTGCAGGTGGCATGTGAGGGGTTCGATGGAGGCGATGATGTGGAGGTGATGGGCAGCCGTGGTGGGAGCGGGACGGGAGCTCTCTTCTACTGTCCGTATGGAGCCGCGGACCGTCTGCATCATCGCAATTCGTGAACATCTACCCGGAACAAGAAGGTTCTTCCCCTCCACTCTTTGCCTGTGGACTCTCTGGGAGCTTCTGGTGATCGAACTACATGATAGACTGATTGACACGGCAACCATCCCCTTACCTGTGCAAGGAGTGCGCGGGTGGCACGGATCCGGTTCATCTCAGTGGGCTCTCCTTCCTGAAGCAGGGCCTGCACTTGACGCATGGAGGCGCGGGCGGGCGGAGGGGTGACGGGCCGCGGCTGCTGAAAGGCCCCCGGGGATGGCGGAGGTTTGGGAACAGCTCCATCAGGCGTCAAGCTCGTGTTGGACGATCTGGATCCGATCCGAAAAAGCGACAGAATCGCCTTCATAGCTAAGAACTCTGGAAGGTTGATTCGCTCGAGGTCCTGGAAGTCTAGGACGAGATGGGTGGCGATGAAATGAGGCGGGACTCGTAGCCTTGGTGAGATAGGTGACAAGCTCCCTGTAGGGCGTTACCAACGAGGTAGTCGATACGAATACCGGGACGTGGATGAGTTGCCAGTACAGGCACAGCCGTGTGCACGTGGGTTGCGGTGCGGCAGTTAATAGCTCAAGTCGGAAAATCGATAGAATTCCGTAATTAATTGCAAGCTGTAATTGCGTTTGCGCGGTCGCTTATGCAGCGGCGCTTGAGCCATCACGCTAATTGCACCTGCCCGATGCTAAGCCTCCGTAGATGGGCTAATTGGTGCACACACATTGTTACCGGAGTATCAATTTTGCATTGCAACCAGCAACCAGCAATCCGACAAGCACTGAGCAATCTGGCTCTTGTGGAGACTCTAGGTAAGGAGCTGGAAGCTGCAAGCATACCTCGGCAAGCTCGATAACTCCCGACGGTTGACCAAGGGTTGAGCTGAGCAATTAAAGCTTATCTGAGGGGAAGATTGGTACCGGATTGTGGTATGGGCCGCGGGAGTGCCGAAAGCTGCGAAGTTGCAGTGTGCGAACAAAAAGCCTGGCTCACCCGGTATAGCACCCTTGGTCCTAACCTCTATCTCTCTATTATTAAAAATTATTAAATTGGTTGTATTGTGTATTGTCGAAGTGGATTACACTTATTGAGCTCTCACGATTCACCTGCTAGACACACAACTTTTGATAATGTAAAATGACGTCGCAGCATGTAGGCAGGATTTTAATACCTGATGTAGAAGGTGCAGCTTCTCTTAGATACCTTCCAACGAACCCAGTTTCTTCCGGAGTTGGTTGGGCCTGACCGTTATGAGACGCAATGCGACGGAAACGTTAATCGGTAACTCAATGTGTCCGGCTTGGCGACTTTGCAAGGCTCTTGGATCGTGGATTTCTTGGGCCGTGGAGCACTGGAGCTTGCGACACAAATTCGTTTAAAACGTAACAAGGCAGAGAATTTGTCACTGAACAGATCATTCCCTTATCTTTGATGGCACAAATCTGAGCATCAAGCCTGCCCCGCCCCGCCCGAGATGCAACGAGCGCGTTTAGAGGTCATAGCCCGACCCCGACTGCCGACTCTTTGCGATTTCACTAGGCTGGAACCGTCCCTCTCCGCATAAGTACGAAAGCGGACACTATAAATACAAGTTTTGACGATTGTACTGTCCAGGCTGAAACGAAATCACGGTAGTTCGGCGTCCCCAAGTATTGCTCGCGGGCCTCCGCCTATATGGTTATTTTGAGATAATGGGATCATGGCTGCACGAAATGGAATCACCGCCCTTTGGATCTGCATTCTTAGACTGCCCAATTGGCTCAAAACCATCTGGTCCCACGACAATAAATCAGGCCAGCATGGAGGTCGAATGCATGCAGGTTCGTAAACATTTAGTTGTTCAACTAAGTGTGCAATCCGCCAAGGCCGTTCGGCACGCGATTCGGGACTTGCGCCCAGGCGCGATGCTAGTCGAGATGTGGCAGAGTATTTTCCTATATAAATTTATTTTTTGTTCCACGATTATTTGATTTGCATATGAGGCCTTTCAGAGCCCTTGGCGCCATAAGAGCGACGTGGCTCAGGTTTTCCTGGGGTAAGCGGCATCTACTCCCCGGTTTGGACCTGGCCAAGGCCCATGGTGGGCGTTGCTTGCTGCGTTAGCAAAGTGGGAAGCCCCAATGCTCCGGGTCATTGGAGTTGCCATACCCCTCGGGCGTTCGAAGGTACGCCGCCTGTCGTGATTGGGTTCCCTCTTCGTTGTCAAAAAGATAGCATCGACTAGCTGCAGGTCAGCGTGACCCCCTTGGCTGTGACTCGCCGGTCTGGGACGGTCAGTCAAACGCGGCACTACCCGACGTGGACTTGGTTCACCGGCACCATAAGGGGGATCTTGCTTATCGTTGCTAGTAGCGCCGGCATTTGGCAGGCAGGGCTTGGGCCGTTGGAGGTGTCGCCTGCTGGCCAGCCGCTTTCTGCTGCGCGTGCTGGAGATGCGGGCGCGGCCTGATGGGCCACATCCCACGTTCCCGTCCCACATCCTGCGTGCATTCTGCCGTGCACGCTCCGGCCGTTCTAGACCCCTGCTCCACAGCCATCCCACTAGAATGGCCGCAAAGGCGAGATGGGTGGGGGTAACTTTGCCTAGGACGTGACAGTCGCGCCCTCCACTGCGATGTTGTGTAACCCCCTAAGGTCTGCCAGACCACCAGAGCAGGTCCTCCCGGGTAAACGCCTCGGAGCACCGCCAGTCCGCGAGTGTGGCCTGATTGCCCGCTATCATTCATAGCAGCAAGCGCCTGCGTACTGAAATGGTCCATTGGTCCATGATCCTCAACCACCCATCACTCAAACCCATGAGGCGCATCGACGGCACCGAGTAATCTCCCCCCCTTCCACACACGCACACACACGCACACACACACACGACCCAAATCGCGTTTGTCCTCCGCTCATCCCCTCCACTCGACTCGCAAGACGTTGGGACACATGTCCCGCACAAGGACCCTTACAAGCCTATGATGCCGTCGCAGGTCGGCAGCGGTGCAGCCCACCAAGAGCTGCTTGGTATCCCTCATCAACCCTCCTCGTCCTCTCCCTTCCCCCCGCCGGCTCCACGTGTCACCCTTGCGCTCATTCCTCACACCCTCCTCTTCAACTCTTCAACTACGTCCGCTTCACGCCAGGAGCGCCTTGACTCCCGCCTCCGGGTCCCCTTGCTTCACAATGGACTCGCCCACCAAAATGGCACCACAGCCAGCCTGCACTCCAGCGGGGAGGGGAGCGGAAGGGGCGGGGTTTTGAAAAGGGAGAACCGGAGGGTCAGGAAAAGGAGCTAAGTAAGGGTTGAGGCAGGGGACGAGGCATGCAAGAGTTGAGGCCACGGCAAACGGAAAGCCGAGTTACATAAAGGACAAATCTGATCGTGGGTCACAAATCCCATGTCTTAGTCCGCACCCCGGCGTTAAGTCCCAAGCATGCGCGGTGGCAAACCTGTGTCCCTCCGGGCGCCGGGCCCGGGTACGTGTAAGGACTCACATTAGCGGCACCACCAGCAGCAGCACCACCACCACCAGCCGAGAGAGCGTTCCCATCGTTAGCCCTGCTCAGCCTTTCCCCCCCTAGGGAAACCTGGACACACTCAGCCAGCTCCGACATTTTGAAACCCAACAAACCCAACAAGAAAGGTGCCCATGCTTCCACGCACGGCCCTAAGCTCGATAATGCACGGCCCCCCCACGGCCTCCTCGCAGCAGAGGCCCGCGGCCAACAGCCGTGCCCACCTGTTTTACGAAGGCCACATCCTCCGGGGTGAAGATGCCGCTCTCCCCAACCATGACGATACCCCGATCCTTTACCTGCAGCAACAGGGGGGAGGAGGGTGGGTCGGGGGATGGGGGGAATGGAAGGCCAGGGGTACGGAACACACACTGCAGACTGGAGCGCGACTTCAAAACGCGGGGATCCGGCATGGGCGGTCGGGGGGTTATTGCTGTAGCTGTCAACCAGGAGGTTGACAGAGCCCTGAGGCGCAGTGCCAAACGGAGCTGGGCGCACAGAAGGAGGCGGGTAGAGGCTTATGAGTTGTACGCATTCGTGTGTATTTACACGGACAGACAGACAGACAGACAGACAGACAGACGTCGTATCCCAGACTGCCGTTTACCGGTAGCATGCTGCAGGGCACGTGCCATGTGCTCGTGCTCATACCCACCTAGAGCTGAACCACCAACGCCATCATTACCGCGCCAGAGGGGAGCGAAACCTTCAGCCCTGTGCTGCTCTCTTCGGCCCCCTTCTTGAGTCTTAGGGAGTCTCTAGGGGCTGCACGCCCCCATGGCACCCAGGACACACCGTCCCACGTCCCGGCTCCCCGTCCCGGCTCGTCCCCGTCTCAGCCGTCCGCGTCTGCAGCTCCAAGGTTCTCTGTCACCCCCCACCCCCCACCCCACACACACCGCGCTCCCCATCCCTCCGTTCCCCCAAGGGAAAACCTGTCACACACCCTCTGGCTTCCTCACCTGCTGCCCCCACTCGCTGTCCATGATCCGTTTGGTGGTGTTCAGATCCACCTGACAGACAGACAGACAGACACACCCGAAGAACACAGCCACAACCGCAGGCGCATTTCAACAGTGCGAGGGTGAGGGTGAGGGGAAAACACACGACAATATGGCACATGAAACAGGTGTCAACTATCCAGCTGGTTTCTGGCTCCTGGCCACGTCCATTCACAACCCAAAGAAGTGGCGCTAATTGCGGACGACGTACTGAGTTTTCCCGTACTGCTTACGGATTCCCGCCACAGACCAACAGGTCGCCATCCCAGCGCCCTAGGATTGCGCGGAAACATGCAAGGTATTGTGACATGATACGGTACGGCACACGGTACGGCACTGCACCGTACCTTGAACGTGCCAAGGTCCCTATTGTTAATGCCCAGCAGGTGGTTCTCGACTCCGGGTAGCTGCAGTACGCGGGCCAGCTCGCCCTCGGTGTGAACCTGGGGCCGTGTGTAGCGTGTACACACACACATAGGCGGAGCGGGTGGGGCGGAATCATATGCAAGAAAACCAAACGAGGGTGGGGTCGGGGATTTGGCGTGCCGCACTACAAACAAGATGAGCACAACATGGGCCAACTATGGATGCTAAGATACTCCCCCACCCCACCCCACACCCCATCCAACAAACGGCCACATGCCGATGCGGTCACAAACAGAGCGGACAGAGTTCAAGGTGGCAAGGGTCCGGGGCCCCTTTGGGGGGGACCGCGGAACGGACCGACTGGGAGCCGTAACGTGGTTCAACACAGACACTGAGATTGCTTTAGCATGCAACTAGCAAGGCCATTGCCTAATTAGTCCCCGCCCCGCCCCGGCGCCAGAGGGGCGTGTCTACCAGGGCGGCCCCTTCCGGCGCCCTGTCCGCAACGCCCGCACGCAGTACAGCCTGGGAGGGGTATCCCCGTCCTCCTGCGCGGGCCTGGGCCCGAGCGGCTTCCCTTGCCTTCCTTTTCCCCCCCTACACCCCCACTCCAGGTTCCCTCCCCACCCCCCACCTCTATGAGACAGGTCATCCCCAGGTTGCTCGCGGCCTTCATGAAATAGGCCAGGTCCGCGTTGGGAAGCACCGCAGCGATCAACAGAATGGCGTCCGCGCCGCTGCGGGTGTAGGGTGCGGGTGTAGGGTGCGGGTGTAGGGGCCGGGATGCGGGGAAGGATGCGGGTCCCTTGCGGAGGGGTGGCAGCTGCCGGTGGTAGGGGGTAGGGGTGTGTCCAGCTCAACGCTGCATGTAGCACAAAGCCTGTGTGGCGGATATGGTGGCCCCTGGCCATGTGACTCCAGGCCACAGAACCTTGTCCCCGCGACATATCGGATTTAAGCCCTCAGACCCTAGTCCGACAGCTGCTGAGCTGTGGTCGCCTGAGGGGAGGAGGCAGATGGACCCCCTCGGTGGCCAGTACCCGCCGTGAGGCTGAGGGACATGCGCTGCTGACACGGCACTCTACGACACGTCATGACGCGTCCTCAGCACGTCCTAACCCTCTACCCCTCCTCAATCATGCAATCCCGCAACAGCCCGCTGTCACACGCTGCCCTGGCGCCGGCGCTACCCTTGACACCCGTCACCCTACCCCTCGACGCCACCCACCATCGCCCTGGCGCTTCGCTCCGCACCTACCTAGCCCGGGCCTTATACACCTGGTACGCCTCCACAATGAACTCCTTGCACAGCAGGGGGCACTGAACACCCGCAGCACGAATGCGGGTCAGGTTCTGGAAGGAGCCCTGGAGCGGGAGAAGGGGGGAAAGAGTAAACACAGAGGAGTAATGGGGGGAAAAGGGGGGAGGGAGGGGAAAAGACGAACCAGGCGAGGGAGTGGAGGGACGGGAGAGCATCCACGAGGAGGAGGGGAGGGAAGGGGGTGCGGAGAAGGCAAGGCAAGTAGAGGGGAGGAAAGGGTATTGCAGGTTAGGGGATATATCGGTCGGCAGAAAAGGCGGGTTTCCAACCCAGGGTGGGGGAGACTCGGGAGGTAGGGAGCTTGGGAGGGTGGGACCCTCGCCATGCCTCCCCCGCCTACCACCTCCGTTACTTGCCACTCCTTAAGTTCCACGGCGTGAGATATAATTGCCTTGCTGCTTACAACGCCCCGCAGGACAGATGCCTCACCACACCTACCGGCCATATCTCCCCCTCCACCCTCCCGCTCCTGATCCCTGCGCTTGACCCTGAACTCGACACACCTGGTCTTCCCCGCCCGCCCGGCCCCCGGCCTTACCTGGAAAAACTTTGCGTCCGTGAGCACGGACAGACACGCGGCCCCGCCCCGCTCGTAGGCCTGGGCGATGCGCACCGGGTCGAAGTCGGGCTGGATGACTCCCTTAGAGGGGGAGGCCTTCTTCACCTCCGCAATGAGGCCAGGGCGGCCTGCGTATCCGGTTCGGGAGCAGATTCAGCGGGGCCCCTCTCAGCGTTGGCTTGAGACCTCTTCCCAGGCTCAGCATCCTAAGCGGCCTCAGCCAACCGCCTCGCTGCCGCCGGGCCTCATCAGGCGGCTCCCCGAGTTGGGGCGAGGGCAGGGACCAGCGGCATGCGCCCACCCACCTGAACACCACCCGCTCTATCCCCATCCCCAGCCCGCATGCCATACAGCTGGATCGCTAGGGAGTTCCTTTAGAAGTCAACGCCCTGCCTGGCTAAAGACGATCACGCGATGGCGCGTCGATGGCCCCTCCCGTCCAGTGGTCCACCCCCCTCGCCTGAGGATCCAAGAGCTGCTGCCGCGGCAGAAGCGGCGGCGGTGCATGCAGCAACCCCACAGCCCCGCCGTTCTTTCCCATAGGCGCACCCATTCACTATTCACCCGCCTCCCCCGTCCTTCCCGCTCCCCGGGCACCCCCGCAGCAGTATGCGGTAGCCGCAGCCCTAAGCAGGCTATCCGGCGCCAGCCAGGCATCCTTCCGTGCATGTAGAACGCATATGCCCCTCCCACCTGTCTCATTGGCCTTAGCCAGAACCGCCCCCCGGAAGTCCCGCGGAGGATCCATCTTCTTGGCCAGAGCTTGCAGCATCGCCAGCGGCTGCTTGTCGCGCATCACCTCCACCTCGCGAGCCTTCCACCTGCAGGGGACCCGTCCTGTTGCCTGAATAGACGCACTTGCGCACCGAGGACGGTGCCGTAGCAGAGTGCACAAGCCCCGCTACGCACCAGACGATCTCCTCCAGGATGTTCTGTGGCTTGTTTTCCTCGGGTAAACCGCCCACGCGAAATGCGTGAGGACCGCAGCTGCGAGCGGCAAGGGGTAGCAGGATGCCAGGATATACGTTGGTCATCCGCATAGGCAAATTGCAGGAAGCCACTGGCTCATCTTACGGCTGAGTCTCCAGCCCGTGCGGTGGTCGCCGGCGGATGGTCACCTCACCCATCTGCAAGCAGACCACAATGGAGCGGATCGCTTGAACTTTTTGCTACTATGTTACAGCTCACACCCAATTTTGCGTAGCTATTTCTCATAATGTTGTCAGTTGAGACACTCGTTATAAGCTTACTCACGGTTGCCTGCGCGCTGCTACACGTTACATGCACAGCTGTCCGCGCTGTCCTGGCGCTGCGGCGAAATCCAGCAGGCGGCCTAGCGACTTGGCCCTTAGCGAGCATTTTTGTGGATGGTCCAACCTGGAGACTGTTACAAACCCTAGGTAGCAGCAATATTGTCCTACTTGATGGATAGTTTAATGCATAAAGGCTTAACACGAAAGCCAGGTTTGCTGCTCGTCCAAATCCCGTCGCTTGTACGAAGTTGAAAACGAGAAACCATTACCGACATCCGAATCCATCAGCTTGCAACGGCTACGATGTATGCCATGCATTCTCGTTTCCTGGATTATGTCACAGAATGCGGTCCTCAAAGCAGTACCATGCTCGTGGCCATCGAGCCAAGAGCAAACAGCAGGACAACAGCAAGGAATTTGACAAGTACTACAGCGGCGTATATGGCTCCAGGTGACCCTGCTCACTTACTCGCGTAATCGGACTCGGTCGCTTGTGTGCCGACGCGTTGCATTGCGCCCGCGGCGGCGGCGGACCGACGACGCTAAACCAACCGATACGCTCCTCCTCTCCCTTTCCCACCCTGTCCTCCACACATTGCTTCCCCTTCCCTCGTTCTGACTATCCACCAGATGGCCAACCCTCCGGGAGGCCCTCCTGAAGCCCACAGTCCACGCGGCGGTGTACAACTCCTTCATCCACGCTGCCGCCAACTCAGCCTGCACTGATGCCGGCCTCCTCCCGATCCTGGGCCTGGGGCACCTGCACGCCTACCGTCGGGCCAAATCAACCGGGCCATACCCGCCTTCTCCCCTGGACTCCGCCTCAGCGCTGCGTGTGTGGTATTGGCTGGACCTGGCTTCCGTCCTCCCCGTACTGCTGCTACAACCGCAGCGGGGGCACCACGCCCTGGACATGTGCGCGGCGCCAGGAGGCAAGTCAGTGATGCTGGCGCAGCGACTCTTTGCTCCGCCGCCACCATCGCGGTGTGAGGCGACGGGACCTGCGGTACAGGCAGCAGCGGCGGGGGCGGCGATGGCGGCGGCAGCAGGAAGATCGCCGGTTGCTGACGCAGCGGCGACAGCGCAAGGCCCATCGAGACCCGGGACCGAGGCGGAATGTGGGGCGGCAGTAGCGACGGCGAGCACGGAAGCAGGGGCGGAAAGTGGGGAGGCAGCGGAGACCCCCTCCACATCAGGGAGGCAACAAGCAGGTGGCAATACGGGGGTGCAAGAGCTGCAAAGCAGAGAGCTGGAGCATGCAGAGCCGAGTGCCGATACAGCAAGGGCCCAGCCGCCATCGTCACCGCCACCGTCACAATCGCCACAGCCTCTGCCGCTGCCGCTGCCTCCCGGCAAGCTGGTGTGCAATGAGCCCGACCGACCTAGGCTTCAGCGGCTACGTCAAGTTCTGGAGGAGTACCTGCCACTGAGCGTCCGGGGGAATGTGGAGGTGGGGCCGCTTGGGGACAGGGGCCGCTGGGTGGTGTGGGAAAGGGAAGCGGAGTGTGCGCCAGTCTACCTGGGCAGTGGCATATGAAAAGCTGGAGGGGAGCTCGAGGGCTTGCGAGAAAGGCAGGTGGAGCGGTGCCCAGCCAGACAATGAGCCGCTGTGATTCGGGCACACCGGCCGTGATCGCCCGGGGAGTCCATGACAACCTTACTCCCTTCTAATCAGCCGCTTTACCAGATTCCAAATCCAATTGCGCAACGTTCCTTTGAGATCCTGCTTTGCGGGGCTTGAGCCCCGTACTCTTGAACCCGCACATCATCTCCTCCCCTGGCCCTGCGTTGGGATGTCGTCCGGTTCTGTTTCTCTTATCTCACCCGAATGACGCCTCTTCACCCCTTTCCCCTGCCAGGTACTGGGCTACCAGGGCCACACCTACTGGGGCCGCAACCAGGCCGCCTCCTACGACCGGGTGCTGGTGGATGCGCCCTGCTCCTCAGACCGCCACGTGATACAGCAGGCGACCACACAGCAACGGGGAGCTGTGGCCGCGGCGGACTGGTCGCTGGCGGGCTGCAGGCGCATAGCGGACGAGCAGCTGCAGGTGAGGCAGGACGCGGGTGGACGGGAACATGGTCGCGGGCAGTGATGGCGGGGTTGGAAAGCACGTGGCCATACGGGTAGGAAAGGTAGGCGGAAGGTTAACGGGCGTATGTGGCGGGTGGGAGCCTCGGGAGCAACCCGGCGAAGAATGATACGTGCTTTGCCGTGTAGGAAGATCTCATCCGCACCCCTGGAGCCACGGCCGCTCCTATATTACACGCACTGCCCCAAACATACAGACTGACATTTGCTTCTGCGTCCGAACCCTGGATTGATCCGTGGTTCGGGACAGCTCTGCCTGGCGGCACTACGCGCGTTGCGGCTGGGCGGGCGGCTGGTGTATTCTACGTGCTCTATTGCACCGCTGCAGAATGACGAGGTGGTGGAGCGGCTGTTGCGTCGTTGCGACCCGGGGGCTGTGCGGGTGGTACCAGCAATGGAGGTGCTGCGAAATGAGGTGGCGGAAGTGGAGGCGAAGGCAGGACAGGGAACTGGGGGCGAGGATGTGGCAGGGGTGTTGGGAATGGAGGCGACGAAGCATGGGGCGATCTGCCTGCCGGATCGCAGTGGTTGGGGGCCGATATACGTGGCGGTGGTGGAGAAGGTGGGGGAGGTGGCCGGTATGGGCGCAGCGGCTTTGTTGCGGCCTCGTCCGACGGGAGGGGTCGATAAGGATGAGGAAGAGGAGGACGCAGACGATGATCATCATGATGATGTTGAAAATGATGGGGAGGAGGAGGGCGTGTAGACCGACGGTCCCACGCGGCGCTTCCCATGCAAAGATACTTCTCGTCATGTGGAGCCGTCTAGATCAAAGGTTTCGAAAAGTAAGCCAATGGCGAGACGAACGATCTTGACACTGGTCGCGGTTAGTAGTTCTAAGTATAAGCAAATACTTACGAGTTGAGTCTGCGCCAACGGTGCACGAGAAGGGACGCGCCGACAGCCGTGACTGACGACATGTATGAATATTAACCATGTCGTATTCACGGCCCCCTAATCAAGTGCCCACTTCAAGCCGATTGCCTAGCTGACTTCCCTACCGGTCTGCTATCCTCAGCCTATCCTCAAGCCATACGCTTTCTCTGCCTTTCAGCACATGCCCGTGTGTGAATGGGGAATTACCCACTTCCGCATAAAAATGTAAAACGAGTCCGCATCATAGAGACGAATTAATGGATGCCGCCGCAAAATCACGAACACCTACGAAACCCTGAGTCATGCATGCATCAGCACGATCACGCACTTTCCAGGACGGTATTCCGGTCCCTAGTCCTCAGACGCTTGCACCTTTAGACAGCAAGGAGACTGCAGGACTCAGATATCTCTTTCCGTTCGCCACTCCGCCGCCGCATGGCTACGCAGCACGCAAAAGCAAAGCTCCTGCTTCACCCCAGAACGATCCCATCGACAGGGCCGGCTAGGTAAATTACGTGCAAGACTGTGACCACCAGGACCAAGCCCTATTACGAAGATCGCCCTCCCTCAGCGCCGGCGCCCAAACAGGATATGCAGCGGTATCGCCTCGTGCTGCTGCTTCAGCTCCTCGTAGCCGCTGAACCCCGGCTTGCCATCCGGATCGTCGTGGGCGTATTGTGCCAGCACCTCTTGGTACCTGCGCGCCAGTGGAAGTGGGGAGTCGCATGCGGCGTATATGTGGCGAGAGTGAGGAATGGACCCTGCAGAGGCTGAAACGAAATCCCGTCACGCAATGTACAACGCCACTGACCGCCTTCCCTGTGCCTAACCCAGCTAGCCCGGGCATAACGTGTTTCAATCAGAGAAGGCTAGCCACTGAAGGGAAATAAAACAAGTCCCTTTGAAAGGACAGGCGCATCCTAAGATGCCATGGGCAGCAGGCGCACCCACCTGCACTTGGTTGCCGTGGCGCCATGCTTAGACAGGAACTTGATTTCCTCCACCAACGGCACGCACACAGGCCGCCGGTGGCAGCTAACCTCGTACCTACAAGTGGTGCCAGGAGGGAAACACAGGGCTCGCATCCCAGTGCAACTCCTAAGCCCCCGAGTCAAGGGAGCAGTACAGACGTGAACAGAGCAGGACATCAAGATAAGCGCTGCACAGTTGTTTGCTGCCAAGCTGTGATCCGATTACCTTCAGCTGCAGCAGTAGGCTACTACAAAACAAGACAGCCATCCCAACCTCAAGCCAGCTCGGGTCCTGTCCTGCCCCGAACGTTCCCACCACCGCCGAACCAGCCCTGTAACCTGGCACTTTTAACCTGGCCCTGTAGCCTTTGGTGCGCAGCGACAACTACCCAAGTCCAGAGTATGGAGTACTTAAGGGAAAGTCTGGCAACGCCCGAAAACCTGTGGGCCCCACCTAATCCTGCCCGACCCGTCCCCAGACCCGCGCACTTCATCTGCTTGGACAGCTCCGTGATCAGGCGGAAGATGTAGCAGAGTCGCGCATTGCGGTTCAGGTTCCGCATGGCGAAGCGCTGTGCATTCATCGCGATCTGCTCTGCCTCTGCGTCGTGGCTCTTGGCCCACTCCAGCATCTGGGGAACCGGGCGGGCAGCAGACGAACAGGCGGTCGGGCAGGGTTAGAGCGCTTGATGTGTAGGCGATGGACAGGGAGAGAGGGGAAATTGTGGCCAGCCCTTGCGCACTTACAGGAGTGCGACTTCCTCACGGAGGCGCGCAACCTGGTGCAGGGTTTGGTGGGCGCACACTGGATACTGGTTGCTTTGCTGGCCATTCGCCATTCCCCAGTCGAGATTTCCCCAGCATGATTCCGATTACTCACGTCAATAATGTCGTTCTCGTGCTTGTACATGATCGGCACGTAGTGCTCAAACGGCTTGATGGCCGGGTAGTAAAAGCCGTACGTAAGACCCTCGGCCTGTGCCCCGGGCAGAACGGCAGGGAGGGCGGGCCGCCGCATGAGGCTTGTAAGGGGCTCTCGCGCGTCCGGGAATTCGGGACCAAGGCCATACAGCCTATGGGATTAGAGCAGGGCCGAGGACGATGGGAGCAAAAGGGCCGTTCCAGCGGCTTCCGTTTCGGCTTTTCAGAGTTAAGGTGGGAACCTCACATTTTGATGCTTTCCTTGGCATTGCATGAGGTCATCAAGGGAAGTATACGGCCATGGCATTCGGCATGGAGATTTTGGCTGCAGCTCTCTTCGCATGCTATCTTTCCCTCGAGTATCCCATCTCTCCTACCTTTAGCACCAAGCTCCCCAGCAGCAGGTACTTGTCAAATTTGGAGCTGATCGACCAACCTGTGTCCACAGTTCCGGAAAGAGGACAAGTTAAGGATGAAATACCGGGCCGGGAGGAAGCGCCATACATACAAGCTTGCAGGGAACATCGACAGCAGACGTCCATAAATGTTGTTGCATATGTCGATGCGAGCCAGGGCCCCAAGGGTCACACCCCTTACCGCGTACTCCTACCGATTCCCCTAATCCACCCACCGTCAGTGGACACGATGTACTTGTACTTATTCTGGTCGTGTAGGCTGACTGGCTCCGCCATCTGGCCGTTGGTCAGGTTGCGATTGAGTGCAGCTGTCAGCAGTACGTCCGATCGCTTATAGTAGAGGTCGCTGTAGTGCTCTCGCGGGCAGGGTGAAGGTTTGCCGTCCTGCATGATATGCGGACCCCTATAATACCAGGCACAGAAAACTGCACAGATGGGGGGGGGAGGAGGTAAGCATACGGAAAGAGTAAGGGTTAGCAAGCCGCCAGAGAGGCAGGCAAGCAATCAGACAGGCACCTAAGGTGGTGTATGATGTGTAGCCCGGAGGAATAATGTAAATCAAGGTCCAGGCAGAGGCATTGCGGAGGGAGACTTCTGGCACGAAAAAGGCGAACCCCCCAAACACGGAGCTCGTCCACAGACAAGCTGCGGATGGTGCCGTAAAGAACCTCTAAACGCGCGCCTGGTAACGCGGCGCAGCGACTCACTGTTCCAACGGCCGAAGGCAATCTGCAGCGCCGGAACCACATGTCACGTGGCCAGCGACAACGCCCAGTGCGGCGAGCGGCGCACAGAGACAACGAATCCAGCGTGGCGCCAACAGCGGGCCAGGACCCGAAACGGGACGAGGGCCATGGGAGGACCGGGCATGTCAGAGAGCAACGTGGCCTGGCACATGAACAGCGTTGTACACGCTACGCGTTTTAACGTAACGCACGTTTCCATCCAATAACCAACACTCAAGTAGTCAGCACAGGCAGCCTTTCAAAGCAGCCAAGCATGCACACGAATAGCCCCAGAGATGGCAGCTCACAAATTAAGGCAAGAGGCACGAGGCCGACCATTCCCTCACAACACGCTACACCTGGCTTCCGGACAGCGCCCCACGACTACGAATGGCTGTTCTTACAATCGGCTTGCAGCCAGTTGTGGCTGGGGGACAAAGGGAAACGAAATACCAAACCCAGAGACAAAACTGCGACCTGGATAACAACCCGGGAAACGGCCGGGACGTAAATAAAACTCAAAGTCCATGGTTCACCGGAGCCAAATGATGTGAGGTCTTTAATGGCCCAAACGCGACCTCGGTTGAGAGGGGAAACCCGTGTGTTGCGCAGCTTACCGGGACCCGAACATCCCAAGGCGTCTCCGAAATGCGCTGCACGGAGCCCATCAGTGCATCGAAACTGTCCCTTGGACACCTGCTCAATCGCGAGGAAGCGAGCGGCAGACGAAACGAATGACACCACCAGCAGTGAACGGAGCGCTGCTGACCGCAACCCTGACACCCTCATCCCTCTGCCCGCGCCCTTCCACAGAAGGGCGGCAGGCCGTGCAGCAATGCACGTCTTTTGCCCCAGCCTCACAGCTGCTGTGGTGGCCCATACGATCGTGTGCGTGTGTGTATGTATGTGTAGACGGCGCACAACTGAGCACCCCGGCCAATACCAGCAGTTACAGCAATCCCCGCGGTGCACGTATTGCTCGCAAGGCATGCCAGGCGGCTCTGGTCCTAGGCCCGTATCCCGCCATACCTGAACGCACCACTATACGGCACCAGAACCGCCCCGTGCTGCTCGGCTTTGCTCCACGCCAGGATGGGCGGCAGGCCGTGCGGTGGGAAGGGCCAGGACCAGCCGTCACCATTGCGGCTGGACTCAGCAGGGGCATTGTCATCATGCCAGTAGGAAAACTCCACGTCTGGTAAACTGTGTGCGACGGGCAGAGGGGTAAAGTGCCCATATTACAGCCCGGTTTTTGCAGCTAGGGGCTGTGTCGCCCCTCGACGTGGCTTACTGATCCCCGGCGGCTGGGAATGTCCTTGTTTCACGGCAAGGGCGCGTGTTGCATGTTGCAGCCGCGGCGGACCGCCGCAGATTAACTGCACATGTAATGTAGCTGCAAGAATTGCTGCAGTTGCCTCGGCCCTGGGCCCCGTTCAGCCTGCTCGGTCCCGCCAAGACGCCCTAGATCGTCTGCACCGCGCTCATCATCATCCACGCGCCAGTTTCCGCCGTTAAAATTACATAGCACGCAACATCCTTTTAGCTGGTCTATCCCTGTGGTTAATTTGTACTGCCGGTTCACTAAAACCGCAACTTAGTATTGTGCTAGCACCGTTAGCCCCGCTGGCGTTGCTGCACGGAGACCCAATAACTACCTAGAGCTGCTTTTAGGTCCTATCCTGTGAATGTTACTGTTTCGGCATGATCAGGGCACGCTTACTGGTAAACCTGCACATAGGGTGAAACATAGGGGAGGAAAGGGAGAAAGTCGCGGCAGCGGCCATGCAGTGTGTCGACCGCACAGAAATGGAGGCCAACCGAGGGGGTTATGGGGCATTAGAGAATGGAGCGGAGGCGGAACAATGATTTGCACGTGCGCGAGGTAACCGCAATTCCAGTGAAAGGGCGGGATATGCAACTGCAACCTACAGCTACAACTAAGCTTAGGAGGCATGTACGTCTGGTGAAGGTAACTCAAGTTTCACCCAGATTCGCAAGGTTCCAGCTTAGCGCACGCCGATGTGTCCCCGCCGGAGTATGAAGACAAGGTCTGTTGTCCATATCCAAGGGTTTATCCACTACTAACTACCTTTCCGGAACCCCACCTCAATCCGGACGCACCTGGCTGGTCTCGTATAGCTCCACAAGGAAGCCAATCAACTCGATGGCGCCGAAGCCGTTTGTCTGGGGAAAGCCACTGGTCACAGAAGGCACGGTAACATCGCATTCAGTACAAATATCAACAACTTACTTACTGGCATAAGGTTTGTCACGTATACGGTTCCATTCTTGATGAGAATGCGCTGCGACTTCACGCACGCATGCACACGAACTTCGGAGGGAGGACAATTGTCATGTAAGCTCCGCACCAGGTCCTCGGTAATTCCCTTTTCACCCCAGGCTTTCGTGTCTTTAAGCATACTGCGGGAGGAGAACGCGAGGTAACATGCTAACCAATAATCCATAGGACCGAACATCTGTTGGGCTGCCTTACAGCTTTTCTATTTCTGGATGAAGATCACATGTTGAGAGCTTCCGTGGCCTCCAACCTCCTCGAGACAGCGTCGGAAGAGCCAAGAGAACCACAACGACAGATAGCTGTACTAAGTAATACATAGTGGATTATAGAGCTGGGAGTAAGCCACATGCATATGCTAAACTGCAGTTATGACAATGGTTTGCCCTCCCCTCGCTGTTTGCCTGGCTTGCAGCAAGTCTTCTAAGTGGCAAACACGATGTACGCCATAATTGAGTCGCGTATGAAATATTACATCATATAATGGCAAGTATCAGCATACAGGAGGTCCTTAAGTCGGATGCACGAGAGCGACTGTTGCGATGCCGTACGGAAAAACCGCAAAAACCGTCAGGTCGGCAAGGGTGGCAGGCTGGAAGAAGTGTGACAGAAAGTGCCATAGACCCAATCTCCTTAATAACCGAAAGCTGAGTCACAGCTCCTCAACTGTAGTACTCATCGCTGCTTCAGCCGGTACTCTCCTCCCTGAACCGCCCACCATCTGCGAGCATGCGGGCAACAATGACGACATAAGGCAAGACCTGCTCATGCCCTGCCTAAGACGACACCGCATCATCCCTGCAAAGCCGCTGACTGTAAGACTTAGGATTACTGGATCTCCCTGAAGAGCACTACGCCGCAGAAGTGCACACCTGCAAGATATGCGCGCCACGCAGCTGGAAATCCCAGCCACCTTTCCATCCACTCTCCACCCACCTGAGAGATACGTCTGCCGAAGGCACCCTCGAAACCCGGGTCACGGCCATGGCCAGCACATCTTGTTGTCGCAGGTCTGCTAGGGTCTGACAACGGGAGCGAGGTTGGTTCCGAAGCACCCAAGTTAGATTCGAAAATGTGAACATCGAAGGGGCTGAGTATGAAGCCCGGAGGACGGACAGCGCCGGAATGAGCCACTTCGCCACATCGTGTCACCCGTCCCACGTTGCATGTAGCTAGTCCCTCTAATACGTCATGGAGCCTGAGCCACTGCTAAAATGCTTGCGCCATGCAAGGCGTACGCCCATTCCATGGCTGGGGGTGCTCGATGTGTTTGCTTTTCGGGTCAGCATCAGCAGAGTCTACACTGACCTGGTCCAGCCCTTCGGCATCACTGACAATGCACACGCAGACAACCGGTGCGTCCTCAACCTCCTGATCCTCGGAGCCCTTCCTCGCTCCCTTGCGGCCCCGCCCTTGCGGCTCCGCCGCCCGACCCGCTCCCCGTTGGGTTGGTGAACGCGCCCCGCCGCTGCCGCGCCGCCGTGCCAAGGAGGCTGCAGCTAAGGAGGCCTGCAGTGAGAGCGGAAATGTGGCCGAATCGCCGGTCATGCTGTAACCACCGCTGAGAGATATCGGAGTTGCGTTCGCGATGTCGATCAGCAGCCTGAGGCATGTCGTCGCACTGGCCCCTCCCGTAAGCGGCAGTTCCGCGATTCAGCCTTTACCTGCTCTAGTGCCAGCGCGTCCGCAACCTGCCGCAGCGCCTCCGCAGCCGCCTCCGCTGGCTGGCCTGATGGCACCAGGTGCATGTGCAAACCGCATCTGGACAGGGTTCTCGGGGCTCTGCTCCCGCCACGGCCGCCGCTGCCACCGGTGCCGCCTGGCTTGCTGGCGTTGATGGGCTGTGCCTGAGTGAGCCTGCCCAACCGTGGGGATGCCTGGTCAGGCACGCTGCAGTTTGCATCGGCCGACGCGGCTGCTCCAGGGTTGACGGAATGTACAGCAACGGGGGCTGCCGCCAGGATCCCGTCCAGGTGGCGTCCGTGCATCAAGAGCTCCCGGGCGTAAGCAAACTCCTGTCGGCAAGGGCAGGAAGTGATGGCGTCCGTGCGTGTGTACCGAGGGGCGGCTCTCTCCACCGGGTGGGGCCCTGTTGCGTTTCCTCCGATGAGGCGGTCAAGCTGACGGCTCTGACGAGGAGCCCCAGCCGGGGACGGTAGCTACAGCAAGCTACAACAGGGAGCCGCGCAGTCAGATGACCCTTTCTGAGAATTGTCATCAAACCCCAAAGCAACCCAAAACAACGGGTCGGCGCGACCACACGGCCGGCAATAACCGGAAATATGTACAAGAAGAAAGTATTAAGGGCACGTATCTAAAAAATTTATATTGCACCGAACAGTATGCGATGACGCAATCCCTCTCTGCGCACCTCCGGGTTGACCACGACCTTCTCAGTGAGGATGTCGCTGGAGGCTACCGAGTCCGAACCCGCGGCTGCACCGGCCCTTGGGTCGTTGTGTGGAAGGCCCACGGGAAGGCCCACTGGCCGCCCTCGCGTCCACATGATCTGCGTTCGGGTGTCGGCTGCGGTGGCGGCCAGCAGGGGTCCCTGATGTGCTGCGGCGAAGTGGCGCAGCAGATCTAGCCGGCTGGGGTATGCGGAGCGGCACATTGGGCAGTCGTGCACGTCGTCACTCAGCGGCAGCATTGAGGATGGCCGCCGGCGGGCGCCCAAGCCTTTAGAGCCTCCACCCGCCTTGAGACGTCCTTGTAGCCCCCTGCCCGAAGCGCTGTCGCCACTGTCCAGACTGGTGCCTAGTGTCACCGAAGAAGGGTTCGCAAGCGAATCTGCCACTGAACCATCAGCGTTGGCGCCAATGCCCGCTGCCTTGTGCTTCTTACTCTGCTCCTGCGTCGCCTCGTCGGCCCCCTCCTCCCGAAGGCCCACCCAGGTATGCAGCTGCTCCACCTGCCGGCGCAGCACGGGCGCCTTGCCCAGCGTGGACTCCCGCAGGAAAAGGTGTACTGCATGTAGGGTGCCGTACTGCATGAGAGTGCGGCATAGCTGGTCCAGCGCGCCGATCAGATCGGGTGACGAGCCAGCGCCAGGCAGTCCCGCAGCAGCCAGGCGTGTGGCACGGCCACTGAGGGTACCTGCGCGTGCGCGCTGCTGCTGGTGTTGTTGCTGCTCGGTGTCGCTGGCTAAGTCGACAGATCCCGGGCGGTGCTGCTGAGTGAAGGGTTTTACGGACTCGAGGTCCCACAGCACAATCAGTTGCGGAATGCTGGGTCGACGCTGCAATAGCGGCGGCAGCGTTTTGCTGGCTTGGGCGTCCACAGTGGAGCCGTCCACAGCTTGGTCGCCCGCACCTGCATCGGATATACCCAAGCGCGTCACACGCCCGGCTGGAGTTCAAGGGCTTGGCTGCTCGTGGCAGTTGGACAGAGCTGCTGCAATCGCCGCCACGGCTGTGGTCTAAATACATGTCCTTAGATCATCAATCTACCGTGGTGCACATCGCCGGTGCTGGATGGAGGGGCTGGCAGGCAGCAGGCATGGTTCGTAAGCACTTCCATGGGTGGGTTATGCTTTCAAGGTTGAAATCCTGCGCCGCGTCATTGGAGCGCGTACCTGTCCCAACGGCGGCTGAAGACGCACGTTGCAGCTCTGATACGTACCACTCGCGTAGTTGCCTTTTTGCGAGCGGTTGTAGCTTAACTCCTGCCAACTCATACTCAGCAACAAACCCGTCTGCAATGTCCCCTATGTCTGATGCAAAGGAAGTGCGAGATAAGGCGAATCTGAATGCCGTTCGGCTGCGGCGCGGTGTGCGCAGGGCTCTGGTCGCCGATAAGCCGTGCGTGGCTGTCGTCGTCGGAGCTGCTCGCATCGTCGGCAATGGAGCATTTAAACGAAAGGATGAAGCCAGTATTCGAAATTCGTATTACATATTAATAGCTTTACAGCGTTTATGAGTAATACTTGATAAGCAAAAAAGCTTCGACTTCTCGAAGCGAAGTATGAGTGTAGAGATAGGCAAGTTATTGCGAAGGAACTGCCGTGGTGCGTGGAAGTCGGGCGCATGCATGCATGCATGTGCCGGACCGCAGTACGGCAAGGGACGCCGAGCTCCTACTTGGGTCCCACAGGCGCATTGGTTCTTTAACTGCCGTTGTTTTGACTATTACCAAGAGGTGTGTCCCGCTGCTGGGACAGTGTCCTCTAGTTATGTGTTGCACCGTCTTTTCTTAGCAATACTAGAATCGAATGTCGGCTATGGAAATTGGCGCTGCGGGCGCAGAAAGATTAGTGCTCACTCCCGAAATGCGGGCCCTCTTCGAACAGCAGCTAGCTGAGGAGCGCGAGTTATTTCGCCAGCACTCACAGCTTACTTCGACCGGAGGCTGAAGGAGCACGAGGAGCTAACCCAGCTGATGTTAGCTCAGCCCGAAGCGATAATCTTTTACAATGTGCGGAGCCGCCGGCCCTTAGCCAGCCACCCGCAATTACGCGGATCCTGGGCCTTGGTGAAGGTTGTGCGCGTCGCTATTGAGCGCATTAACTTAATTTGAACAGCAATGGCGGATGATGCGTCCGAAGAAGGTCAGGCGTTGCTGAAAGCTGTCACGTGGTTAACCAACCTCCGCTATTTAGCTTCCATTGCCGCTAGGAACGCCACCATACATTAGGAGTTCAAATCCGTTATGAAATGTTGTTATCTTGAGTTGTGAATTCTAATGCGTACCACTTCGGTGTCGTTTATTCGAGCGTCTTTCACACATACTGTTACACAACTACTGAATTCTCCGGCTGTCACACCCAGTTACAAATAATGTTGTACAGATCCTTTGTCGTATTCGCCACATTTCCGGGGCAAGGTTTACAACCTGCCAGGACGCTGGGCAACGGAGGATCGCATGTTCGAGGACGCCCACGGACGAACCACCACCATTCACACTGGGCTCATGCGGCCAGCAGGCAGCGTGGGTCTCAACGGCTGGGCTAACGCGACAGGCTCCTGCAGCAGGCATGCAACCTACCCTGGCTCTGTCCACCGGCCCCCTTCAGGCACTGGCGGTGTGATGCGCCACAGCAACTACCGGACACCGGGCTTAACTACCACAAGTCACGAAGCCGAGAGCGCTTTCCCCAAGGTTATATCTAGCTAGTACTACCGCGCTTGGACTGCCTGCGCAGGCAGATGTGGCCGACAGTTTTTGGATATCGCGCATCGCCTGTTTATGTGGCCGTTCGGGCCGGCAGTTTCGTGGACCTCGCGCATCGACTGCTTGTGAGGACGTATGGGCCGGCAGTTTTCGTGGAATTGCGCATCGCCTGTTTATGTGGCCGTTCGGGCCGGCAGTTTCGTGGACCTCGCGCATCAACTGCTTGTGAGGCCGTATGGGCCGGCAGTTTCGTGGACCTCGCGCATCAACTGCTTATGAGGCCGTTCGGGCCGGCAGTTTCGTGGACCTCGCGCATCAACTGCTTATGAGGCCGTTCGGGCCGGCAGTTTCGTGGACCTCGCGCATCAACTGCTTATGAGGCCGTTCGGGCCGGCAGTTTCGTGGACCTCGCGCATCAACTGCTTATGAGGCCGTTCGGGCCGGCAGTTTCGTGGACCTCGCGCATCAACTGCTTGTGAGGCTGTTCGGGCCGGCAGTTTTGTGGACCTCGCGCATCAACTGCTTATGAGGCCGTTCGGGCCGGCAGTTTTCGTGGAATTGCGCATCGACTGCTTATGTGGCCGTTTGGGCCGGCAGTTTCGTGGAATGCGCATCGCCTGCTTATGTGGCCGTTTGGGCCAGGCAGTTTTCGTGGAATTGCGCATCGCCTGTTATGTGGCCGTTTGGGCCAGGCAGTTTTCGTGGAATGCGCATCGCCTGTTATGTGGCCGTTTGGGCCAGGCAGTTTTCGTGGAATTGCGCATCGCCT